TTCTCTGAACCTTAATGATAGGGTTCCTTCTCACGAAGGCATAGATCCAGCCTTTTCCTAATGGTTTGGTATCCCCAGCAGCAGCCAGAACTCGCTCTGCGAATTCCTTCACCTGTTGGTGCGTTGGTGCGAGGCCCAGCGAAGCCTGAATGCGAACCCATTGTGCCAGCTTACTCTCCTGGTCAGGAGACAGCCTCTGCCAGTCAGCAAAGCCACTTTCCTAGTCTGACCACCTTGGAGACGTAGTTGGAGGGTTGATCGTGGTATCGTAGTTGGAGGGTTGATCGTGGTATCCCATACTCCAATGAGGCTCTCTTTGACTCTTGCCGTTTGAGATGTCCTCGAGAGCCTGACGAAGCTGATCTTCGGTATATTGAGGCATTAGATATAGAAGAAGGTATGTGCAAAAAATGAGCCCATTTGGACTCGAATTGAAAATGTTGTGATAAAAGGAGGTTGGGGGTGGGCATTGCGTTGTGGTGGATTTTCGCGTTTTTGTGGGTGCCAGAAACAGGGGGGTGCCGGGAAGTGGGGGGTTTGACTTATGGCGCCAGGTTAAGGTCAGCTTAACATCTGTTTCCTGGTGGGGCAACCCGCGCGAGTTCGAGTCTCGTCCCTTTCAATTTTTGTGGTTTTGGGGTGATATTTGTATGAGGATGAGTGGGATTTCATATTTTTATGCCGTGGTGGTCTCGTGTGCGTCTTATATGTACTGAAATCTTGATCAGTGAGTGATTGCTGGGGAGTTTGGCGTGTTCCGTATCTAGCTATGTCTTCTGGACTTTGGCAATGGAGCCACTTCGTCCCAATGACCAAGCGATCCATTTCCAAGTATAGATGACTATATTTTGAAACTGCCAATGCCTTATTGTATGAGTTGTCGTTTCTTAGGTAGTCCCATACTCCTTGGGGGGAGTACTTATCCTTTTCATACACTTCCAATTTCTATGAGACAAATAGATGTTGGCCAATATTTCAGTTGCGAATGGTTGCGGCCCTCGTCAAGATCCAGCCGCCCTTTTGCGCCTATGCGTGATGTTCTGCGACCAAGTACAAATACTCCAAATCCTTTTTGTGTCACTTTCTCCAGTACCTTGATGTGTTTACGAGAAATCCTTATTATAACATCATCTGTCTCCCTTTCCTCCGAACAAACGTACCGTATCAGTCAACGCCCCTGGATCTAAATAAAGACTTGAATAGACCTCCACCTCCGGAGACCGTCACACAAAACTCCGGGCCGCAAACACGGGAACCACGGGAAATGTGGACAGTCTTCCGACCGATAAATACGTCCCCGGGCCCCATCGCGGTCCGTGAAGTTCGGGAGCACTGTTCAGTATCAAGGTTGCGGCCCGGTGTCTCTTCCCGAAGTTGACGACTCTCCGGGGGTGTTTGCGTTGCGCAAGGTGCGGTGAGACTGAGAGAATGAGGGTGTTTTCAGCTCCATAAAGCTCAAAGAGACAACTTTGGTATTGCTAATGCGGTCAAGTGATCAACGTAATCAACAATTTGCTTTAATTCTGGATATCTCCATTCTCACCATCGACTGAATGGTGGCTGCTGCCATCAGCTGACGCTCGAAATAACCCGTACTCCCTGGAGTTACCTCACACGAACATGTTACACAAAAGTCACGACAATAGGGCTGAAGCAGACCCCGACCTGGCCGAACAGAATCTTTCCCTCTTTACGCTTCCCGATCGGGACAGTCGTATCGACTAAAGTTGCAGTAGGATGGTACTCCGTGTGTAACCCAAAACCCCCAAAACACTCGATCTTGTCTCCTTGTCGTTTCCTCCTACAATTGACTTGGATGAGCTTGCTCCTCTGAGGCTTCGTGACACAGACACGTAGTAGCGTGCATTACGATGGGATCCCCATCTGGAGGGAAGCATGGGGAGTGGTTCGAGCAAATGGGGAAACGAGGGTGAGAGAGGGAAAGAAAGAGAAGAGAAAGGGCTGGTGCTGGGATGGGGGGGAACGTAGGTTTTGGGCTTGACCTGGAAAGATTAGGTCAAACCATCCCAGCGGTAACCAACCAGAGACGAGGGGAACCAGCTCCGTCTCAACGATGATTTGTGTATGCGTTGTACGCTTTGAGCCAGACGTATGTCTACGGCTGAATCGCACTGGAGAGATGGCCTGTTTGTGGAAAGCGACCTCAAAACACTTTTGGCTTTCATAGTGGGTATGCTGAATGCCGCAAGCGGATCCACGCCGGCACATTGAGATTGCTGTTGTTGTCCATGTCTCTTGGTGGGCTAATTAATGCCTGTCCACTGGAGTAGCAACTGAAGCATCTGTGGGTAGGCGGTTCAGCGGGAGAAAGAAAAACAACAGCATAGAAGCCGTACTCTACTCATGAACATGTGCGCTTGTCCGCGATTACAGTAGTAGCCTAGCTCCGCCAAGCAAACCAAGTTGGATCAAGTTTGGGAACTTGCCATGGCTTTTTTGGGGGTTGGTCGGCACTATGCCGAGTAAGTCGAACGGCATCAGAAATGTGCAGTTGGAACTAGTTCGTGATCGCCACGTTACGTGCAGGTATGTTGGCGTTTCATGGGTCGGCATCTGATGGCAGCTTATCGTGGGGCTAGAGCTGTGGAGTGGTGACTTAATCACACCGAGCCAAGTGACGAGGCGTACACCGGTCTACGGGAACCCGGCCAAGGGGAAATCATGGACTTAGAATCGGTGATCAGGGTGGGAATGCCAAACGTGGCACGTTACCTGAAGAGCCCGGTGGCTGGTGGATAGTTGATGACCCGGTATGAGTGAGTCCATGACTGATCCGTCAGTCCTTTGATCTCATTCTAGAATATGCATTTAATATCGCTGATTAGCTTGAAGTCAGAGCAGTTCATGGCATGTTAATTTGCGAGGAGTCCAACGAACACATAACCCTTCCCGTTGGCATGCAGATGCAGTCGGCATGCTACGTTGTGTCATCATAAGCCAACATCACAAGCCAACGTATTCGTGATGGAATGACGAAGATCATTCTCTGGCGATATGGCAACCATTTTCAAACACCGTTGAGGGATTTGATCTTCCTTACGGCCGAGTGTAGAAGCGTTGAATGTTGGAATGGATGGCAGCCCAAGCCCCAGGGTACGATATGCCACACCCAACCCTGCTTATTGAAGCGAGCCAACGAAAGACAACAGGTACCTGTAAGGCCGGTCTCATTCCGCGCTACCCTGGAAAGAGAATCCGGACTCGCCAAAGTTCACTGTTTCTGCCGCGATATTGCTTTGCGGCTCGCTGCCAGCCTCCAGGAAGATATGGGAGTAATCTATCGGGTTGCCTGCCTGTCTACCCGTCGACGTAGAAGCTGATTGGCAATGTCAGGGTCTCCGTCAGCCAAGATTCACCTCGAGGGAATTCACCCTTGAATGAGATCCGGCACCATGGAAGACAGCATGCAGAGAGAAATGGTGCAAGCCTCTGAAGCTCTTGTCCAGTATCAGCCGCAGTCGACCAACTTCGCCTTTTGGAGATATCGATGTACGCCGGAACAAGTTACAAGGCATTCCAACAGCTCAGGGCCATACCAGTTCCAACGACGCCAACAATGACCGGCGCCGGAGTTAGTGGCCTGGCAGGGGCTGTGTGATTTACCGGGATGAGTGAAAGGGGATCTCTTCATCTTGCTCAAGAAAATTCGGGAAGGGTAAAATGCATCCAGGGGAGGGGTGGGAAGGACCGAAGGAGTGGTTCGTGGCTGGGATATCCGAGACTCGATCCAACTGCTTCAAGACGGGTTGTCGCTGGGGTACGACGGGCGGTGCGATCCCTCGGCCGGCGGGTGTGGTTGCGAAGCGAAGGGGCCGAAGGCGTTGGACAATAGCAACGTTGCCCCACACACATCCGAGAACAATGTCAATCGGGGGGCTCCACCGTGCCACCACAATGGAAGGAGGCGTTCGGCAAAGTGGGTCGATGCTCCGAGTGGTTCTCACCCTCCGGCTTCCGCACCCCCCTACTCTACGCCCATCCAGCAATGCAGCTTTCCGGGGAGAACAATAAACTGGTAACGCCATTCAGCCGTGTGAAGTGTCAAACTTTCCTTTAGTGTCGGCCGGCTTTTGGGTACGCCGGAGACAGGGGTGTGTTGCTCCCATTGGCAATGGTCGTAGAGAGGACCGGACATCTTCCGCCTCGTCCTGATCAGGCATGGGGGCATGTCCCTCGCCATGTGGGCAATTGCTCTTTCGAGGCTGTTATCTGGGTTAATTTGTTCCTTCGATCGGCGTGATTTGGGCGCAACAAGCATCGTCGGGATCCGCCACACCCTTGTTCTGGCTCCGAATGCTTGGGTCTCGTTTCGCTGCCGGTTACCACAAAGGTGTGGTCCGAGCAAGAGAAGTAGAGAGGAGGCCTGGTTCAAACGGAGATTTGCGTGAAGTCGGCCCAACTCATCCTACTCTGGGAGCTCAAACAAGCTTACCGTAGCTAGTGGTGGTTGTAATCTAGCTTCTGCGCTTACACCGTGTGTCTGTGAAAGAATGTCACGGGTGGAGCTCGACAGCAAAAAGTGAGAGATGATGGATTGTTGATGAGTGATGGAACAGAGCCCATTGTGCTTGCCTGGTGTTTTCTTCGGCCTACCCACTAGAATGGGGGAGGCACTGCCCATCTTGAACGTTCCGTTCTACCAACCGAACAGGGAAAGCTGAGTTCCAATGTTACTTCCCACGTCTGGCGTCTTTCTGTCACATCTCCGCTAAAGAAACTTGATCTTACCTTGAATGTGTTGTCATATGCCTAAGGAAGTAGTTATATATCGACTACCACTGCTACTACACTTACTTCTTCTTCTCATCTCACATACGCTCTGCATCTTGTTCCACCCCACGTCTTGATTACGAGAGAAAGTCGAAAGATAAAACGATCCAAAGGCGTCTCTATCAGCCTACAAAAACCTTGGACGTTGAAGAGACAGCTGCGTGCCTTGAACATCACCACTTCTTCTCTACACATTGCCATAACCGAAGATGGCTTCAGCCACCGAAAGCGTCCAGACCCAACACCTTGCTCTACTATCAGGCCTTCATGCTCTGACGATACCCAAGGATAATCATCCATGGAGACAACCTCAGCCTCCAGCATACTCTCCACAGGCACAACCGACGGGCTTTGGCAGCATCGCATCCCACTTTGTGAGACGAGATAATACTCACGACAGCCAACACAGTCAACGGACCTCTCATCTTCTGCAAGACTCGATCTTAGATGCCGAAGAGGAAGAGGAAGAGGAAGAATCATCACCCATTTCCCTGCGTATCTCAACACGAATCGACGTGGCCAGCGATAGTAATCTCATCGCCCTGCCCTATTCGCCTGCGTCACAGGCAAATTTCATTGCAAAAGCGATCGTCGATGCCATTCATGACAGAAATTGGACAGTGGGGTGTCCCTTGATAGACGAAAATGGGCGGCCAAGACCATTGAAGCTGGAAGTCGATGCAGGTATCACTGTGAGGGGGTCGTCAAATGTCATCGGCACGGAAGCAGTCATCACAGAGTTCCTTCGTCATGGGACACATACTCAAAAGAAACCACCTCACCGACAACACCCGAGACAGTCTACCGATTCCGCGGCATCTCCTTCATCGCCGAATCGGAGGAGATCGGCCTCAGAGCTAGATGCACCTGAGCATCCAGTGTATAAGCGTGCTCGAAGTGAGGAGTGAGTCTTTATTGGTCTGTTTCTTGCTTTTTTTGCGAGCAGTACTCCATTGAACTCGGCGGTCCATCTTTGGTGGCATTGATAGGATAAATGGGGCAGAGAGCCACGTCACGCTGAGCCCTTGAGTCTCCGGGAGGACCTCAATGGTGCTCACCTGTCAATGACACTATGCGGGTGGCGCAGAGCTACAAGAATCTCGGACAACACGCGTGTCGCCGGCATTGGGTAGGCATGATAGTGCCGAGGTGTGGTGGAATTGGGCGGAGCTGTACATATCAATCTGGATGATATTGAAAGGATACCGAAATGTCGTTAACGATCAGCTCATTGTATTCGACATTTATAATAAATTCGCTTCATGTTCACGAATTTTGGAACCACATCTGACGTCTTCCTTAGCACATTACTGCTCTATTCGTACTTATGGTAAGTTTGAAAATATATATAACTTCCCCATTGAACCCTGAGATCGGAGTCCCGAATATCGAGGTCCGAGCAAGCTAGCATGTGATGAACGTCCAAGGTATAAGAAACTTGATCCCCAATCTCAATCCCCTTGGGCCCTCAGCCTATACGCAGCTTGAAGATGCTGGCTGTATCCACACCACCTGTTTGTTACGTATAAGGCATGGTTGTTCCAACTGTCTGGTACCAGGTCCTAGCGCGCGCCGGGGAAAGCCAAGCCGCATCCCTTGTTGCCCCCGTCATTCTTCCCGTATTGTTACACATGAACGCATTGCCTCCTTTAGGATGTGTTCGCCGTGGACAGGATGACACAAGCAGCGTGTGGTGAGTTGTATGTGCCGATGCGGAGCCGGGAACGGAACATCAACCGTCACCGCACAAAAGTGAGAAACATACATCGCCAGTCTGTTTGGCCGGCTTTCCAAGCTATAAGTAGGGCTATCTAATAAGCCGCCGTATGGTTTTGATGCTGGCCATTCCTGATGACCAACACTTGAAAATCTGCAGTACTCGACTCAAGGTAATGCTCCCGATGCCACTGCTTTGATACCCTAGTGAGGGCGGCGTTGCTCATATATGAATATACGAATATACATATCAGTCAATATATGACCTCCGGTGCAGACCTTTCTCATTGCTTCTGTGGCTGGAAGGCCTCGTGAGATGGGGTTGCAGTAGTAAGCAGTATGGAAAGCCTTCACTCCATTACCAGCGACTGCCAACTACCAATGGCACGTCATTGCAATTTCAATGAACTTGTTTTCAAAAGATCATGTTGATCGGATCGGGAAGAGAAAGGAAGAACGGGGACCAAACCAACATCAAGATCGCCCCTGACAGTTGATGTAGCAACAAAATCGCTTATCTAAGACGAGCGGCACAGTTCCTTGCCCCCTTCTAGCCTGTTTGCCGTTTTCTCACCTTCGATTCTCATAATTCTTTTGAAGATAAAACACGGTTAGCTCAACTCTGGTCATCAAGGATAATTTTATACAACTCCCTCCCCGGAGAACAGCAAAGCCAAGGCGATACCGGGCGCGCCGCTAGCACCTTTCATAACACGAATACGAGATGCGGACGCTTGACCAAATCGAGTATTCGGAGGAGGCCACAATCGCCGCCGTGACCGACTTCTACGCCTTCCTGACCAATATGTACCTTCCCGAGTCGGCTGTCGTGCACCCGCCGCCAGGAGGGTGGCCAACCTTGGCCTCTGATCTACAGGGCCTGGGGAAGTCGGACGAGGTCCTGAGCCTGCTCTCGCACCTACCGTATATCCGCCAAGATCTAGACGATATCGAGATACCGGAAGTAACCCCTGGGGGCCGTTGGATAGACTGGCGCATGTCCGGTACCTGGGTACGCGAGGGCGGCAGCGACATCGACGAGCTTCGCACCATCACCGAGGGCCCCGCCATCACGGAGCATGTACCCGAGAGCGTCGTCGGACTGACGATGAGCGAGCACCACACCTTCCTCATCGATACGGAGCTCGGCGTCGTCTACTGGCCAGAGTGCCCTGGCCGCCTCCGCAACGGGCCCCGGTGCATCGAGGACGACCCGTACGACTACTGCGACGATGAAGACGACGCCGAGTGGCGTGCCGACGGCGCCGCCTGGTCTGTAGCCGACTTCTTCAAGGTGCTCAAGGCAGAATACCGCTTGCTGCGCTGGGTGCCGTGGAGCGAGTACGAGGTCTTGGATTCGGAGAGCACAATGACGAGGAGTCCTATCGCGGCGCTTCAGGAGGTTTACCGGCGCTACGGCTGGCCTAATTCGCAACAGTATCGCAAGGAGGAGTGCCTCGAGGAGACGAAGGTGGTCAGACTTGCAGCCGAGCAGAGAGAGAATGACGGCGGGGACGCTTAGAGTTAATGCGAGTAAGGTGTGTTCGTTCACGTGCTTAGCATGCTTTGCAGTCTTATGGTCATTGACAAGAGATGATTCCCGAACCTCTTCATACCGAGTTTAAACGTATATATATAAGTCTCTTGGACGGAAATTCGACAAATGACCAAATGGGAGAATTGCTACAAGTACTGAATGAATTCAGAGGCGTTTGCCGTGGCGGGAGTTCAACAACTTACGGTTGATGGCCCTGCGATTCTCTAGCACAACAAGTCTAATTGTTTCGAAGACGAAAATACTGGCGAGACGAGAACTACCAACGCCTGTATGAATGAGCTCATTCGGGATCAGAGAAGCGGCACGATAGGCTCGGTATGGCAACAAGTTCATTCTTAGGTAACTTGAAATGTCGCTTAGCCAAATGTTGCTCCTGTGAGCCGTTGCACGATTACAGGCTTTCGGTATAGGCCCCCCTAAACGCGTCCACATATGAGAGTTCTAATGAATGGATTCAAAGAAAAAAAAAAGAAATCAGCTCTAGAGGTCGGGGTAACCGCTCAAGCTGAGATAGCTCGCTGTATCGCGGATACCTTGCATCAGCACTAAGGCAAAGCATTCGCGGACTCGGCCACCAGTGACAGTGTAAATGAGGTCAGGACTCTTGAGTGTCTCGAGTCCCACAACAGGGTCACGAACCAGGAAGAGCTTTGACGATTGCCCGTCAACGTAGTCGCAAACTACAGGATAGAAAATCTCGTCAAGAGGGTCGACGGCAACGAAGTAGTACTCTTCAGAGCCAGGTCCGTCGTAGTACGGAGCCCACGCAACAACAACACTACCAGTAGGGCCCTCCAGCTCGGGTTCGACGCGCAATCTAGAAACTCCGAGCTTCGTCATGGTGTTGTCATAGTAGTGCATCAATCGCTGGGCTCCGTCGTAAATGAGGGCATCATCTTGAGTAGCCCACAATTCCGAGCAGAGGTCATTGTCTGGTCCGTCGGTGACGACTGCGTACAAGTTGCCGTTGCTGCAAGAAATGATCATGGTAGAACCGGTAGGGTCAACAAGCAGAGAATACTCGTATCCATTGGTGTCATTGTAGGCTCTGTTCGGAATGGACTGGGGCTCATAAGAAATGGTGGAGGTGCCTCCCTTGTAGTTGTCTGTGATGTCAACAAGCGAGCTCGTGGGCTGAGAAGCTTGTCGATGTTCAATATCACGCTTGGAGGCGGGTAACCTAGATGTCTCAGCCAAAAGGATCTAATCAAACGGCAAAGGCAGTGAAGGGAGTTACTCACTCGATACATCCCTGAGTCAGGGGACGATCGTTGGTATCCAACAAAGGTATCTGCTTTGAACCCAAGATGTCGATGTATAGCCTGTTGCGCCAGCTAATTTGCGTGCTGATGCCGGTACAGCCATTCGTATCGGTAAATCCGGCAGTGAAGCTGCCTGTCTCAGAGAGGCCGATTGAAGCCGCAACTTGAGCAACACCTTTGATTGAAGGCTCATCAATAATTCCTACCGACTTATCCCAGGACGCGATCTGAAGGCCACACTTGATACCTATGGGTAGTCCAAGTGACGTAGAGAGCATCAGCTGACCCTCCGCCTCGAAGACCGGCTTGAAGTAGGGCTCCCAGCCACTCTTCTTGCTGTTAGCCGAATTGACGAAGTCAATGAGCACATGAGCGTCCTGTAGACCCATCTCGGCGCCAGCCAGTAGCTTGCCCTTAGCCGCCGCTTCGACTTCAACGCGTGATCCGACGCTGATGCGTGGCCCGATGTTGACAACACCGTAAGTCAACCCGGGCAAAGCAACGTTAATCAGGTCGTTGTAGAACTCTTGCTTGTAAGTGATCTGGGCATCAATCCCTATCTTCAGAACGAACTTGATATCCGTCCTAATGTCGACCTCGCCTTCGAGAAAGCCGCCAATAGGAGTCCAACGGGCCCGACCGGCAATTTTTGCGTTACCAAAGGCACCGCACCCGACACAGAAAATGTTCATGTATCCATTGACCTTCTTTTCAGGGTCCTCCTCCTGAGAACCTAGCGCCCTAAGAAGAATTGAATCGCCCCACGGAGACTGTACCTGCTTAGTCTTGGGATCTCTGAGTGTTTTGTCGTCAGGGTTAGATGACTTGGGATTGGGGAGGTGCCAGGAGATTTCTTTGTTTATGGAACCTCCGATTGAGAGAGCTTGTTGCGTTGCTTGATAAACTGCCTTGAGAGGCTGCACAATTTTGTTGAAGAAGGACTTGAACCACCGCTTACGGACGTTCCGGCGTTGTTTCCAGAAGGTGTCTTCTGGGTCAATGTCGTACTTGAACTCCTCTGGAATAGACTCCTGAATGAACCCAGGGGCAATTTCTTGAACGAATCTGAGACTATCAGCGCTCAACTGGGCGTATCCTAGGTCCTCGTCGAGATCTTCGTCGAAGTAAGCACCAAGACAGGCCGTTGGAAGGCCGTACTTAGTATCTGTAGGAGCCTCGCAACTGCGAGGTGCCTGTAAGTCGGTGGTGTTCACTGCCGAAGAGCTGTTTGAGATTGGGCTGCCAGTAGCTCCGGGCATATCAGCTGATCCAGTCAAAGACGAAGGTGATCCGGGAGTTCCAGGTGCGCCTGCTCCTCCAGGTGAGGTGGGGCTGGCACCATATGTAGTGCTGCCGGTGGTGGCGGCCGGTGCGGATCCCCAAGTGAATGTTGATCCAGAGGCTGACGAAGGTTGAGGGTGGTGTCCTCGAGGAGTCCAATGGCCCCATTCAGTCTCTCCAGAAGTAATAAGATCGTCAGGGTGACCAGGAGTTCCAGAGGCCGTTATAACAGAGTTGCCGCCGTGGAACTGGAGTGAAGAAACGCGGAAGAAACAACGGTCGCCTTTCTCGTAATCACCGCATCCTTTGACGAAGACGATCAAGATCAGACCGTCATCAGTGTTCCAAGTATCCACGGCATTCTGATACCCGTCGTGGCTACCAAACGAGATCGTCAGATCTGACGAATCATATGTGACGACTGCTACATGATCGCAATGGTCCAGGTTTACCGAGGGGGCAGTGAAATGGTAGGTGACAAAGGCATATGCTCCTGCCTTGGCCGGATCTGCTCTATTGCATCAGTTTATCGTGGTCATGAGAATATGCTGGCCTACTCTACGTACCACCAACACCGTAGTACATCTCGGAGCCCTTGCTGGGGGGGATTGGGATGACATTGGCCGCCGGCTTTGTGTCGCACGACCAATGGATGTTTGGCGACAGAGTTGCGTGGGGTCCATCGCGAGCAAACGTCGCTGTTTGTTCTCCGATAAACCCAAACCTATTGGCTTGTTCCACGGGAGACGGGCAAGGCGTAGCGGCGACAGTCTTAGTAACGGTGCTGTTGCTACCGGGTGCAATTGTGGCTGGATATGCGCTTACGATGCCAGCTATAGCTATCAGCGGTGCGACCCGCATTTTGAGTAACATGGTGGTGTATGATTGAGTATCTAAGAACTAAATGAGTGACTGGAATAGCAGAAAAGATTGACGATGAAGCAATGAGCCCCTGTGAGGTGCAAAGGAGCGTGGTGGGCAGCTTGGGCGGAGAGACATGGAAGGTAATTGCCATTTAGGCTGGGACTTTCTTAAATATTGCACTCATGGATAGTACTACAATTTTTGATCTCAACAAAGACGAAGTATACGATATCCCCCTGCCACATTCTAAACGTCAGAGACATTTTCCCAATTCACAAGGTGTCTCTTGAGGTCAAGACAAGAAATTCCTCTTTCATCAAAGTCAGCCGTCGACAATTCCGACGGTACACATGGGAAATTCCTAGTCCGCGGTTATAATTCAAGCGAGTTGTCTTTCCATCGCAAGCCTCAAGGGTTTTGGCGCCCTGAATATTCCAAGACGGGCCACCAGGCATATCAGACACAGAAGCCAGAGTCGAAGGCGTTCTACGCAAATGGCTTCCTCATTCCATAGGAAATTTGCCATTCGAATAGCATCCCACCTCGACCGGCTGATTATGAGTGTTCCATCAATCCCTTGCGAGCAATCAGCCACACGAGCACGGTGGGTATCTACGCGTGCGGCTGATGTGAATCTTTGGCTGTCAAAGATGATGAATGCAACAATGTCAGGATGTCAAAACTCTTTTACCACACTTGATCACCGCTAAAAACTCAGACCAACTCGTTCTTGCATGAGCTAGACATATACTCACCTTCATTCCTGTAGTGTGAACGATTCTCAACGGCGAAATGCTTGACCTCCCTCGTGTAATCAACGACGGGAGATCTGTTCTAGGGATGATATCCTACTCTAAACGTGTACAAGCATCCAACCGACTAAGACAACAACGACTGAAAATCCATGATCCAAATGCGTAATCCACCTCAGCTCACGCTAGGTCAAGCCGTTCGAATAAACGCATTCTTCGTCGCACTAAATCAAGCTTAAAATGTAGCTGAGGTTTCACATAGGAATGAAAAGGTCCCCTGCCATTCCTGATAGGATCTGGATGCAATATGACACCACTATAATTCGTAGGATATGGTAACAACGGTCATGCCGATGGTGCTCGCTATTACTTTCGTTTCGGCTTGATGGACTTGATCGTCATGATCAAAGTGCGGCTGAGGTCTCAGTCATTTTTGCTATAAATTGAGAGCAGTGGCTTTGACGATGGCCTGCTCCACAACTTACACGCAACCCAGACATCTGGGAAGTTTGTGGATTTTAGAAAGCCACGTGAGCTCCTAGTACCAAGAGAAATTGAGATCGGAGCTATGAAGGTGGATCAAAGTATTCTTGCCCTCTTTGAAATTCTTAACGAGCTATCAAAACGCATGATCGCTTGTATTCCGGAAAGTCTATTATCGGATATCACTTGAATGTTATTTATGCCCATTCATTGTTACAGGAACTACGACGGATCGCGTGGCCAGGTCTGCAGGAGCCCGAGGAGATAATTGTCTCGGGCTTACTGATTGCCTATGCTTCAGCCTACGAGCCACCAAGCTTCCGTAGCAATATCAACTCATTAACTCTCATACTCAGTCCCTGCTTTGAACGTGTCGTGGGTCTTATTTTGGAAGGGTGTTTCCCATCAGTTCAACTAAACATGGACCTAACCCTATTAACGATAATCTCTAACTGTTAATGAAGCCTGACAGCAGGTGATGAGCATTCATTGACTTGAAATTATCAATACTTATTGAGATTAGAGAGGCGTTGATAATAACAGCGTTTGAGACTGACAGAAATAAGCATGAAAACTCGCCTACAAACTCACTCCCTTGTATTACACAGGGCCTGGCGGAAAAGGGGAACACGTGAAGCAGCCTTCATGCTGATTATGCGTTGATCAGATATTCATTACTCTCATGTACATAACTTAATGGCGTGAACAGCCTCTCGACTACATCCGTCCTCGTCTCTTATTTTCTGGCCACCATCTCTTGCCTGACTTGTCTTCCTCAACAATTTCCTAGCCTCTTTTCTGATTGGACCCCCAATAACCCCCTCGAGTTCCGGCAACGAACAGTTCAGTTTTCAAGCAGACCACCTCTTAGTCTTGGCGGCAGGAGCCGCGCAAGGAGAAGTGTTGTTCGGGTAAAAGATGTCGTCTCCAACCCAGACGGGCCAGACCTCGTTGATGACGGCCCGCGACGCATTATTCCTGGCAGCGCTGACGTCGATGAACATGGTGTCGGTGGTGCTCTTTGTGTTGGGCAGGCCGTCGGGGCCGAACAGCTGCACAAAGGTGAAGTTGCCCTTGGCGCCGCACACCTTGCCGGTGACGGAGGGTCTGTCCCAGCCGTAGCCGACGACCTCGTAGTCGGTGATGAAGTCCTCGCCCGAGGACAGGACGTAGAGGCCGGCGTAGGCCGGGTCGACGCGGTTGAAGAGGAAGGAGAACCTGGCCTCGTGGATGGACAGCGGGCCGGCATCGGTGAATTCGGGAGCGCCGTAGGTGGTGACGTCGCCGTCGGTGTGGTTGTACCAGCCGCCGTAGTTATGCTGAGGCCAGGTGTTGAGCTTCGGTGCGGTTGCCGAGGCGACTGTCGTGACGGCGAGGGCGACGAGGCCTGCGGCTGTGGATGGGATGTGGACCATTTTGAGGAGCAGATGAGAGGGAAGTGAGGTTTTGGAGGAAGACGATCACGATGAAGAGTGGCAGAGAGGCGAGAGGACGTCAATTACATGACGGAGATCAGGAGGTCAATGACTACTTATACACGCATATTCTAATCCTCAGGACAAGCTTTATGAGTCTTTTTTTTTCCCCTTCTATGAAATCTTGGCGAGAATAGGCAGAAGTGCGGGTACTCCGTAGAGAAATTTCATCTGGGGACCTTGAAGCTCGACCGGGGCTCGCCGCCTGGGTCTGATGCCACGAACACGAGCGCGGCGGGTGAGATTCCAAGTTGGGATTAGCTGTGAAGGGCCTGTCAGTGAGAGGTCTGGTAACGTTTCTTTTCTCCCTGGCCGGTGGTTCGAGAGTTATATCTCGCAAGGAGGAAGATGTGGTGAACGGAATGAGAAGAACGAGTAGCCGAACCAGCAATAACTGAACCACTCGGCAACATGGAGGAGAGAATATTGAAGATTAGCAAAGTCCGAGGTTCCCAACAAACTCACACGGATACAAGAGGATGTTGAAAGAAGACTGGAATTGGCAATCACCGGGTACCGTAAATTTAATCTTGACTGTGCCTCAGTTCAGGGATTAAGAGAGACAGAGATGTTATAGGTCGCCCTGCCCGTTGTTATCCACCAGGAGTAAGCCGAAGGACCGAGGACGTGCACCCTGCGGGAACCTAAACGTGACCTTATCTTATTATTTCTCGTCCCGTTCAGTTGGCGGCTAAATCGTCTCTTGTTTTGACTCGGCTAACTCTAAATACCAGATCTTGATCAACCTAACTTTGGCTGACAAGACGGACTACGGGCCCCGACCACTTTGTCTCTGCTCCAGGTCTGCCCTTCCTTGCTTGCCACATTGTACCTTGCCTTACTTCAGCTGCTCTTCGGTCCGAACTGTCGCCGTTAGTCTCAACACGGTGAGGTATCAGCTAACACATGGAGTAGGTTGCAGGACAACCAGGAACACCCCAGAGTTCAGCTCTTACACGCAACTGGCAGCTCCCAACGGCCCAATAAGCGGCGCCAATTGCAAGAACAGCTTCTGTCTGTCACTGCTAGCGAATCACGTCCAGTTTCAGGACACTGATCGGCCAGCTCTACTCCAAACCAGCAGCGCTACGGCGCATCATATTGCGACGTCAATCGCACCAAAGACATCTTTGCTGCTTGCGGCTTTACCGACCTTGAATCATTGCTGTGACTGTGAGGAAGCCCCGGTCAAGCTGAGCTGAACATACAGTACCTATCCGTAGGTAGGTACGAAGTACCTTGCTTGCGCACACTCGGCACGTATCCCGCGACGAGACATCCAGATCCCACCCAGCCAACCGTTGCAACGCCCTTTCCTTGGCCGTAGGTCAGCCCAGCTCCAAAAGAGCCCCATTTTACATGCAAGTAACGGCCCTCCCAAGCCTTCCAAGACGGCTCTGTACCCCGGAACACGCGTACATGAAGCCCGCCGAGGGGCTCTAAACCCCCGTGAAAATCCTCCTCCACGATGGGTAACTGCTTCTCACTTCTTCTCCCCTCCCCCTCCTCCCCCTTGCTCGAGACCGCCGCCATGACGAACCTCACCATCCGCAACCTCACGGCCCTGCCCGTCACCCTCAAGCGTGTCGAACGCTTCGAGGGCGAGAGGAAGCGCACTGGAGACTTCCTGGGCAACACCTTTGGTACCATTGGCTCCTTTATGAATGCGACCAACTTCACCACCAAAGAGACCCACGCAAAGGGAGATGCCCACCAGACCGAAGACGTCGACGTTCATGTCGAGCCATTCGCCATCAGCGGCACCGAGATTGGCGCACCAGACATTGGGAACCACGATGTCGTTCGTCTCCAGTTCGAAATCGAGGGCCACCGTTACGAGATTGACGCCCCGAGCCCCACCAACCGCTCTTCCGTCATGAAGAAGCTCGACGATGCGCCTCTGGAGCTGACGGCCGTCTACGTGGCCAATGGCGCGTTCCTCGCCATCATGTCGTCTGCAAACCTCAATGCCTGGATGCACGAGCTGCGCGACGAATACCCGCTGCCCCTCCTCTCCATCCCCGGCACCCACAACTCGCCGACGTGTTACACGGCGCTGCCCTCCGTCCGCTGCCAGGCCGTCGGCGTCCGCGAGCAGCTCGACAACGGCGTCCGCTTCCTCGACATCAGAGTCTCCGTCTCCCAGGACAACGACGACCTCGCCCTCGTCCACTCCGCCTTCCCCATCTCCCTGACCGGCAACAAGTACTTTGCCGACATGCTCTCCGACATCTACGCCTACCTGGACGCCAACCCCTCCGAGACGGTCCTCATGTCCGTCAAGCGCGAGGGCACGGGCAAGGGCAACGACGAGCAGCTCAGCCGCTACCTCCGCGACCGCTACGTCGGCCGCGACGCCCACCGGTGGTTCGTCGAGCCGCGCATCCCGCACCTCGGCGACTGCCGCGGCCGCATCGTGCTCATCCGCCGCTTCGGCCTCGACGAACCCCTGCGCGGCGAGCACGACGGCCGCGGCTGGGCCATTGACGCCCAGAACTGGCCCGACAACTGCGAGGACGGCACCGTCGGCGGCGGCCTCATCCGCGTCCAGGACTTTTACGAAATCGACCAGTCGACAAACGTCGAGAAGAAGATCAACTTCTCCCACGGCCAGCTCGAGCGCGCCGCCGAGCAGCTCTTCCACCTCCCCGGCATGCCCGACTTCAACGCCGACGCGCCTCCCCTGCCCTTCTTTGTCAATTTCTTGAGCGCGAGCAACTTCTTCAATGCCACCTGCTGGCCGGAGCGCATCGCCGCCAAAGTGAACCCCGCCGTCATCGAGTATCTATGCATACGCCACGGCGAGCCGGGTAAAGGCCCGCATCAGCTCAACGTCGGCGACGCGGCGACGGGCATCATTGTCACGGACTGGGTTGGCGCGCACGGCGATTGGGATTTGATCAGGTGTATCGTGGGCATGAACGCGCGTCTGCAGCTCAAGCACTAGGTGTGTCTGGGCCGCAGTGTGCGATTGGAGACTGGCGCAAGGGTTGTGGATATCAAGGGAGGCAAGGCATCATTGTTACACGATCAGAAAGCGAAGCGACAGAAAAAGATGTGATGAGAATATTATATTTTATTATTATCAAGTCATCAAACTATGGAAGGTAGATGAGGTCTCATCAAAGAGTCCAGGTTCCTAGAAGTTGTCATGTTAGCGAGATGTTTTGCTAAAGAAATTGCAAAACAAAATGTAAAATTGACAGGTCTCGATCAGTTCTCCAAGGTGAATCGGTTTATGTTTTCTCTTTCATGATATTCAGTACTAGAGCTAATAAAAGGTCATCCGTGAGACGGTGGGCGTTGCGCTTGCAACTAAAAAAGTACGAAAAGAAATTGTAGACCTACCATTTGGGTATCATAGCAAACGAGAAACATCAGTACCAGTGAATTACCTATGTCGCGGGTCAGCGACTTGTCAGACAAGTGTGAAGCAAACACCAAGTGGACGGTCTGTGGGCAGTTAGTGATGTTGTCCAATAGATGTGAGATGTGAGTTTGAATTACCTCAATATCAGAAAGTGTTAATTACGTTCATGTCCAGCAAACACCGAAGTGAGCGCCAGTCAAACAGTGTGAATACTTGATCAACTCATCATAGTATCGAGAGACTGAACACGGTCGCCGCCTTGGCAGCAGCAGAAGAAAAAATGTTTACCTGCGTCGAGAACAGTCAGCATTGCCAGCCTCAACCAGATGAACGCAAGCTTTCAAAAGACCACTCTCCGGCGCAAGAACGCAGAATAGTGACCCTTGAACCCAAGCAAAAATTGGTGACCACGATCAGTTGACGATCGATCTCAACAAGAAGCCCCGACACCCAACACCACAGAGTTTGTACGCTCCGTTTGTTTCTGGCGAGGGGCGTCGAGGTTCGTTTATGTCCGCCCGTTCGTTCAAATCTTCCTCATTGTGGTGTTTGCTTGTGGGGTAAAGAAAGCATTGAGGCGGAGCCTGGAAAACAATATGTATTTACCTATCCGACTGATGTTAGCTTGGATGCTACCTGGATAGATGCGAGCAAAAGAAGATGAGATTTTGGCTCTAGATCAGACAAGGCTGAAACTATTGCACCGGATTCAACATTATGTATTCTGCATGAGGAATCCCTATGGTGTACGAAGTGTTCATCATTTAGAGGCGAGGGGGGGAAGGGGGGTGGGAAGACCGGAAAGTGCAAACGAACCTTTTGAAAATAGTGTCTAAAGCAAGGGCCTCAAATTTTGAAGCGATTGAAGATTCTGAAGAGAAAATTCTGTTGCGCGTTAGCTTTGGTCCCACAACTCCGTCGACGCGAAAAGACAGCAAGCTGCGCAAGAATTTGCTCAGTTCTAAGAAAAAGTGTCACACCATGGAAATAGGTCTGATTTGGATTGTTCAATGTTGTTTCCAATCATCACGCAAAAAGACAAAAGAAACCAGGTGAACTCTCGTGAGACGAATAAGATAAGACTTACCAATTGAAAGTATTCCCAATGCCTGCCAGACGCGCGCCAGACTGGCGTTTGCGCAATGGCAGGCAGAGGGAGAGAGGTCTTGGTGATTGACCTTGTTGAGTATGAAAAAGAGAAGTCTGTAGCACTTGGGAGAGCTTCGTGGAAAATTTAAAGGAAAGAAAAAAAGTCCAGAGTGGGGGTCCTACGTTGCGAGAATGCGCTAGCCATCTCCGGACTAGCGTAAGTTCCGTCCACTGGCATGGCTGTGGCGGTGCTTTCGGGAATCTGTGCTGACAACCTCAGGTGGCGAAGTCTATCTTATCGCCTCCCTCCTTATAAGTGCTCCCCGCGATCTCCCGTCCTCCCCCAGGTCTCCCTCCTTTCCCAAGGACATAGCTCCAGACACGACACTGTTCGACTCGACCTTGACGTCCCCCTTACCGGTCGTGATCTCTTAGGAGTCACCCCAAACAAACCCGCCAAAATGTCTGCCGCGGGGGGTATATGGGCTCCAGCAGCCCTACGCCTCCTCCGCGTGGGCATCACCAGAACGACAAAGATGATACGAACCAAACTCGCAAACGCAACCCGCCCGGCCGTCCAGGGCGAACTCGCACACATCCCCATCCGAACGACGCCGACCGGCCGACAGCCTATCCATCCGGCCGCTCTCCTCAGACAGAAGCGCGCGGGACGCTGGTACTCGACCCAGTCCATCAACAACACCGTTCGCCGATGGATCTCCACGAGCGGTAGCCCCGGCGGCAACAGCGCACGCTCCAGCCGGGCATCGTTCCCGAGCTCAAACACATCCCGCCGTGTGGGTCAAATGACCGGCCGGGCCCCCTTTGCGAGCACGCTCCGACCGAATCTCACCGGCGGCGCCATCGCCCGCACCCAAGGCGGCTACAGCGTCGGCGGCGGGGCCCGCTACTTCTCCCACACGCCCGCAGCGCCCGCGCAGGTGATCCAGAACGTCTCCGTCGCGATGCGCGCCTTCTGCCTCTCTGGCCAAAAGGTGCGCTACGACGGCCTCAACGCCCGCGGCGACAAGCGCTACCGCGCCGTCTCGGAGCTCGAGCAGGCCGCGTACGTCAAGATGATGGGGGCCGCCTCCCGCGGGAACCCCGGCTCCTTCGTCGACTTCCACATTAGCCCCACCGTCACGGCCCTGAGCCCCCTGGCTGCCGCCGCCGCTGCGGGTTTCACCTCCGCTAACGCCGAGGCCCCCACCACCACCCTTAACGAGGATGGCTTCCTCGACGTCCTGTCCATTGACTTTGCTCGCGCCCTCAAGGACCTTGCCGTCGTTTTCGCAGACCTGAAGAGGCTTGCTTTGTTGGGTGATTTACCAGTCACGATGGAAAAGAAGAATGTGCTTCGCGTGCGATTTCCCGGAGTTGACGCTGAGACCGTCGAGCGGCTGTGCGATGATGCCGGCGTTCAACGCGGTATTGTCGGTCAAGATGCCGATTTTGAAATCGAGAATGGCGTCCCGATGGCGCTTCAATTCCCATACGCTCCTGACGACGATGTCAAGACCATCACTTCGCCCGGCGGTTCACTGCGGTCGCTTTCCGGCATCGATGTCGACTTGGAAGAGGCGTTCATGGATGAGATGGATGAGCACTCTTGGACGTCAGACCCTGAGGGATACGAAAGCTTATCGCCCACCCCAAAGACCAGTGAGGACTGCTCTGATGGGTATGAGGGGCTTGAGGGCATATACAGATTCCTGGAGGAGTGTGACCGCAATAAGGGACGTTTCTAACGGGTGGGTCTTCTTTGTGTTTTATCAACGGTTGAAGCCGCAGATTGGATTCTGGGCGATGTAAGGATCTACACTCTTTGTACAATAACATAGGACTCTGGCCTCACGAAATGGCCGAGTAGTGAAATGAAATTTCCTATATCACATTAAAGCCAAGTCATCCTTAAGTAGTGCAACGTCACGCAGTGGACGTGATAAGTGATATGTCTTGAATTGCCATTATCTCCTATCGATACACTTAGAAAGCAACCCCGCAGACCTCCTCAGGCCGTTGTGGTGGTATTTAACTCTGTGGCAATACTGCGAGCCAATACGATTTACATCCAGGGATTGGCGAACAATACTTAGCCCTCGTAATCCAAGCCCACTGCCTTGTACCAGCTCTTCTTCTCTTGCTCGAGCATTGCCTTATCCTCCTTGAGTACCTTCTGGAGCTTCTTGGCTCGCTTGAGGCTGCCCAAAAGCGCAGCAAGGTCGCTGCTGGCACGGGCACGTGGGGTTGTTGCCTTGGCAGAGGAACCCGCACGGTGAGGGCTCACAGGGGCAAGAGGCTCCTTGACCTTCTTGGGCCGTCCTCGCTTCTTCTGCTCCTTCTTGGGAGGGGGCGTCGGAGAACCCTGGTCAAACTTGTGTGGAGTGTCAACTTTGCCAATGGTCATGGTCACGCTCTTCGCCTCCTCCTCATAATTCTTGTTCTGCTTGCGCGATCCAGTGGTGTCAAGAACCCAGACCTGGCCACCAGGAGATTTCGGCGACTTCTCAGGAACGAAGCTAGGCGCAGGATGCTGAACGCTGTGCGGCTTCAAGTTCAAGAAGGGGTTAAAGGGCGTACGGCCAGCTGTGCGAATGAAAGATCCGCGATTGTCTGGAGTGGCTGGAATAGGGATGCGAGTAGGTCCCTTCAATGCTGTACTGGAGGACGACGTCGCCTTCTGTGGGCCATCGATGGAGGTCTCGATATCCTTGATTTTGTCTGGCGTGGCGGTCTGTTCATTCTTCTCGGCGCTTGAGAGCAATTTGTTTCGCAGCTTCTTTTTCTTCTTTCCCTCGATGATCGTTGGCTCATGGACCTTTGCATTGTGAACCAGTGTGTCTCGCTCAGTATTGGCTTTGTCCTCCTTGGCGACAACATTGTCCGAGATGTGTCCCACCTTCTTGGGTTTCTTGTATTCCTGGAATATCTCGCCATCCTTGGCGTCCTCACTTCCAGGGCTGGCTTCAGCCACACTCAGGTGCTCGTTTTCATTGATATCGTCGATGACTGTAACAGTATGGGAAACCTCTGCATGCTTGGTCTTCTTCTGCTTCTTCTTTTTCTTGCCGTCCTTCGTCTCGTGAGCAAGAACAGGCGTGTCCTTCATCTCGAATACTTCAGGAGGGGGGACAACCTCAGAACCGTGGTCCTGCTCCTCGTTATCGATATCAGCGAGAGCACTGGAATGAGACTTCTTGTGCCTTTTCTTAAGCTTCTTTCCCTTCACCTCGGTAGTAGACGTAGACGCGTTCTTCTGGCCCTCGACCGTCTGGTGAACAGGCGAAGCCTCGCTGACATCAGCTTCGTTTCCGTGCTCGATGGGATGAGCTGTGGCCGACTTAGATTTGGACTTAGACTTCTTCTTCTTCGTCTTCTTCAGTCCCTTTGCGACATCAGCACTAGAGCCGTTGTCCTCGGCATGCTCGACGTCATTAGTTGTGATGCTATGTGAATTGGCCTTCGGGATATCGTGCTGATCCTCGGTACTCATCTCATTGAGTGAGATGCTCTTGGACTTTTTGTGCTTCTTCTTGCGCTTGCTGTCACCGTCGTCCTGAGCTTTTTCTCCCTGTAGCTGGGTATCCTTGTCGAAATGACCGTTCTTCAACTTCTTGGAGGATTGGGGAGTATCACCGTCGCGCTTTCGCTTCTCCTTCTTAGTACTGCTTATCATCGCAATATCCTTGTCCTTCTAGGACTTGGTGCTGATAGCGTCCGGCACAAGAGGGCTGGCACTCAGATCATTCTCGAGAGCGCTGTGGTAGTCATCATTGTCGTCCTCCGAATCTTCAGTGTCCCACTCAACGGAAGAAATGTCGCCATCCTTTGATTTGTGCTTAAGTCCGTCGCTTGAGGTGCTGGATTCGTCTCTCAATTTCGACAGAAGGCTTTTGAGTAGGTCGACATCTCTCTCTCTAGCGCCCGAAGGATCCATGTCCAGCATCTTCTGTCTTCCTTCCAGGACTTTGGTCTGGCGGCGGATGAATTTTCTCTCTTTGGCCTTCTCGCGGAGTGAGAGTTGGAGTAGAAAGTCTTGCTGATACTGGGCATCGCTAGGCTGAGTGGGACGCTCCAATGCAATCGTCATCTTGCTGTTGATTTGGCCTCTCTTGCGCATTAGGTCGGCGGCGGTCTTTTGCAAGATCATTCGAGTATCTTTGTCGAAGGGCTTAGCCAAGTCGAAATCGCGGCCCTTCTGTAGCTGGGCGGCTTTCGGGGGCGCCATTGTGACTTCGTGTAAGCCTACCTTAGACGAGTAACGCGGCGATGAAGTGGGAATGATTTGGGTGATAGTGCAATGGTTGCTTGCTTGACTCGATGTAGTCTGGGTGATGCAAAGTAGAAGTTTTTGCTAAGTCAAGGATGGGGACGCGGAAAGAAAAGGTTGGTGAAAGGGCCTACAGGTGAGGTGAGGTGAAGGAAGGAGCACACGTCTGTTCGGTGAAGGAAGGCACCTTCCACCATTCGAGAGCTCCCAGGCAGGTAGTCGGTGGTGACACCTGCCGACCCCCGACGCTAAGTGGTAGCAAAGGGACGCTGCACCTTGAGAAAACCGCAACGGAAGCTTCTTCTAATCTGCCGTGTGAGGTTTTTAACAACACGAGCCATAATAACTCAGATTACTGATACATTGAGAGGAATCATCCACACTAGCCTCCTCTAGACCCTGCAATTCGATGGCCCTGACACAGTAGATCCCGAAGTCGAGATCCGGGGTAAAGCCCAAGATGGCGCAACTCCACCCCCACATTTGAACCTCGGCATTGGCGGCCCTGGGTTTCACTGCCACTGGAGCTGCCCTCTCTGTCCGGTTAGCTGGCCGGTTAGCTGACCATCAGCTACGCCGAGGGCAGCTTGGCCATCGCCTGTTAAAACCGTCGCGAATTCCCCAGAGCTCGGCCGAGGTGCAAGTCTGCTCACATCTCCCCGCCTTTTCTTTCCAATTGCAATTCAGACTCGCTCTGTATCGCTAGCTGTACATCACACGTATTCCTACAGAAAACTTCACAATGAGCGGCCCCGGTGTTGGATTCGAGTACCCCCGGCAGCCCGTTTCCTGGGTTAAGCGCGATGTGCTGCTCTTTGCGAACACCATTGGTGCCACCGACGACGAGCTTCACTTCCTCTATGCAAGTTTTCTCCTCTCATCTGACTTTTATGGCTGTTGATTGCTGACCGTTTGCCAACAGGAGCTTCACCCCAACTTCGCCGTCTTCCCTACCTACCCTCTGATTCTCAGTGAGCTCCATCGCCTCAATCGACACTGCGATCAACCCAGCTAACACCGAGCCAGCATTCAAGGGCGACACCCAGGAGGTTGTCGACTTCTACGCCGCTCAGAAGGCCGTCCAGATCCCTAACGTTCCTTCGTTCGATGCCCGCCGCGTCGTCGATGGCCAGCGCAAGATTGTGCTTCACAAGACCATTCCCCCCACTTCGGCCGGCAAGAAGTTCGAAGTCCGAACCAAGGTTCTCGGTGTTTACGACAAGGGCCGTCCCGGCTCCGTCGTCGAGACCCAGACCGACCTGGTAGAGCTTCCCAGCAACGAGGTCTACGCCAGCGTCATCACCAGCAGCTTCTACATCGCCCAGGGCAACTGGGGCGGCCCCAAGGGTCCCGCGACCGAGAACTTCCCTCCCCCGAAGGACAAGAAGCCCGATGCCACCTTCTCCCAGGCTACGAACAAGGAGTCAGCGCTCCTCTACCGCCTCAATGGAGATTACAACCCCCTGCACGCGACCCCCGAGCCCGGCAAGAAGATGGGCTTCCCCGGAGCTATCATGCACGGACTGTACTCCTGGAACTCGACCGCCCACGGTCTGCTGAAGGCCCTCGGTGGCAGTGACCCTGCCAACATCAAGGAGTACCAGGCGCGCTTCGCCAGCCCCGTCATGCCTGGCGACAAGCTGGTGACAGACGCCTGGAGGACAGGCGATGTCAAGGATGGATGGGAAGAAGTTCGCTTCCAGACCAAGGTCGAGGGCGGAAAGATCGTTCTGAGCAACGGTCGCGCGCTGTTGAAGGTTGTGGAGTCCCCCAAGTCGAAGTTGTAAAATAAAGGATTTTGGATGAAATTTTGGAACATTACAGTTCAGATTTAAGCACAGCATTCTATAACGTCATAAAATTACTTTCAAACACTTTGAAACTCGTTCGCTGTCGTGTGGTTGTTGGCATGTTGGTGCTTGGTATTGATGACCACTCTTGCGCTCACTAACAATTTTGACCTCCCGGGTCAGCTCCAGCGAAGGAGGTCACTCACTCACTCGAATCTCGTGGATCATTCTGCTGCCTGCCCACTAGGTACCTCAGAGCACCGAACCAAGTACACAAAAAAATGCGCATGGCATTTTGGACATCTCAGCGGTGACGACAACTTGCTGGGTTATAAAATGTCGTCAAGTAATTACGTTGGTCAGCGTCTGTCCTACGATAATGCACTTTGCACTGTCCGCTACACAGGGCCCGTCGCTGGCACGTCAGGCAGCTGGCTCGGCGTAGAATGGGACGACACCGGACGCGGGAAACACGACGGCCAACATAAAGACGTCCGATACTTTTCATGTCAGCTCATTTGCCCCCTCTTTTGTCGCTGCGCCGACAATCAAGTCTCTAACTGTGTCCGCCAGGTCTCTCAAAAGCCCCCACCGCCGCTTCATTCGTGCGGCCAACCCGCCGCGCCGACGCTGCGCAGAGCTTCGTCACCGCGTTGCACGGCAAGTATGCCTCCGAGGCGGTCGCGAAGCGCGAGGCGGAGATTCAGCAGATTGTCTTCTTTGGTAAGAAACCTGCCGAGGAGGTCGGCTTCGACAAGATCCGCCGGCAGCTCGCGCGCGTCGAGGACTTGACCATTGTGATTCTCGACGGCACGCGCATCCAGTCGGACATCGTGGACGGGGACAAGAGTATCAAGGAGACGAGCCCCCTCATTTACGAGCTGGATATTAGCAGGAACCTGTTTGAGGAGTTTGATCAGGTGATCAAGATCTGTCAGGAGTTGGACGGCTTGAAAAGTCTGAGACTCAAGTACGTTTTGTGGCTTTTCTTCGTGTTCTTTTGATCAGCTTTGAGACTGACTTTGTTCCCAGCGGTAACCGCTTCCGAGTTATCGAGACGGGAGAAACGCAGGCCTTTGCAAAAGTGACTGAGCTGGAGCTTGAGGAGACACTTTTAAGCTGGGAAGCGCTCTGTGGTCTAGCCCTCAAATTCCCATCCCTCGAGACCTGGAGCTGCAGCTTGAACCAGTTGACCGTGCTGCCCAGCGTCTCGTTCGGATCGCTCGCCGCAACCCTCACGACCTTGGATCTCGAATTCAACGAGTTCACATCACTCTCTGACATCGCGGCTCTGTCATCCCTAGAGTCCCTCCGCAACCTCCACCTCAAGGGCAACAACATCGCCACCATCTCCTCTCCTTCCGGCCCGGTCCCGACATTTTCAACGAGTCTGCAGTATCTAGACATATCCTATAACGCCGTCGCAAGCTGGGCCTTTGTAGATGCTCTCCCCACCTCATTCCCGGGCCTCACGGCTCTCCGTTTCGCCCACAACCCAATCTACGACCGTCCCGACCCGGACGCCGCCGCCGGCGATAACCAGACAAAGTCGACGGACGAGGCACACATGGTGACCATAGGCCGCCTCGCCTCTCTCAAGGCCCTCAACTTCACAGCAATCTCGCCCAAGGACCGCGAGAACGCAGACATGTTCTACCTCTCCCGCATCGCTAGACAGCTCGCCTCCGTACCCGAGGCCGCCGAGCCCGAGGTCATTGCCCAACACGCCCGCTACAAGGAACTCTGCGACCTCTACGGCGCGCCGGACGTCATCCGCCGCGACGAGATCAACCCTACCTACCTCGAGGCTCGTCTCATCACCGTACACTTCACCCATGTCGCAACAGCAGCACGTTCAGACGGCGGCAGCCGGGAAGAAGGACAACAGATGACCAAGACGGCCACGATCCCCAAATCGTGCGACGTCTACGCCGTCAAGGGGATTGCGGGACGGCTGTTTGGTGCGGAGCCCCTGCGGCTGCGTCTGGTGTGGGAGACTGGCGAATGGGATCCCGTTGGCGGGTTCGACGACGAGGAGAATGCGGATGATAGCAGCGATGAGGAAGACGCTGCTGCTGGAAGGAGCGGTGAGGGAGCGCAGGAGGCGAGAGGAGGTAGATGGGTCAAGAGGGAGGTTGAGCTTAGGGATGGGCCGAGGCAGCTGGGGTTCTGTGTGGATGGAATGGATGTCAACATCCGCGTGGAAGACAGGTGAAGATCTTGGTGATCATAGCCCCGGAATGGCCTCGCGGCCTAATGCATAAAGATTGCGGCTAGACTGCATTTTGTTTCGTTTGTAGTGTCTAGACTGCGTGTCCTTCCGTTTGCTGCGTCTGTACAAGCGACATGGGCATGTACGCATCCTGCCGAGCAGAAGATTGCAACAAACGGAAGGGCGGAGAAGGAGACAAGACATAGCTCCTAACAGAAATATGACTTCATGGTCCCATATCCTCTTGGTCTTAAACAGCCTCATGTCCCATTTATTCAGGTTGAAACCCTTGAGAGGTCGTCGGAATCAGTACACATCCCAACCATGCCGCCCAAAGTCATCAATGCCAGTACTTTCAACATGGGCGGGGCTCCTGGAAACACCAGGAAGGGCCTATCTCACTCGATTCACAGCCCACAGGCAGACGATGGCCCTCAGATACGACCGACACACTTCATCATTCGCGATGGCAGCCCCGGGGCCATTGTACCCGTCATACCAGTCGACCTTCTCCCAGACTATGTGGCCATCGTCGGCCTGTCACGTACGCTGACCATCAACGACACCACCGGCATGTCGAACCTGGGCACATTCGCCAAGCCGCAAGGTCACTTCCAGCTACAATTCGTGTCCCCAGCGCATGATCGTCCCACCGGAGGAAGTCCTGAGAGCCGAGACTCTGGCCGTCCTCTCGAACCTCAGCGGCTGGGACCTGACGCTGCAAAGGTTGGCAAGCAGTCTCCTGTAACAAAGCGCAGTGGTGTCACTGAACCTTCAAAGTCAGCGACCTCGCAACCAGCTCCCAGAACATTGACCGACGTCCCTCTGCGCGCTCCTCCCCCTCCCCCACCCCGGGTCCTCGACTGGGCCGAAGACGACACAGACTCGGTCTCGACAGACAACTTCTCCTCGGCCGAGCTCTCCGCGCCAGACTCCTCGTCAAAGTCCTCCTCCGGCTCCAGAGACAAACGAAAACCGCTCCGACGAGCCCCGGTCCCGGCTGGGGCCGCCATTGAGGAGAGTTCGGATGCCGAGATCGCGGAGCGTATGCTCAAGCTTGGTCGCGTCCAGCAGCAAGCAGTCGCTCGTAACCAGCATCACCATCCTGCCCAGGCCCTGAAGACGGCGGCAGCGGCGGCCGCCGCGGCGGCGTCTCACAGCAGCGACGGCAGCACCAGAGCCAGCTCCAGTATTGCCGCCGGAGCCTCGAAGCCTACCCCTCCCAAGCTCACCGCAGGGAAGCAAAAAGTAGTCCGGCCGGACGGCAGCCTCTGCCGGCACTGGTGCCAGACGGGCCAGTGCAGCTGGGGCAACGAGTGCCGCTATACGCACCAGATGCCTCTGACGCTCGAGGGGCTCGCGGATGTCAACATGACGGAGCTGCCGTCTTGGTGGCGTAAGCAGGCCGGCTTGCCTGCTGAAGGGACCATTGACCCGCGCATCTTTGCTGTTGCCACCGTTGCCACCGGTCTAAAGAAGAGCAGCAGCAGCCCCTTTCCGGCGGCAGTAGGCGTCGCTCACACTGCTCCGCCGCCGAGGGCTCTTGAGTCGCCAAGGAAGGCTGCTAGGGTGAAGCCGGGAAAGGCTGAGAGGAAGATGGCGAGGGAGCTTCGTGGCGTGCAGTTCGGGATCGAGAGGGCGCAGGCGACAATGTCATCTCCTGTTGTTGCTGTTGGCAGTAAGAAGAAACTGAGCTTGGGGCAAATGCAGAGTCAGGCAGTGGGGATTCAGCAGGTTGACGAGGCTGTTGAGAAGCTTGTTGATATTTAATACTAAGTCAACATATCTTTGGTGTGTGGTCTCTTTTTTGATGGACTTGGTTAGGAAATAGACGATTGATGAACCGCCCGGTCAAGACAATTCAATTTGATGTACTTCTCTTTCGAAAGCCACCTTGTGATGGACAAGATATCTTGAATGTCAACTTTTGTAGACCACTCGAGACGACGGCTATCGAAGGCGCAGTTGCTGGAAGCCATTGTCAGGCTTGCTTGTAAACTTGCCAAGTCCAACATTTGACTTGCTCCAGTACAGGAAAGACCTAAGGGTAAAGGGTGACAGAGACTGGGAGCACGTCTGTGAAATGCGACACTTCATTCTTCAATTCCCAATATTGAAGCCGGACTTGCATAATCTCCGTTACGCTGTAAGGCACCACCCAATATCGAGCCAGGAAGGCGGCTGTACGACTACCATGCGGGAAGGAATATAAGCGTCTGACAGCATGTCGATCGGACTGGGAGGGTTACCTTCAACGGTTCAAGTTGATAATGTAAGCGGCTTAAGTCCATCCCACAGGCTCCAAGCCCGTCGACGCAGCGAATATCTCACATTTCCGACCGATCGGGAATCGAGGGTTGTGGTAGATGCTAAATCCGTCCACTGGTTCTTAACCCCGTCCAGACTCCAGCGAATGAAAGGGTGCCAAGGCAGTAAGTCGTCCAGTGTACGGGACCTGCGCAAACGACCTACTGCACCCCCACACTGCACTTGGGCAACTTATCTGCCGTGGGAAGGAAGTGCTTTGGTGCCGTGGTGGGGTTGTAAAGTATTTCGGTCTCCGCGAATTCGTCATTGAAGGTAGGTACTTTAGGTAGGTAGCTAGGACTGCTCCGTGGAAGCGGGAAACCGTTTTACCATTTGCACATGGGGATAGCCAGGAGGTAATTCTTAGCTCCCTTCTCCTCTTTTCCGGCGACACTGGTGATATCATCTCGAAGCCTTCAATACCATTATATAAACAGTAGAAACCCACGTCTTCGTCTGGAGATTAGGCTCGCTGTACACCATTCTCGAGTCTCGATATCCACTGCATCTTGATAGCTCGATAACAGCGCCCATACCCCGCAGCTCAAGTCTCAGGAATTATTCAGCAACTGGAAGCCGGCATCTCTTTTCGCACACATTTCTCATATAATCGCCAAAAAGCAGCACTCAAACATGCCTAAGCTCAACGGACAAGACGTTGGCCAGATTGGCTACGGCCTCATGGGCCTCACGTGGCGGCCTCAGCCCTGTTCAGAGGAGCAGGCCTTCGAAGCCATGCGCACCGCCCTCGCCAACGGCAACAACTTTTGGAACGGCGGAGAATTCTACGGAACGCCAGAGTACAATAGCAGCACCCTCCTGGAGCGCTACTTCACAAAGTACCCCGAGGACGCCGATAAGGTCGTCCTGAGCATGAAGGGCGGCCTCATCCTCCCGCAGCTGAAGCCCGACGGCTCGCCGGAGAACGTTCGCCGCTCCCTCGACAAGATCCTATCCCAGCTTGGGAGCCGGAAAAAGGTTGACATTTTCGAGTGCGCGCGGCGGGACAAGAACACGCCCCTCGAAGTCACGTTCGGCGTCATTCAAAAGGAGTACATTGACACGGGTAAAGTCGGCGGCATCACACTCTCCGAGGTCTCGGCGGCCACCATCCACGAGGCCGTCAAGGTAGCCAAGATTGTCGGCGTCGAGGTCGAGCTCAGCTTATTCTCGACCGACCCTCTGACCAACGGCGTCGCCGCCGCGTGCGCGCAGTACGGCATCCCCATCATCGCCTACTCCCCCATCGGCCGCGGCATGCTCACGGGCGAGGTCAAGTCGCTCGACGACATTCCCCAGGGCGACATGAGGCGGCACATGCCCCGCTTCCAGCCCGACACGTTCGACATCAACATGAAGCTCGTCGAGCAGGTCGGGGCGCTGGCCAAGAAGAAGGGCGTCACACCCGCACAGCTCGCCATCGGCTGGGTCGTCGCCCTCTCCAAGAGGCCCGACGTGCCCGAGATCATTCCCATCCCGGGTGCCACGACGGCGGCGAGGGTCACGGAGAATGCAAAGCTGGTTGAACTTACCGAGGAGGAGATGGCAGAGATTGACGCGACGCTGGCCAAGTTCGAGGTTGCGGGTGGCCGCTACCCTGACGGCGCTCCCGTCAACACCTAAGACATTGAGTGAAGCCGTACATAGAAAGCATATCCAAAATCTAGTCAAATCTTTTGTTCCAAACGTTAGCTTGGCATTTCCCTAAACGTAGCCTGAATGTTTTGAATAAAGAAAAGCTTCGAAGAGCGGGCTCAGTGTTGCTAGTAAGGCGAAGATTTTATCCACAAAACGACCCGAAGGTCTTCAGAATTGCAGAATTCTTTTTTGATCATCATTGTGCTATTGAGTATCAAAAGCAATAAGAAATAGTACGTTGTAACTTACCATTTGTAGTCCGAAACTTTCGGCTTCGCAAAATATTATGGTTGGACTTGGGTGAGAGGGATGCAGTGTCGGAAGAAAAAAGTTCTTGTCTGGGCAAAGACATTTATGTATAGGATGACTAAGCAAGCTATCCTCAATTCCTAGGCGGCCAACCGAGATGGTGGATGCTCTTGGTTTCCACTTACTTGACGGATACCTCAATTGATGGCTCTTTGTACATAATGAGTATCACAGCAGATTCGGTCAATGGACGGCGCAAGGAGTATAGTCTTCAAGAAGTAGATTGATAGGCTCAACAACAACACGGTATCAGGGTATACAGCAACGCGCCTTTTACCAACAAATCGAATATAGTGGCTCTCGCCCCAGGAGGTACACGAAGAGAAGTTGGCTTCTACACCATCGCTCCGTTCAAACCGTGAGCCTCAACCCTATTGACCAGCTTCTTCACGTTTGTCCACTCCTCCGCCTTGAGGTCGTCTCTTCCTCCTAGGCCAGACGCCACCTCGAACACGGTCAAGACTCCGTCAATACCTCCCGTAGCCAGACGCTTGCCCTCGGAAGGCTCCCACACAACCTTGTTCAAGCTCTTGGCAAGCATCGTTCTACCATCCTTGCGAGAGCTCGGGGATATTCTCGCGACAGGCTCCTCAGTCTCCACTGTGATATCCCATAGCTCGAGCCAGCCTGCCCCATCAACCAGGGCGAAAACACTGGGCTTGATCGGCGACCATTGTGCATCATATACCACGTCTTCTCGCACAAAGTCGATAAGTGGTGAGACAGTCGGCTCAACACCTGCTGTCGATGTCGCCGCGGGTGCGCGAACCTTCCACAGTCTGACGCTCCAGTCGAGAGAAGATGAGAGAACCAAGTCACCAAGATCCACAGGGCCGCGGGCAGGATGGAAGTCAACCGACATGACCGGTGCCGTGTGTCCCTTGTAGCTGACACGAGCATCAACTCCGGCCTTTGCGCCGGCTCGGTCGTATCTGTGGCAGGGGAAAATAGTGCCCTCTTCACTGCCAACGAGGAAAAACGTAGGATCCGTTTGGGGAAACGCTAAAGAGGTCGGGCTGATATCGTCCAACTTGTAACCCGGCGGTGCCTTGAGCTCCAACAGCTCTTGCGGCTGGGCAAAGACGTCCATGCTCCAGCCGCAGACCACACCGTCCGTAGAAGTTGAAATGATGTTGTTGGCGTTTTGAGTACCCACAATATCGACCGAATAGATGGGGTGCGTGTGGCCGTATCCTGTGAGCGGCGTCTTCTGGACGGGTGCCGATTTTGCTCTCATATCCCACAGCAGTACTTGGCCACTGTAAGTGCCACCGATAATGAGATTTTGGTGATAAGGGGAGAATTTCGCTGTGAGAACATCAGACTGTGCATGAAAAACATACTCTGGTCTGTCACGCAGAGCCAAGCTCCAGACTTGGACCAGACCATCCGGCTCGTGTGGTGCAGTTGGGTTTTTGGTGTACGATGCCAGCATCAGCTCAGAATGATGATGCGAGAAGTCGATGCTGCTGATCATGCGTTTCTTCGACCATCTTTCATCGAAGAACTGGACCACCTCCTTGACTCTCCGCCGACCTTTGCCACCAACGTTGCCGCTATCATCGTCGTCGTCATCCACATCTTGACCTTGGAGGGCGTAATCTGTGAGAATATCATATTCCTGGTCAAGAGCTCTCTCGATCACCTTTGTAGATTTCTCCAAGAATTCAGAAAAGTCGGGGGCGCCAGTAACGGCTTCCAGCTCCTCGGCAGTAAGCTTGCGCATGGGATAATTCGCCTTCGCCGGGGTATCGCTCGGAATTACACCATCCTTGAGCAGGTCCAGCGAGGCCTTGAGCTCCTCTTCCACCTCCTTTCGAATGTCCTGCCGCAGCTCTTCTTCGCGATCCCGCTGCCTTCGGCTCAGCCTCTTGCTGGGCGTCGATGTAATCGGAGGGATGTCTTCGGTGTCGGAGAGTGACTGGGCTCTAGGTCGGGTTGGCGAAGTCCATGCTTCCGCCGTTTGCACTCCCTTGCTGTATGAGTGCACCTCCTTGACAGGAGATGGAGGGACTTCGTAGATAGTCGTGAGCGGTGCCGTCGTCAGACTCAGCTGCACGGGGGTTGCGACAGGAGCTGGGGCCGGAGTTGGTTGGCCATTGGCGGGGGTTGCGAATTCCGATGTTGCAGTACTCAACTCTCCTGCGCTGAGGACGCTGTTAGGCCGGCTTCCCCTACGGGCCGGTGACGCAGCTCCTCCGGTCGTTGATCCAGGTCGACTTTCTCCCACCAAGCTATTGATCAAGGTTTCGATGTCGCGGCGGTTCTCGGCTCGGCCTGGGATTGGGGAGACCAGCTATACAACACATCAGCAGACTGCATCGGTGAAGGGACCGGCTCATCTTACGTCGCCTGGGCTTCCTGCGCTTTGCCGGCTTGCTGTTGCCTGAGTTGCACGAAGCTCTCTCTGTCGCTTAAGCTCCGCAAGCTTAGCCTTCTTTGCGAGGATTTCATCTCGTCGCTGTTGCATTTTGTATTCTCCTCAATCCCATCGCGGGACTGGCCGACTGTGTGGGTGAATTGTCGCGGGGCAGACGGACACTGACGTTGCAAAATCAGGTAGGTAGAGTCGAGATATCGCAGATGAGGCCTAGAGCCGGGTGCACAAAGGTCAAATAGGAGCCGCCTTTTTGTTGACGATGTCGGATGCCTGTGACAGTGTTTGGCAACCGCAGCGACGTTCGGTTTGATGGGGATTCCCTTTCGATGCGCGTTGTCCAGTCGCGATTCCAGAGGGACCCCTGTTTGGAGTCAGGTACAGCTTCAGCCCAAATGCTGCAGAAAGATACCTCGTTGGCCCCTGCATTAAAGTTGACCTCCCGGTCCCCATTTGCTAGTAGCTTGGTGGACATTTCCACCAAGAAGCAACTAACCTTGCAAGGTAAGTGACGCACGTGATAGCGACAGATCGGCAAAGCGTCGGCGAAATTGTACAGCGGTATTTGGTCGCTGAGGTAAGGAAGGTCCCTCAGCGGCACAGCGGCTGGGTGCAAGCTTCCTGGCAGCCCACCTCAGTCAGCATGGCGACGGGCGCTGGGCGCTGGCAATAGGCGGGCCATTAGCACTGGCGCTGGGATGGATGGTGTTCCCCGTCCGAGCTCCAGACGCCCGGGAGTGACTTGACGGCCAACCAGTGGAAAATCTGCGAGTTTTCCCGAGCATATTTTCAACCTGGAAAACCTCACACCCTGCGTCCCCTAACGTAATTCCCTCGACAGAGCTCCGAAAGGGTCAATTGGCAGCCATTGTCAACCCGCGCACTGTCCTTTCCATCGTTCGCTCCCTCTCGAAAGCAGTCGCGCAATCCAGGCAATTGCCCACAATGTCTTCCTCCTCAGGAGTTAACGTACGTCGTGTCCTTCGCCCTCGTCCGCATCTTGCGGAGCACCCAGCCACCTCCTCCCTAAGCCGACCGACGACCCTCCATCGCCACGCCAATCGACCATGAGCATTGAGCTTGCGCTTTCGAGAGTATGAACAGCTCGGCTGATTGATGGATTTTATAGGTGCTGAGATACACGGCCCTCGGCCTGGGCGTGTTCTACGGCTTCACACATCAGCGAACGATCACAGCAAGCCAGAAGGCTGCCGCCGCCACGAAGGAGTACGAGCGCAAGCAGAAGTTGATCGACCAAGCAAAGGCTGAGTTCGCGAAGAAGAGCCAGCCCGTCACGGCGGCGGCTGCTGATGCCGGTGGTGCGTTTCTCCCTCGATAAGACGTGGCCGGCTTTGGGACGTCGCGGTCCTCGCCCGTCACTTCTCGCCCTCGTCGGCGGCTCGCACAGATCTCATGAAAACTGACATCAGCCACAGCCAACGTCGACCCGATGGACCCCAAGTTCGACCTTGAGGCCTACTTCAACAACCTGGTGAAGCAGAACCCGTAGACTGGATAACCGAATGGGGGGAGGGGACGGCTTGCACAACGGATAGACAGGGTCAGGATTGGGGATACGCCTGCTCACGGAGAACACGAATAGTCCTAACAAGGGACGAATAATCTGGTCTTTCGGCAGCAGTAGGTGCATGGTAGGCACCACGCCCGATGTCACCGCATAGACATTTCCTTACGTCTGTTTACCGGATGTACATGTGTACAATACGCTCAACTAGATGACAATTCCAAGGAACGAGCCATTGGATTCCATCAATTACTTACATTTTTCGCGCAGCCACTCCCCAATCTCTGAGTCTGAGCGCGTTCTATATGCATTGACAATCGACACATAGGTCCATCGTGGTCTGCAAGACAGTGAAATGCTGCTTTCTTTGACGTGGCTGTAATTGATTCCGGTAGATGGCTGAAGGCTATCGTAGCTGTGGATTGGCCGACTAAACCATAAACAACTCCGACGGTATATCTAGGTAGAAGCTGGGCAGCCATTTGGAGGCTTTCGCTTGTGACACAGATTAGATGACCCGTCTGATACGCATTCATCTCTAACAGTATGGTGCTGTATGGTCAATCATCAACTTCCCAGATACCTCCATAGAGTGCGCCAAAGCTGCAACGGTGAACTGAATATCCTCATTGCCCGTTATGCATGATGCGTCTCTTACGATAACATATGGACCGCATACGCCATCTACTCTCGAGGCCGGGATCCGGCACTGACCCGGTCACCCCGGACGGGACGGGATCCCTTAGCCCGGGATATTCTTTGTCCGAGGCACGTGACTCCGACCTTCCCAGACTTACGCGGAAGCCACGACTTGGCTGCTGTCAACGGGACACACCACTGAACGGGTCGGCTGTCCATGGACCGTGCACGCTGCCCCTGCACCACCGATTCAGGTGCATAAGCTCCAAGCTGTCCTTCTCAGATACCTTGCTGTGAGACAGAAGGTTGTCGTCGCCAGCTCCATTTCGCAACCTTCAACCTACACGGCCACTGCCTTTCTACACCAAACGCGGCCACAATGACGGCCCAATCTCTTGGACCCCTCTCCGGAGGCAGCAAAGAGAACACACGAACTGTCCTCAGAGTCACCATCTTGTCTCTGATCGCAGCTGCCGCTGTTGCTAGTCGTCTCTTCTCCGTCATTCGTAAGTGCCCCTCGACACGTTGCCAAGGGTCTCCTTCCTGCCATCACCAACACCAATTGGTGGTTGGGTTGGTTGGAAAGGAAGGCGCTCATCGCAATGCTTCTCGCTGCAAAGAAACTACGCTGACTCAGCTTTTACAGGCTTCGAGAGTATCATTCACGAATGTTGGTCTCTTCCCGTTCCACGTCCCTTCCTTCGTACCCGAAACTAATCGTTTACTAGTTGACCCCTGGTTCAACTTCAGAGCAACCAAGTACCTTGTGGCCAATGGATTCACCAAGTTCTGGGACTGGTTCGATGATCGGACATGGCATCCTCTCGGTCGGGTTACTGGAGGAACTCTTTACCCTGGTCTCATGGTGACCAGCGGCGCCATCTACCACGCACTTCGAGCTCTTACGGTCCCCGTCGATATCCGCAACATCTGCGTTCTTCTGGCGCCAGCTTTCTCCGGCCTTACCGCCTACGCCGCCTACCTTCTTACCAATGAGATGACCACTTCGCCCTCGGCTGGTCTGCTTGCGGCTGCCTTCATGGGCATCTCGCCTGGTTACATCTCCCGATCAGTTGCCGGCAGTTACGACAACGAGGCCATCGCCATTTTCCTTCTTGTCTTCACCTTCTACTTGTGGATTAAGGCATTGAAGCTGGGCTCCATGCTCTGGGGTGCTCTTTGCGCCCTTTTCTACGGCTACATGGTCGCATCCTGGGGTGGTTACGCCTTCATCACCAACATGCTTCCGCTGCATGCCTTGACCTTGATCCTCATGGGTAGATACAGCGCCCGTCTTTACGTCAGCTACACCACTTGGTACGCTCTGGGTACATTGGCTAGCATGCAGATCCCCTTCGTCGGCTTCTTGCCTGTCAAGACCAGCGAGCACATGCCCGCTCTCGGTAAGTGAAACGTGAGAGCTTTGTGTCCATGTGAACTAACACGCGCTAGGTGTCTTTGGCTTCCTGCAGCTCGTTGCCTTCATCGACTATGTTAGAGGTGCTATTCCCAGTCGCCAGTTCCAGACCTTCGTCTACACCTTCCTGGCTGCGACATTCGGTCTTGCGCTTGCTGGCTTGGTGGCCTTGACATCGCTCGGATACATCGCCCCTTGGGGAGGTCGTTTCTACTCTCTCTGGGATACTGGCTACGCCAAGATTCACATCCCGATTATTGCATCAGTCTCTGAGCACCAGCCTACCGCTTGGCCTGCTTTCTTCTTCGACCTCAACATGCTTGTCTGGCTCTTCCCTGCCGGAGTCTACCTTTGCTTCCAGAACCTCCGGGATGAGCACGTTTTCGTCGTCGTTTACGCCCTCTTTGGCACCTACTTTGCCGGTGTCATGGTGCGTTTGATGCTTACTCTCACTCCCATTGTCTGCGTTGCCGCGGCTATGGCAGCATCTCAAATCCTCGACACCTACATGGTCGCCAAGTCCCCCAACCCTGAGGACTACAAGACCGATGATGCTGTTGAGGGAGCCTCCAAGAAGGCAGCCAAGCAGAGCGGACTCAAGTCGACCAGCAAGCCGGTCGTCGGTATCTACACCTTCCTCTCCAAGGCTGTCGTTGTTGGTGGCATGTCCATCTTCCTGCTCCTCTTTGTGCTCCACTGCACTTGGGTCACCTCGAATGCCTACTCTTCGCCCTCTGTCGTCCTTGCCAGCCGACTGCCCGATGGAAGCCAGCACATTATTGATGATTATCGCGAGGCTTACCAGTGGCTCCGTCAGAACACCAAGGAGGACGCCAAGATCATGTCTTGGTGGGACTACGGCTACCAGATTGGTGGCATGGCCGACCGTCCCACTCTCGTCGACAACAACACGTGGAACAACACCCACATTGCCACTGTCGGCAAGGCGATGAGCTCTCGTGAGGAAGTCAGCTACCCCATCATGCGCCAGCACGAGGTCGACTACGTCCTTGTGGTATTCGGTGGTCTGCTGGGCTACTCCGGTGACGACATCAACAAGTTCTTGTGGATGGTCCGTATTGCTGAGGGCATCTGGCCCGAAGAGGTCCAGGAGCGCAAGTTCTTCACCCCCCGTGGAGAGTACAGAGTCGATGACCAAGCGACCGACACCATGAAGAACAGCTTGATGTAAGAGAAAAGATACTCCTTCAGTCTGAATTCCTACTAACAATCTCATAGGTACAAGATGTCTTACTACAACTACAACTCGCTCTTCCCCGCTGGTCAGGCCCAGGACCGCGTCCGTGGCGTTCGTCTCCCGGATGTCGGCCCCAAGCTTGACACCGTTGAGGAGGCGTTCACCAGTGAGAACTGGATCATTCGCATCTACAAGGTCAAGGATCTTGACAACGTTGGCCGTGACCACCAGGCTGCTGCAGCCTTCGAGAGAGGCCAGAAGAAGAAGAAGGCCATTAAGAAGCGCGGCCCCAGAGTCCTCAGAGTTGACTAAAGAACGGGGACAATAAGGCACTCTGAGGATGTTGCCTCTAGAGTGCCTCTCAAATTTCTTTGTATTGGGACAGGGATAGGTGGTTCTAGATTCCACATGTAGACACAAAAAGCACGCCTAGGCGAATGTACACTACTTGATCATGATTCATTTCGCACCCTTTCAGGCTACTGTGACTGCCGATGTCGACGAAGGTACATGACACTTCATATGTCCTGCCTCAGCAGGCTTGTGGTGTGGTAAAGATCTGGGAAGCAACAACAGGCTCATCAGCACACAGGACTTAGATAAAACGAGAACCGCAAGCAACCAGGACAGGTGAGATATGTACGCTGTGAGTACAGGCTATCTCCATAAGTAATTCGAGAGATCTCCATAGTCCCGATTACCCAATACCCACCGAGGTGTTTGATGATGCCGAAGATCTTCAGAATATTCCGTTTTCTTCGTATCCATTTTCCTACAGCTACCACTGAAGCAGCAATTCAACAATGTCAACATGTTGCGCGTCAAAGAGATCTAGTAAGCGCCTGCGAATATCCCTTGCGTCACCGCCCGCCATGGACTGACTTCTAGATCCTGGAAGAAGTACTCCATAAGGGAAGGAAATCCTCAGCAGGCACCAGGAGCAACCTCAGTAGGTAGGTACCTTAGTACTGAGGGCACTTGGAATACAAACAGGTACGTACCTTCCATTTTACTTCAAGCCTTAGGTACCTAGGGTGTTGCCTGATTTCGATTCCTTCTTCTGGTGGTACACGAAGTTTTTTTTCCGGGGAAGGAGCTCCCTCAGTGCTCTTTCCATGGTGTTGCACCTGTGACCTGGCTCACCACAACAACCCTTCTGGATCTGTGGCACCGATTGCTTTGCTTTCCTTTCAACCCTCCCCAAACTTCTTCCAACTTGCTTACAGGCGCCCCATCCAGGAAATCGCCGATTCTACTGGAAACCACGGGACACTCTAAGAGCATGGCACCTAAGGAGAGGCCTCTAGCTTCGAGGGCTGGAGGAGCAGACCCTTCCCGGCATCGTTGTGAGGCATTCCCATCCATAATTTGAGGTTCGATTACCGGAGTACTGATGATTGCAAGCAGCGGCACGCAATGACGCCCCTCGTCTGACTCACCATCAGCCGCTGGACGACCAGCACGAGCGTCAGAGACGACCTGTCGGAGCACCTCCCCGAAGACGCATCAGGTCCAGTCGCGCTTCTGGGCGTTTGAAGGGACTTTCGCAGTCCGAATCGACCTACTCTGATGTCTACTCGGCCTCGCAACGCTGTCAGTCTGTCTGCTTTGATTCGTCGGAAGCCGCAACTGCCACACCCCCCATGTATGCGTGCTCTTCGGCAGCCTTCACCCAGAGCCGCTTCAAGCTCACTCCCGAATCGCTTTCGGGTTGCCATGTGGAAGAGGCCTTTCTTGCGGAGCCTGCAGAACTTCAGAAAGATGTCGAGACGGAGGCCTCGGATAGAACCATTACCGCAGCCACTTATCAAGAGTCACGACGTGGAAAGCATGCCTCGCATCATCATCGCCAGGATATCAGACGGGACACCAAGCGCGGCAGAAACGAGACATCTTGCGACTAGGCGTCCGAGATCGCAGTTCATATCGACGACAACACCGATGGGTTCTATTGTTTGGGCTGTGGCATTCGCCGATCTGACGAGCAACACAAGATCCGCAAGTTTCGAGCTGGAGACCCAGCTTGGCGCAACTTCTGCAAGCCATGCCACGAGAAGCACCTAAGCAGCAGCGATGGCAAGACGGTGAAGGCATATGGTAACTTTTGCTTCGGCTGTGGGTTTGCCCGCTCGTCTCACTTCAACAAGGAGAATCCCATCAAGCCCAGCAAAAAGCCGACCAAGAACTTTTGCGCTCATTGCATGAAATGTCTTTCCAAGAGAGCAGTTATTCCGACAGAGACCTTGCTCGGTAGCGTGAGTATTCTCATTACTACACCCAACAGCTCTAGATACTGACGATGTCCAGTCTTCCGCTGAGAGTGACACGGAATCGGATTTGCACGAGTTTGACGCAGATCAACATGGTGACCAGCACACAGATCATGCCAGTCGTTTTCGCACCGCGCCCCAGCAAGAGAAGGCAGTGCCGAAGAAAGATGCCACAGACTGTTTTGTTGAGTGCGACGAATATGGAAACGAGTCGGACGAGCTTTCTCCATCAGAGTCTGTTCAAAAGCGACTGAGAAAGCGCCGGTCTGCTCGAGCAAGCGATGCGGTGCCTCTGGGAGAGGTTCAGCCCAAGTCTCAGTGCTCTACGACCCGTCATAATGATGATCTTGCAAGCAACGTCGTCGCAGCGAGCACTGGCCATATGGCTCCTTCGGTTGAGGACGTTCCTGATACTGAAGCGAATTTACGACCCAAAGACGACATGCCTGCTGACTCTTGCAGCTCGTCGGCCTCAAACCATTCCACCTCTCTCAAGGCCGCGCCTGCTACACCAGTTCAAACGATATCACATGCTATAGCCAGCGATGGTTTTCTGAATCCCGGCCCGCCGCTGGACTCGGGAACCGGTTCACCTTCCAAGCGAGCAAGATTCAGCGAGCGTGTCGAGGTTCGCACATCTCCGACTTTCTGGCAGCGAGAGCATCCCGAGGGTGATAACCCATATGCGCAGTTCCAATACGAGCAATACATTGATGATCTCCGTGATGGAAAGAAGGCTATTCCCCTCAAAGATCCACTGAGAGACCCTGATGGCAGGACTGCAGGAAGGCTCTATGTGCCCTTGTGCAGCATCGACGACCATAGCTTCAACTCTTGGAGCAACGAGGGTGCGGCAGGATGGGATGACTTTGCTGCGAGATTCACATCCAACTCAACCAAGGTCTCTGGCAACAACCCGCTTCATTCCAGCACTTTGTACGCCTCCGGAGGAAACCTGCCGCGGGATTGTTCCACCAGCAATGGTGACCAGCATCGCTTCACTGGAGATCGATCGAATCCAAACAATCGACAAAAGCAGCCGCAAGGCTCCGACGATTTCTGCTACGGCCAAGGCAAAGAGAATCAGCCATGCCCGCCTAGTCCTATCGCGCCAACTGGCTGGGGTTCGCTGCATGGTTACTTTGATGACAATCACAATTTCGAGAACCATCACGCCTCGGACTGGTCATCCCGCCGCGATGCTCGTCGCACTGAGCGAAACCATGGCCCATGTGCTAATCAAAACGGTTCCTTCCGCAATACGCAAGAACCGTATCGCAACTGCGATTACCAGGCAGACGGTGCACAGAATCATTTCGATTCCTTCAGCGGCTATCCTGACGACTACGACTCTTTCGAAAGACTTGGCTTCGATTCATCATATGATTCAAACGATCATGGGCGATATTCTGGAGAGGATGGCTTTCATCACGGCAACTACGGTTCTGCTTCCGCTCATCAGCAATACTACCAGGGCCACCAATCAACTCCACCGAAGGAGAAGCAACATGGCTTTGATTTTGGTGCCTCTGACACCTATGAGAAACTTCACACTCGCTCCTCTTACAACTTCTCTGGCCATACGACTAACCAAGACACGGCGACCAGGAACGGTGCCTCGTGTAGTGCCGAAATCCCTTTCGAGTCATCAACCGCGAGCAACGACGCCCTTCAAGAGCCCAAGCTTCCTCCTATCGGAATTGTCATGGAGATTCCGGATGACATGTCCGACAGTGATGTCCACACCCTTCTCATCCCTGGCTGCGACGACTATGTCCCCATGGCGTACTGAGCCCGGATTGGCTGGCAGCTATCTGTCGCCCGGAGCAGCTTTACAACTTAGTATGTTTACTGATTCTTTCATCATGTCTGAACTTCAACGATCGAGGATCGTTTGCGAGCTTGTCACCAGCAAAAAGGCTACAGACGGCATCGCGACTATGCGACGACGGACCGATATTGTCGACCTAACATTCTGCCTGCAAACGGATTTGCAGAATCTTGCTATGGAATACTCTAACTTTTGTTTCGCTTGTCTTTTTTACGTATCTTTCTCCTGCTGGCCACTTCCCCTTACGCCATTACCCCTTTTCGACGAACACCGTTAATTTCACCCTCATTTTCTCGCTCTCATCTCTCTTCCCGTACACCCTTCCGACATGCTTTCACCAGCACGCGATTCGCTACGAGGCATGGGAGAAGACGCTTCTGATCATAAATCGTCAGTAAGCAAGACTACATCGCCATTCAACGGGGTCTCTTTCTGGTACAATCGGACACAACCTAGTGGTTTTGCCATAGCCGAAACCCGCAGACGCAGCTTGCAGAGGTTTGGTTTGGGGAATACTCTTAATTGGAGAAGCATCGATTCCACTTGGATGATGGGTTTTGCCTTGTGCCTGCGACGTTGGGCAACGTTTCCGTTGAGTTTGGGATTCATTATTCATTTGGACCATGGCCCCGACTCACTCTGGATGATTGAGAGTTTTATCAAGTCGTCGTATAGGAGTGGCTGACCCTGTCTACTCCGGGGGGAAATAAAATCAAAGACGACTACGAGATTGTCTACTTGTACTTAGTTAGTAACACGACCAGAAATGCGACGAAAATTCCATAGACGGATCGCCTTAGTTTTGCAACACTCCGAAGTGATGATATGGGTGTTGATGTCGAGGGTCAGTAGTCCATCAGGCAAGCCAATGAGCCTCTCCGAGGAGCGAAAAGGACCAGAGCTGCAGAGAATAGCACCGTGGTCTATCGTGATCTATCGATGTGACAGTATCAAGTTTGGACCATCTTTACCCCAAGGCGGCGGATTCTATTCCCTACCTGGGGCGATGGGAAGGCCGCCTTCACCTCTAGACGTCAAGATGAAAAGGCACTCTCTGTTTCTTTGCTCTCGAACCCTGATAACGGACATCGACGGATCTCCTTTAAAAACGTTTGCGAGAACGATTGAAAGCTTAAACGCCAAAGACAGGTCTAGCAACCTCTAAAAATGCTTCAAAAAGCCCAATTGAATTATTCAACAGAAATAGTATGAAACAAGAAATGACAATACACATGTGGATATATATTGCCGAGTATAGAAACAAAAAGGTATCAACGACAGGAGACTCTTAATACGCACACGTCTCTTTACGGCTTCCTCCGCGGTCCGGCTTGCTCAATGGCTGCGTCTAACGCCATCTCCTCCTCCTCCAGCCTCCGAATCTCGTCCTCCGTCATGCCGTCCTCAATCAGATGCGAGACGTTGGAATTGACGTTCGGTGTCGACGAGCGGGGACCGCCAGCGCCGCTGCGGGTCATGTCCTCGACTGACCGCGAGGCGGTGGACATGTTTTCCTCTCGGTATGGTGCAAAAGGAGGCTGGTGGTGTTCTGTAGGGCTGATAGCCGAGGTAGGTGCTGCTGCTGCTGCTGCTGCGGTGGCGGAAGTCTCAAAAGTGTCGTTATGATCGTCTTGATGCAGTTCCCGAGACAGGTGATGCTGCTCCTGAGGTTGCGACTGATGCTGGTGAAGCTGATGCTGGGAGTGCTGGTGCTGCCCATCGTCCGTGTAGGGGGAGTGCGGGGATTCGGTCACCCGGGCGTGAGTCTCCTTATCGGTGAGGTACTCGTGGGGGTTGTGGCCGGTGCCGTACGCGCCGTCCGAGACGTGGTCGGCGCGGCTTCGACGGCGGCGGAGGAAGAACCATATTAGGAACGCAATGAGGGCGAGACCGAGAACACTCCCGATGACGATGCCGGCGATGGCACCAGGCGCAAGACCTCCGCTGCCGCCGCCACTGCTATTGCTGCTGCCGCCGGAACTACCAGGGAGGGTTGATTGTGATGCATTCGGGTTGAGAGAGCCTGTGGGGGTGGCTGTTGTCTGAGTGGCGGATATTGATGATGTTGACGTCGAGCTGGCCGGATCTTCAATTCCCTCAGCCGACTCTTTGTCCTTTTTACGTCGATCTGCGAGTTTGCCGACTGCGTCATAGTACGTTGGGGACTGGTAGGTTCCGTTTGTGATGGCAAACAACCCAGTCTTCGTCGTGCCGGATTCCTCTCCCAATGTCCATTGAAGCTCAATGTACATACTAGAGAACAGAAACTTTAATACACTAGAATCAAGGGGAAGGGTAAGACTAGTGTCGGTGAATCCCACTATTTATGACATGTTAGCAGCTGGTCGAGATGGAGTTCAGACAAACGCTAGAGACGTTGGGACCATTCCCAAGATTGGGTACGGAGGTCACTCACTTGTGATAGAGTCTTGACGCTTTACTTTGGTGGTGACAAGGGGGGCTGCAGGTGGTGATGTGGCACCGGGCCTCGCAGATGCCATCCCTCGATCGTCTTGGCTGGGGGTAGCCTCCGAGATTGTTGTCAAACTTCCGCTATCCCATTCTGCCACCCAAAGAGCCTTACTGAGCTTGACTCCGTCATTAAGCTCCCACTTAATGACATGAGATGGACTTTCTGGCATGACGAGGACGTATTGATCGTGTGGAGTGAGGGTACTGTTGTCGAACATGACCTTCCTCTCCCCTACGTCCGAGGTTGACCTTGTCGGATCTCCCAAGTTGGATGTGAAGCCAATACCACTAGAAGCCTCACCCTCGAACGCGACGTTACCATTCTCGCCGCCGCTGTTGATGACAATGCGCGCCTTTTCGGATGTGCCATCGCGACTTAGCTGAATAGGCGCTGGATATGACATGTTGTTATGTCCCTCGTTCTTCTCGGCAAAGTATATATGCTATCGTGTTGGCGTTCGTACGATAAACGTGTCGCTCGAGTATGTTGGTGTCAACTGTGTTTGACAGTATCGTATCTTCGAGTCCGATCGTGCTCGTTCTCTACGCAGAATCGACCAAAACTTTTCCCAGACTATGATTCCTAGTTGTCCTTCTTGTCGAGGAAATATCCCACTACCACACAAAAAGTGTAAATGAGATGAAGTGAAGCAAGTAGTGAAGACAATGCGAGAAGCGAAGTAAGCAGGAATGGAGAAAGTGAGTAACCAGGCTGAGAGAGAGAGAGAGAGAGGCGGGAAGGCCAGAGAGAAGAAAGCCACCGAGGCGTGTAAGACGGAGAAGAAATGAGACAAGTCGGTAGGACAGAGACACAGAGACAGATGCAATACCAGCCTAGCAACCTTGGGGCTGACAAGGATCAACGAGACGGGCGCCTTTTTTCGTTGGTCAGGTCCCGGCCGGTTTGCTGCTGCTGACCGGGGGTGAGGGGGAAGAAGGAGAAGGGGCTTGGGCTCTTGCGCGCGCTTTCGTTACAAGGAGGAAGGTCTATTGTCAGGGTTCGCGAGGTTTCTTTCGCTTCTTCGCTTCCTTCGCCTTTTGCAGTCTGTTAGTCGTCTCCCGATGCAAGTGCAGGTGCAGGGATTCGAGGGGATGGATCTGCGCTACGCCAACTACAACAAGCCACGCCGCCAAGGCAGCGCCGCCCAAAGAAATGAGGGAGGAAGGATCCGCGGGTGGTCGAAGGTCAGATTGACAATATGAATACCGTTCGTTGCCCATCCATTTTTGATGGTTGTGGTTGACTTGCTTGCTATGGTTGGATATTCAGAGTGAGGCGCTGTACATTCCCTCGCGAGGCAGCTTTGTTAGTAGTTGAGGCTGAGGTTGGAGTGTTTGGTATTAGCGAGACTGTCTACACAGTGCACCTGAGGTCAGTACGTAGGTAGCAAAGACGAAGACGGTCATGAGGTGCAAGGGTACTTTCCTCGTTTTCCAATTGCGGTACGGAGCACATCTTGACGATATCTTGGAAGGAAACGACTGATGCGTGCGTGCCTACCAACCCGGTGGGTCTGTCCAACAGGCAGCTTGACGCAGGGTTGGGAATCCCAAAGAACCCCCCAAACGTCTCCTTCATCTCTCACCTCTCTTCTCTCCCTTTGGATGATCAGCCTGCCTGTCCAACTATCCTCCTCGATTGAAAACCCCACCCACAATTCCAGGATCGGCACACTGGATTGGTGAGATGTTACACTGCAGCTACACCAAGTGCTGAGTGCAATCACCAGTCTGCTCCGCCACCAACCTGTCTCGATGGTGACGCCATCCCCAGGACAGAAGACGGAGAGGGGCAGCACAGACTGCTTCTGGATACCATACTCAGTCGATTTGACCCCTCTCAACGGAAGCCAACATGGCTATTGACATCTCCAAGATTTGAGGTGTTCATTGCAAGAGAAGGGAACGGGAGACGGGAAAGACACAGAGAATGACAGAGAGAGGTCGTGCGTGGTAAGGCTGGAGAAAAGCGGGCCACGCTTCCAACGCTAAACCTTGGGGGGAGCCACCCAAACCCAGCCCCAGCCCCACCGGTCAGCAAATAAGCACCATCCAATGGAACGCGGCGCAGGCAACACACCAGGGCCCTGAGGTGATGCTATTAATTGAAACAAAAAGAAGAGGCGCCGCCGCCGCCCCCCTGCAGACATGCACACCAACGTCTCTCTACGGAGTACGGAGTACTTTCATGGAAGCAGCCCAAGTTCCAACCAACGTGCCAACCCAAAGACGGACAAGACAGACGACGACCCTTACCGTTTGATGGAAACCCGCCAACGGTCTAGCGCTACCGCACGCTGAGCTGCTAGTGTCGCTGCGGCTGATGTGAGCTTTGCCCAACCCGCCTTAGGCCTGAGACGCTCACCGGGGCGATGCCCACCTCGATAGTCGACACCAAATCCTTCTCCCGCTGCCGTCGCCGACGATATGCAGTCTCTCATCACTCTCAAACCGGCGGGTGGTGACATGGGCCTACGTATGCCGTGGACTATGTCATTAAAACAGAATAAGCTTCCTCTTCAAGCTTTCCCTCTGCTGTCCGTACTCTATCGGTCTGACCTCGTTTTCCCCCGCACGGTTACTCGTTGTCAAGCCCCGAGGCTTACTTCAGATGCTGCTCGGTGGATAAGAGCCATCCCATTTCAAACCGAAGAATGTCACCCGGTTTCCAAAACACACTTCGTCTATAGGTACCGAAAGCTCGTGAAAAGCACTCTAAGATGAAGAGACGACACAATTCTCTTCTCCATGCCATCCCATGTTCCCAAAAGTCCAATTCACCCTCCCCCCACCCGCTACGTCGCATTGTCCACACCCTCTTCTCTGCTGCCTGCCGATCCAACCACACCAACCCGGGCTCTGCGGCCTGCCTAACAAATCCCTGTCCCCAAGCTCCCACAGCTCCACCTCATGCGCTTGATGCCAACACCGGCGCATGTAAGCCAACATCCAACAACGACGAAACATGCACACAAGATCCCAACTTCCAACGGGCGCGTCGTGAGTAAGAGAAAATGATATCCCACTTCCCGAGCGAGCGTCTCGCCTGGTCAAGGCCTTTTTTGCACACTGTTGGTTTCGTCGGCGCATGTTTGCCATTGCGAGCCCTTGCAACGATGTGAAAAGCTCGGGCGTGTGAGACGATGAGCTGCTACGGATACTTTGATTGGGAAACATCATCAGGGGAGATATATTTTGAAGCATGGCAGTTGCTCAGTGATCCAACGAACTCTGTCATTTCTTGTTCCCTCTTACTACCCCTATCCGTCACTCTGACGCCCGTTTTCCCCTGCCGCATGCAAGCACCTGCCAACAGACCCCAATATGATACAGATTTATAGATAGATTGCCAAAGGAAGCCATCTAAGTGACCCGACCAACACTCGCAACAAAGAGAAACCAGTTTGTAATTTTCACAGGACTTACACGCCGGGCCACATTCCCACATCCGGAGCCGGGGAGACGGCGACACGTTTCCCGGATCTCCCTTGCCTCAGCTCACAGCGTAGACACAAACTTCAGAGCTTCCCCGTCTCCTGACACCAACCACGTCGTCAACTCCCTTGATCCACAACAAAAGGGTTGCTTCTTGAAAAATTCAAAAGAGGTTATGAGTTTGTAAACTTTCATCTCTTTTCTTTGTATTACTTTGTAAACCATCCTCGCAGACAGTCTAAAATGAAATTATATACTCGAACGGGTTCTACGGTGGCCTTGTACCATTTCCCCAAAACGCTACCCAAGAGTGAACCCTAACAAGCATCCTTCACCTCTCCCTCTTCCTTCCTCCAGGTCATACAACAAACACAACAACGAGATTGATTGTCTCTTGTAAACATTGTAAACACATCTTTGCCAGGAAGGGAGGGACACCAGGGCTTCACCAGCAAACATCTTGCTCAAGCAACAACACAGAGCGAAGGACTACACCACCATCATACGGAGACAAAGTCCCGATTTCGCTTCCAAAAAAAATTAAACTCATACGCCGCCAAAAGCCATGCCCCATGCTTGCTTGCTTGCTCCCCACATGTCGGGGGGCCGGGAACATTTTATGCAAAAGTCATCTGGATCTCCTTCTCTTTACCAAAATCATCATCGTCATCAACGTCCGCCCAGGGGTTCGACGCCCCCATATTAGGCACCGTCTGCGCCGACTTCATCTCCGGCCGCGACGGCGGAGGAGCGGGATCGTCCTTGGGCGGCGGCCGCGGCGCCGGCGGCGGATCGTGAAAGGAAGTGTCAAACGTCATCTCCACCTCCTCCTCGAGCGGCGACGGCGCCGCGTGGTACGGCGACACGGCCCTCTGCTGCGACAGCGTGGGCGAGAACGTCTGGCTGCCCTGGAACGTCGGCGTCCTCTCGGGCGTGTACGAGTAGGAGCCCGTCGTCTCGTACGAGGCCCGGCCCGGCACCGCGTACGCGCTCTTAGTCTCGCGCAGGCTGTCTCGCGGGTTGAGCGATCCGTTTGACGAGCTGAGATCGAGTCTCATGGGCGGGAGCGTGGACTTGAGCTCCTTTACTTGGAACTCTGCGGGCTCCTCCTCTTGCGTCGTGGCAGTCTTCTCCTTTGCGACTTCGGCTCGGATGGCCTCGATGTCGAACAGTACACCGTGGTTGTTACCCTCCTTGTCTTCCGTCCTCGGGTTCGGTTTGTTCCCGTCCTTTGCCGAGTCTTCGTAAATCTCCCACTTCTCCTTGTCCGCCTTCTTTCCCCGCCCAAAGATGGAAAAACGGCTCTTCTTCTTCTGCCCCTCCCTCTCGAGCTCCTTGCGAGCCTCCTCAATCTCGTTGATGAGCTCTCGCTGACGCTCCTGGTGGTTATCGGGGTCGGCATCTTCGATTTCGGTGAATTCGTCACTCTCCACGAGCCAGCCGCACTCTCGAAGGAGACGGGGCATAGCCTTACGGTACTCCATGTGACCCTTGACAAACTCCGTGACGTCAAAGTTCTCAATCCACGGCAAGTCCTCAATGGGAGCCAGTCCAGCCACCTTGCGAGGGCCGCCACCAGTCAAACGGAATAGGTAGGCGAGGATCCAGTCGTTGCTGCTGTACCCATTGACAAACCTTCCTGGAACAACGGTGCGGGCTCGGAGGTATTCGTCCTTCTTGATGATGAGAGGAGAACCGAACAGGTAGACGTTCTGAACTAGGCCGTATGCCCCCTTTCTCGCCAGCTCCAAGAGGCAGGAGAAAATGACTCGCGAACCGAGTGAATATCCGACAAGTGTGACTGGGCGTGTTCCCAAATTTCTGTCAATCAAAGAGTCCGCCAAAATGAGACCTGCAGACCAGGCTCTGTCTTGTGATACACTCCAAGGGTTATCAATCAGGTATGCCAACTTTGTCAAGACGACGGGTAATGACAGGGCAGCCATCAAACTGGTCAAGATTGTACTTGCCAGAACTTGTTGCAAACCTTGTGTCAGAGCCTAGGAAAGGTTAGTGAGAATTGACAAAAGGGATTGAAACGGGCTGCAACAAACCTCCGTAGCGAGAATGTTGATTGTGTCACCCATACTCCTCAACATTTCCGGTTCCCAGTAGACAGAATACAAGTCGCCCATGATGGGATCCACGGTGCTGAATGGCAAACGAACGTCATCCACCTTGCCCGTCATCCATCCGGCTACTGTGACGACGAGATGCACCCTCTTGTTGTTGTGCAGCGGCCGATACTCGAATGTCTTGACGGCTCCCGTCCTCCTGTTTGCCGCTCGGCCACCGATAACGCTACCGGATGCCGCGGCACTGGATGTGATGATGGCAGCTCCGCCGACACCTCCGAGGAATGTAGATGTACCCGTCACTCCAATGGTTGTAAAGCCAGCAGCCAAGCCGGCGCCAATGACGGGGGCGAGGAGACCTGCCGAAAGACCAATGACCAGACCACCACCCACGGTAGCCAACCCCATCATCATGTAGCGCTTCTTGAGAGCTTGTTTCCTTCGATGCTCCATATGCTCGTCCTCGTTCCAGTTTTCTTGCTCTGCGGCCTGCTGCATCTCCAACGCGTCCGTCACCTTCTTTTCAAACTTTCTGACATCCAACCAGTCGATTTGAAGACTCTTGCCGACCCGCTCCAAAAGAATTCTTGATCTGCAATCATACACCGAATCGGCAATCAGAAGAAGAAACAGGTCGCACAGCACCGTCCAACGCAGGTCAATGTCGATTTTGTCCGAGGTAACCATCTGGGCTGGGGTCTTGACAGGAGGTAGCTCCTCTCCTTCGTGCGCCTCGTACGGCGGTGGCGCTTCGGCCACTTTCTCGTTCTGCGAGAGCGCGGGTGAAGGGGGCCCCATACTCCTCGGCGAGGTCACGGAAAGCGAGCTACGGGATTCCCTTGGCGATGTGACGGAGAGAGAGCTGCGCGACTCGTTTTCGTCCTCGGCCATGGGGTTCTTGACACGGGCGTTGGCCATCAAAATCGGAGTCAAGTCCGACGGCACCACGCCATGATCGCTGAGTTGCTCAACCATGATCTGCTCGGCGGAGCTGATGTCCATGTGTGTGTAGAGACGGATCATCATTTTCTGACCCCACATCTTGGTCGCTTCGGCCGACATTGTAACATCCTTCTTTGCGCTCCTCGTGTGCTCGACGCTCTCGGCTTCCTTGACCATGTTGTGAATCTCCAGTCTCGTCAGCCCCACATAGGCGATTCTCTGCCCTTCCGTCAGCAGGTCCTTGGTTGCCTGCATCTGAGAGACAGCATCGCGGGCCTCGCTGTCGTCTTCGCCGATACTCGTGCCATTCACTTCTTTGAAGAGGTATTGGGTATTGTCGTCCATGCTGGTGGCTGATTCGGCATCGTCGTCCATAATTACTCGGGTATATCCCTTTCCTGCACCGCCAAGTCCGCCGTAGCCGTATGTCTCGTCAACTTCGTCGGCCTTGAATTCCTTTGCGACAAGTCTATTGTCATCGTCATAAATATCGTACGGGGCGAATGCAGGCATCGTTTGCCAATCACCGTCATCGTTGTTATCATCCTCCTTCTTGTCTGACGTCAGTTGCTGATGGGAGAATTCGGAGACGCCAACGTTGCTGGTATTGCTCTGGTCTCTCTTGTGCTGCCCTTTGGGAGAAGGAGGCTCTGCCACCTTGGGCCCGGGCTCGTCTGCCTTGTCGACGAGCTTTGCAGGTGATCCTGGTTGTTGCGGCTCGGGGTTGCTGGGCTTAGTTTCTGATGCCGTCTTTTCTGACTCCTTTGATTCGACCCGGTCGGTTCCACCATTAATTGTGACACCCTCCTCCTTGCTCTCGCTCTTGGTTGTTGCTGAAACTTCTGTTGTTGATGGCTTCTCTGTACTGCTCTTGGCGGTAACCGCCTCTTTGGCTTCGACTTTGGCCTCTCCCTTGACTTCCTTGTTTGCTGGAACCTCCTGGCCTTTAACCTTTGCTTCATCCGTTCCGATTGTCACATTCTTGTCCTTGGCCTCGTCTTTGTCCAAATTTGAAGTTACAGGGGTAGATGGTGTATTCGAGGTCGCTCCGGAGGCAGCGGCCGTGGCCGGCTGCTCGGATTGGGCGTCTTTGAACTCGTCATCGTCACTTTCCGACTCGCCGTCTTTGCCGTTTACTTCCTTCCTCGCTGAAGCAGCCGTCTCGTTGCTTGCGTCTGGTGCATCCTGCCCAGCGTGGAGCGGCTTCGGTTGGGACTCGTTCGGTTCGGATTGATCGTCGGTCGTCTGATCGGTCTCCTGAGGCGGCGGTGACAAGTATCGTCTGATGGGTAGGCCGAAATCGTCCACCTCGGGAATGTCGCTCGTCATGGCCGCAGCAGGAGTTTGCTTTTGCGCAGATGCAGGTGCAGTTGCAGTCGCGGTTGCGGTTGCATCTGGTGCACGAGTGCCATTCGGTAGCTGGTCAGCTGCCCCCGTATCGGCAGCGGGAGCGGCGGCGGCGGTGGCTGTCGTCGAAGAGGGGTTGTTGGTGTTGGTGTTGGTGGTTGTGGTGGCAGACTCGTCTGAGCCCGCCATGTTGAGATGTTGTGTATTGCCTATTAGACAAACATGCGAGCTGGTTGTCTCAATGTGCCAGAAAAAGAGTCAGGTAAAGAGGCCAAGGCAAGGGTGGGCAGCCTCTTTTTTCCCTTTTGTTTCGGGTGTTGGAAAACGAATGGGTCGCGGGCTTATGCCGGGTTGGAGTAAGGTAAGGTATCCGTAGGGGACGACGCGCAATACCTTGAGCCAGTGGAACGAAAGCGAACTAAAGACTCCGTAACGTGGCTGAGATTAGAATTACTGTGGGATATGTTTTCCAGGCGTGCCGAACGCGCAGTTTCCGTGAGGTAAGGTAGGTAGGTACTCAGATGTGCTAACTTTTGAGAGAATTCGAGCCACGGGAACCTCCAACTGGAAGTCAAATTGGATGGACCAGGGGGGGCAAAGACTTGAATGGTACGTCCACGTGTTTTTTCTGTGTCTGGTCTGAGTCTGACAGGGTGCTTCTTTTCACGAAAGGGGGCCCGCAGGCTTGAAAGGGATGATGAAGAAAGTCCCGTTGTCGGTTGTTGGCGAATTTGATGGTTGATTTGATTCATCCATCAGGGGAACAGTAAGCCAAACACCAAATCCCCCCAATTGCGCCCCTCAGCCCCCCCAATGACGATCCGCTAGAGTGCCGCGACTGCCATTCCCTGTGGGGACCGAACAAGCCATGCGAATTGGAGAATGTCAGTGCCCATGAGGTGGTCACTCAAGGACTGTGCTCACCTCACTTACGCAGTACCTTAGTGCTCACTGAGGTGGCTGTCAGACAGATCGAGGCACATTGGCTCACCGCCCAACACACCACGACAGTGACCGTTTCAGCGGTCGAGAGCTCTGACCTCTGACCAGCCCTGCCGCCCCTCCCAAAGGCATCACACTGGACCTCTCAGTACCTCCTATGGCAGACTGACGACATTGGGAGGCCTTTGAAGGATGGAGGGGGTGCCCTGGCTTCGTTATTATCGTCATTGGGCTTTCATACACGATATCTTGGTGGTTATCGACGTGTTGTCGCATCACCTCAGATATGCCAACCTCCAGGATTAAACATCACCGAGTTCCCGTCCTACCAACAGACACTGAGACCTTCGAGCGTGATCCCCCATTATTCCGTAGGTAGCAAATCAAGGGGTCACATTCGAGGTGCCGGCAATTTCAAAGACCACCAGTTCATGAGACGATTCAGAAACACATTCACTCGACGATCCTCCCGTACGGTGTACCTCGCTGTAGCAAGAATTCCCCATTACTTTGGTATCTCTGAGCTTTTGTTGTACCTTTTACATTCCAATCATTTTAATAAGCCCCCACCCGAAAACGCCCTTTTGGTATGCAATATCGAATCCCTACGAGCTTTCCGCTGCCGCTTGCTCTGTCGACACCTCGCCCTGGTTCGCAGCAGGCGTACTCGACGAGTCCGCCGCATCGCCAGCGGCCTGGCCCTTGTTCCGTCTTCTGCGCTTCTTCTTCGCCGGGCCTTCTCCCTCTCCCCCACCTCCATCCGCCGCGGCCCGCGCTTCCTTTGCTTCCTTGTGCGCCGCGTCGCCGCCGCTCGTGGCCTTCTTCGCCTTCTTGACCGCCAAGGGGTTCGGTCCCTTGCGTCCCCTCTTCTTGTCCTTCTTCTTCTGCTCTTGGGCAGCTCCTCCTGCTCCTCCGGCCTTGCCCTCCTTTCCGCTCTCATCGTCGTCGTCGTCCTCCTCATCCTCCTCGCGCTTCCTCTTCCTCTCGGGCCTGACGAGCCCGTCGCGGAACTTGCTCTTCTCCTCCTTGGTCCTGATCGCCACGCTCTCCGTCGCCATGGGCTCGAGGATCATGACCGATCGCTTAATGTAAATCTGAGGGACACCCGGGATCTCGCGGAGCATGCGGCGCACGTCGCCCGACTGGCTGGCGACGCAGTAGCGGTGCTTGTTGACGAGGTTGCTCTTGGGGTCGACGACGGCCTTCATGCACTCCATCGTGCTCAGGGGTTCCGGGTAGTCCTCCGGCAAGTGGCCGCAGCGTCTCCGCTCGAGCGTCTTTGCAAAGTCGATGATTTTGTTCATGTCGGGCTCGTTCTTGCGTAGGTACAGCTTGCGGATCTCGCATTGTGTGATCACTGTGTGCCCAAATCGTCAGCCTCGTGGCAGTTCCCTCCTCCCTGATGTTCAATCATGAGCGTGCTATATACTCACTTGGCTTAACCTTGCCGTGCAGCGTGCGCTCCAGCCCGGCGAGCAGGTCGTATCTGAAGTTGTGGCAGTCAACCACCATTTCGGCGTCGACTAGACATTGGTACGGTTCGCGGAATCCCCATGTCAATTGGTACTGATTCATCAGCTTGCGGTATTGTTTGCTACGTTTTCCGCGCATCGTGAAAGTATGGGTTGCGAGGGGAAATTGCCCTTGCCGTCGAACGAGAGGTGGTTTAATCAGGTTAACGCAGCAAAGACGGTGGTGGAGGCAGATGTTTGCGTTGAAAGTCGCGAAATTTCTTGCTGGAAAAATTGCGATAAGATAAGAGGTCGGGCCCATGAAGGCCGATCTAACCCCACCATGGTCCGGCCACGGCCGGGTGCAACGTCACTTGAGGAACGGTATCATGGATTTTTGACAGAAACAAGCATCGCAAAACGCTTCCATGAGAGAAATCGCTGGATCTTGGTGATATTTGTTCAATTAGCGGCAAACTCTGCACTATCCATGGATTCCTGTGAATATCAAAAGCCAATCAAACGCCAAGTACCTCCCAAAAGATGGCCACTGTCATCCCGACTCGGGTAGGGCGTATGCCATAATAATTGCAGCCTGCCCCTGCGGGACCTTTTCCGTAAATTCTATTTCCCATGATTGCCCTAGTTCGTGATATCGCCCTCCTCATCATGCATCCTGTTTCCTAACAAGCGCAGCTACGACGCTAATGTCATCGAGTTTGCCTGTTTCCTTCGTTAGCCTCAGTGAAACATCACGGCCTGGCGGAGCCGATAAGTTACCTCCAACGCTCGGTAGCCCTTCCTCAATGGCATGCTCCATAAACGGGCTTTCCGCGAATGGATCGGTCGCAATCTTCTTCGCGGCCGCGACCAACTCCTCGGCAGCGAGCTTCATGCCCCCGTTTGCGCCGCCCGTCCGGTCGCCCTCGACTCTGTCGCCCCCGCACTCCCCATTCTCCCAGCGTTCTATGCTCTTCTGAATGCTGTCGACAATCTCGTGCTCCCACAGGTTGTCGATGACGCCGTCCGACATGGCGAGGACCACATCCCCGACCTGAATCTCCACAATGTCCAAAACGGCTTCCGTGTTGGGGGTGTCGGGGCTGTTGGTGCCTAGCTGGCGGGGGCAGTCGAACCAGTGCCACTGCTCCTTGGTCTTGTAGACGACCTTTTCGTGCCTGGGTCGGAGAATCATGACTTGGCAGTCGCCGAGATTGGTGACGTAGACCTGGGGCACCTTCTCGCTGCCTCCTTGCAGGGTCTTGTAGTGCAGCAGCGCTCCGCTCGCCGTCGTGGTGCCTTGCCAGTCGTTCGGGTCCGAAGTCGCTTTCAGAGTCTGCTCATACGCCGTCTGGAGATAGGCTACCGGGTCGGGCTTGTAGACGTCTCCCGCGGCGCGAGGGTTGGTGAACTCTTGCTGAATGGCTGTCGCCCAGTAATGTAGAATCAAGCGAGACCAGAGGCTGTTTTTCCGGCATCAATATTGGGACGTCCGATCAACGGAAGGGGGGATTAAAGCACCTACCCAGCATGGCCCCTCGGGCGTGTTGACCAAGCACCAACACCATCGTTGGCACAAATGAAGTTGTCGCTGGCGAACACCGCATCATCTCCGTTTGTCTGTCCGAGAATGATCTGTCCGTCGACTCTCGCGCGCCGATCGCGGCTTCGGTGATGGGTACTGAGCGGATCGGAGAAGGAGCCTGACGGAGGGGAGAGGAAGGGCGGCGGGAACGGTCGCGGCGCTCGCTTGGCGAAGAGGGAGACGCCGGTCTCGAAGCGAAATGGCTGTTGCGTTTGTGTTTGTGATTTCTGGCCGGAAGAATTTGCTTGCGACGGCGGCGGCGTTGTTGTCGATCTCGTCGTCGCCGCCGTCGACAGGCAGGCCGCTTTGTTAGGTCGGTATCGCTGCGGCCATGATGCTGGAGATGCGCCCTGAGGCACTCTCGGCGGCCGCGCTTTGAAGGGGGGAATCGCCAACGAGGGCCCAGGTAGCCTCCTCATTCCCACGTGTGAGGCAGATCAGGCGCCTTTTGCGATGTTGGATCGCAACGAGACGAAATCGCTGGGCCTGTTGCCGTTATCTTTTGGCGCTGGACAGGAAGGGTGCCGCTGGAGTGCTGGGCATGGCCGGGGGGGTGGGCTTCGATGTGTTGGTTGGGGGCTCTCCGAACCGGGGGTTAAATTGGGGCGCTACACGTGCAGGCGCGTTTTGGTCCCAGGCCGGTGCATTGGGCACTGGGCTGCAGAGTCGTAGCTGGGAATTAGAAGCTCTGGGCGGCCTTGGAGGGCTGGCACGGCTGGGTAGGTAGGTGCAAAAACTCTGAACTTAGGTAAGCACAGTCAAAACACACCCCACCTCTCCTTTTTATCACCGGAAAGCCCAACATTTAGGTCAACGCTCTGTGAGTAGGAGCATTGGTTGAGCCACAACATGCTGTTTCTGTGAATGAAGTTGTCACAACTAGGAGCTACCCTGTCCCATATTGACCGCATTTTGAACAAAAAGTTCCTTCACTAGCATCATCCTCCACAATACCAGGAAAGCAAGCAGCAAACAAACAAACTACAAACAAACTGAAAATTCTGACAGAAAACTCTTAAAGGGAGTGTAGCGTGGCGGGCTCCTGATGGGGCTGATAAGTGGCAATCGATGCAACTGCAGAAATTGTTCCAGGTAAAAGCCGAGCACGCCGGTATTGGCATATCGTAAGAAAATTCTAGCCGTTCCGCACTTTTATCATTAACAGGATACGGAGTAATATCCCTTCCCTTTAACCTCATATCGCTCTCACTTGTCTCCATCGGCATTTCCGATTAGAGAGAAATGCGATGCACATCCAGTCCCCTGAACTTTGAAGAGGCAAACTTCCGCCTCGGTACGGTCTACGGGTGCAAAAACCTGGAAACAGGCTCTGAGGCTCCTCTGTCATCAACAGATCGACATTCGGGATCGACAACAGCTTGGCCCGGTCGAGGTGGCCGTCGCTCAGCTGCAGCCTCTGCGGGTGTAACATAGCTAAAATAAACACCAAGGCTGGTGGCCTGGAGCAGGACGGAAACATGGCATTGGAGCAATCTGCGTCACACTCGAAGCCTGCTGCGTCCATTGAGCATGCCGAAATCGAGTAGTCATTCGTTGCGCGAGGGGAATAGGATCTCTCGTAATATATACGAGAAAGTAAGCACGCAGGTTGTGCAGGTTCAAGAAGCTGTGATTCTAAAAGTTTGCAGCCATTGCCGATCTTTTCTAACAATAACCTCCGAACCATACAAATGTCAAGGAAACAAACATACACGCACAAGACTGACAACAGTTCGGATTGCCGTCTTCTGACGAACCGTTTGGTCTTTTGAAAGTCTATGCTCTTCGCGCCACCGTCTCCCTACTTTTGTCTCAGACTCTAGAGAGTGAACCGCGACGCTCGAGACATTCAGCTAGAGCCATCAGGCCTGCAATTAACTATGGACATCATTTACCATGTCTCGCCCTTGCAAGATATCTGCTCGGTACTCACGCATCCAAGAGTCCAGACCAGCCTTTCTCATCAACCGCGTATCCCAACTCAGCACGGTCTGTGAACTTCGTAGATCGGTAGGGATAGGCTTGGAGCCCCCGGTTCACGGATCACGGTTCACCGGACATGACGTAACGGGGCTGACGCAAAATATTGACACCAACAGGTAAAGATGGTAAGGTGTGCTCACTCAGCAATCGGGAGGCCGGGACTATCGAGTTTGATGAGCATACGTTGTCATTGAGGAGAACACGCCTTGGTCTGCTTCGATAATCTTTTTCATAGTGTTGTCACTGCCCACGGTCGATCAACGCGCGTCGAGGAAGGATCTGCCCGAGCCGCCAACGAACCCGCCCCGTAGGCCGGGAGTTGTCTCATCTGGCGCCAAACTAACCGGCGAACTCGACTCTTACGTCAGCGCAGTTCGTTCATTGCCAGCCTGTCATACCTGTGCCGTTCACCATTTGTATGGCACGGGGAGAGCTCGGAGGAGCCAGACTCGATAGGTGGTGACTGAGCCCTGGACGTTGCATTGCTTTAGCTCATCGACACAGTTACAACCTAGTGTAGGCGGAGGCTGGGAATTTCGTATCCCGCCGTGTTTTTGCTTCGTCTCGAGCTTCGGTCTCCGACATGATTGGATCAGAAAAGCCCTATTCGACAGGGAGGAGTTGGCGAAGGGTAAGCGCTTTCGTGGAGAAGCCCAGAAAATACAAGATACCCTCAGATACCTAATTCGATTCGTTTTCGCAATTCCACAGCCAGTCGCTGTTTGCCAAGGGCCCGATAGATGATACTCGCCCTTCTGGTTGGCTTTGCCTATGTAAATGTCCTTCCACTACTCCATACACCTAGGCTCATCTCTCACCACTCTGGACTCTTGTGCGGATTCCGAGTTCGCCTTGCCGCCTTTCAGCGGAGGGGTCGAAAGTTGACTGCTCGGGGTGGGACAATAACCCTTGCCCCCGGCCGCATGGCAATGGATCCCAGAAGAGGGGGGCAGAATATTGACGCATGCGGGAACACAGGGGCCCTCGTATGGACCCTTCAGTTCGATTTCCTTCAATGTCCGCGTTTTCGGAATACTTGCGTGGATTTTGTTACGGCGGTAAGGGAGCGGGCAGCGCACGGCGGAGGAGTCTCAGAAAGCGGACGACATCGACAACAAGTCAATGACTACTTGCGTGGGCTGTATCCGTGGGAGAGTGAGAGATGGAGCCACTTCGTCCGATATCATTCGTGCCTAACTTTATGCTTCGAGTTCGTACAGATGATGCACAGAGCAGTACAACATCCTTGCGCCTAGTTTGGAGGAACCTATCAATGCCTACCTACCAGCCAGCGATGACGGGGGAGAGAACGCCCGGTCTGGCGGTTTCACATCGGACACAATTCTGACGGCAGATCTCACCGGAAGGTAGTGTAAACCGCGGCAGCGAGCCCTCCCTCCAACCAAACGAATGGCCGGCCGCCGCAGCTATGTCGCTGACTGTTCGTACGGATACGCTGTAAGTCTGTATCCCGTACCCGTACGATTAGAGAAAAAGAACAATCAAGAGAAACAAGGGGACCACAGCCGGCGTCAACGGCCCCTCTTCGAACCCTTGGGAGACCCCCTCATCTACGGATACACACGTATGGATAATGGATATTGATGCCCCAGCTCTTCGGAGTACTCGACCCGCCCTGGGAGGACCCTGTTTGTTCCCTTTGGCGCCAGCGACTCAATGAGGCAGGCGCATCAAAGCCGGCGAAATCATGCCATGCTGGACAAAATCTGCCCCGGAAATACGTGTTGGCATTGTGGCAAGCGGGCTCGCTGCGTTTTCGCTCCGAGATTGAATAGGGTCACTTGGGGTCCCTGCGATCGTGGTCCACGGGTTAGTCGATTCCTTTGGGTTACTGACCCTCAGCCGGGGTTCCTGAACAATTACGGAAGAGGTGGCAGAAAAGCCCAGGAGCCAAGTCGGCACTGGAGTTCCTTCGATGCTTTCTTACTTTACAATTGCCGCCGTGTTGTACGTCACACAGACGGACGGTATTGGATATGTCTTAGTAGTGGGATGCGGACCTTCGAGAAGTGAGGACAAGAGCGGTAAACTCAAGGTTACAAACGGCCATGAGGCCATGTTGAAGTGTCTTGTAATCGGGATCAAGAACCAACTTTGAACCAAGATCTCCGGCAAAATGGCACTCTAACGCTTGAAGTCACCGATAGCCAGGGAGTTCAGCCATAGAGGATGACACCCAGCATAAGTACTTAGATATCTGTATCGACCAAAGCACCAAACGACACAGGGAAGGAGGAGCTTTGTCTAATAAGGTACCTCAAGTACCCAACCGCACGTGGTTCATCGGGCCGGGGAAAGACGCTGTAGCGTTGGAACACTAATAGATTCCCTTCCGTAACTAAAAGACCACAGAGTCTAGAGAAAAGCCAACCTTACTTTTAAGAACTGAAACAAAGTTCCCGGCCGACACTGGAAGATCGAGTAGGACCTTGTGATGACGATAAGATGTTCCTTGTTAGAAAGTGTTGTTCTAGGTAGTATGGACTTATGGCAAGTCGCGACTGGGTGGTCAGGACGGATCGCCAAGCCAGCAAGGGTAGGAACACTCTCCCTCCCGCGACACTGGCTGATTGCAGCTGTTTGGAACATGTCTGTCTCCCTACGGAGTACTTTGCCCACATTGCAATTACCGTGCTCGTAATTCCATGACCACGATTGACTGTCATGGACATGCGGAATTCGATTCTGAAAAAGGCATACGCAGCGGTGCGAGGCAGGCCGCGAGGCAGAGATATCATATCAAATCTCCATCGGAACTCGCAAGGGCGACCGACACAAGAACCGAGACCGAAGCGGACATTACTCTTGCGATGACGGCCGAACCGGGTGGTTCTGTCGCTTCGTCAAGAATAGCGGCGGCGACGGCGGGCGGCGGGCGGGCATCTGACAACTCAACTTGGGGGCTCAAACAACAATGCTCTCTCTCTCTCTCTCTCGCGAATGTGACACCCGACAACCCCGATCGCTTTCTGCGGGCACCGCATGACTTGCGATCCTCCGTCCGAAAGAGAAATAGGCTACGGCTACTGGTTACGAAGAGTACTGGCTCTCCAAATCTCCAACCACTTGACTTTTTTGCACAGCCACGCGGGACTCAAGACAAGTGCGGTAAGTGAACCAGAAACTCCATGATTGGACTAGCTCTGTCTGTCTCTATGTACAAGTTGCGACTTTACTTCGGGATGCACGGAGTGTTGGCCCAGACGCCCAGCCCTGCCCCAGCTACAAGCAAGTAAGCAGAAGCAGAGAGCAGAAAGCTGTTAGGGGCAAGTCTTCATAACAACGAGCTCTCGGCAATGATTTGCACCGAACACATGATACCTTCAGAATAGAGATAGTTGAAGAAACCAGTGAGCAGAAAGAGCCTAAACCATACTGCGTAGGTCTGTCCGTTTCGGTTCATCCCCCCCTTTTGGCCCCCAAAACCTAACCCAGCCTCTTTTTTCCAAAACCTGAAGCCCTCCACGTTCTGGAACAAGACGTCAGGTGGTGCCTTAATCCGTCCCAAGTAGCCCCAGCCCACGCGCAAGAGCCACGGTGTGTGGCCCAGGGGGAGGATCTGGTGTGGACTCGTGGATTGGGCAGGTGGCGCATCTCCCGGGCTCTTTTCTCCCCCCCTACGACGGCGCATCATACTGTGGTAGACCGTAGAAGAACCTACAACTCCTTGCCTCAACAAGTAAAGAGTTCAAGACGAGACACTGGGAAACAAGGTTTATCTATACGAAAGAAGGAAAACACACAAACAGGACAGTTGAGAACAGTCCAGTAAACGCAAACAGAGGTGTCGGAACAAAGACTACGGGATACCTCTCATATCGAACTCGACAACTTTCACACCGCATCGAAAAGAACGGATGCATAGTCCCGAGATATCTCACGGATACCTTACCTCTTGTCTAGACCACCACCCCAACCCCAACAGCCTGCCCCGGCACGGATCACGAATACACCGGCGCCTGCGCTGTCAGGTCCCTAGTCCGCTACTAGTGCGCCTTACCTTATTCACTCGTACGGGTCGACTGGTTAGCCAAGGAGTTGTGAGTTGCAAGCTAGGTAGGCGTCCCGACCTCGCATTTATTTCGTTTGGAACCGCCCACCTCCCCCATCTGCATGCAGTGCTCCGGTCGGTCCTCAGCCAGGCGATCGCCTCGTCCACCCGATCTCTCTCTCGAGTCTTGCCCACTTGTGAAGTTGTGGGTGGGAGTAACGGAGGGAAGGCGTTGCGCGTCCACCCACCACATTACCCCTGCTTGGGAACAACAGTGGTACGCTAGACCTACGGACCGCCGTACCCTGGCACGTTTTTTTTTCTTCTCGATGGGCTAAGGTATTGACAACTGCAACCGCTGTCCAGTTGCTCGCGAGTTGTCGAACTAGTGAGTTTGGTAATAACTCGCTGTTGTGTAGGGAGTACGGAGGGAGCATGGAGTAGCGCCGAAGCCACTTCCCATTGCGCCGGCGCCAGTCGTTTGGTTCGATTCGAGACTTCTCGTCTTACACGCTTTTGTGCCCTCTGTTACATCCTTATTTTTTTTTTTTTTTTTTTGCGGCTCAGCTTGTCGTACCTAGGCGCCAGACAGGTGTTTACGACGAGACCACTCAGAGCACACACAGTCTCGAGGACCGAGTCGGAAAATGGCTGGGCTGGGCTGGGCTGGGGGGGCCATGGGGAAAAGAGACTAAGAATGAGCAGATGCCGATGCACGCAGCAACGCATCCCATCGATCCCGTCCAAAAGAGCACAAAATACCAAGGCCCTAAGCCCGCAGAGCCCGGATGCTGGCTCGTCTTGGCAGGCCAAGGGCTTGGATTTTCTGTGTGTCTCTCGACGAGTCGACGATCGACCTCTCTGAGCCCGAAAGGCGGATCAAGGAACCTTGACGTGCTGCATCGTCCGGCTCATCCGCAAGCTATTGAACTTTTTTGGCCGGGGGGAGGGGAGCGAGAGAGGTATGTATCTGGAAGTACCTTTTGACCGCATTCATCGTCTCCTCTTCTTTTTATTCTCTATCTATCCAGCCGTTTACTTTCTTGATTGAACAGTATGCGTAGGCATGTATTATCCCTTGCAGGAAACCCAAGAAGAGTCAGTAAAGTGAAAGAATCGTCTTGACTGCAGCTGAAGAAACAGAGACAAACGAAAAGGAAGTCAGAAGAAACAAGGAAAGGGAATCAACCACAACCTGAAAAGTTTCGAAAAACCGGGAGGTCGAAGAGGCTAGAGAGACAACCGAAGAGAACTAGCAACGTACCCCAAATGGCCCAGATGGAAAGCCGGCTCATAGTGTTCTCCATAGAGTTCCCACCTCACAGATGACAGTAGTGACAGTCCACAATCAGATAGTGCGGCGCTTGTCGGGGGAGACTAAGCACCGCCAACACCGAAAGAGTAGCGGGAGAGACAGAGTCATCAACATCATCATCATAATCGTCGTCGTCGAGATCACGGCCGCCCAGCCCAGCCCGAGCGACCGCCAGAGCCTGTGCGTACACAAGGACGGCAGCAAGGTAGACAGCACAGCAGACCCCGGCATACCCAACGCCATTACGTCGTTCGGGCTCTTGTTCCTGGGGGAAGGGCCTTGGTGTGTTGCTGGTCGTGGATTGGTTTGGGACGGGCCTAGCCCTGTTACCGCTGCGGCACTCTTTTTACATACTACGGATGGACACACGGTTTACTCAAATGTTCCGGGGCATTATTCACAGGAAGGTTACAAAGTACAATTCACCGCAGCTTGAGCTACCCGCTGAACATGCCCGGTTCAAATGAGAGTCTTGAACCTGTTGGAGACCTCTCTTGGTCACCTGTGGCCGTGCCTTTGCCTTTGCCTGCCCTGGCTGTGCCTGTGCCTGTGCCTCACGTTGCCTTACCTTTGAGCTGATCTTTCTGGTCTGGTTTCTGCTGGACCGGGACCTTGACCTGGGAGTCTGGGACCACCTGCCAAACTGCTGCTACCTTGCTGCAGCGCAGCCAACTGACCTGCGTGACGGTGACGGTGACGGTGACTGGGTACGAGAGAAGAGCGAGGAAACAGCAGGTCGCAGAAGTAGGCGGTGTTGCTAATTCTTGTTGCATAATACCTTACACCTCCGTACGTAGGTACCTCACTCACTCCCCGTACTCCGTACTCCCGGAGGTACTCCCGTACTTGGTACACCTCGCAGAATACCTCTCAGAGTACCTCTCAGAGTAAGGTAAGGTACGCCTCGTGCTTGGGGGTCTTTTTTTGACACGTTCCCGTCGTTTCCATGCTCTCCATGCTCTCTCCATCCATCCATACCTTACCTTACCTTGACACTCACTCCATACTCGCTCGGGTACGGATTCATACATCATCTCGGGGATTCTCCTACCTTTTTCAGACTTTCTTTCCTCTTTCTGTTTTCCTGGTTTCCGATTCTCAGTCTTGGTTGTCCTGCTCTTCGATTCGTCTCGCGTCATCTCGAATCTCTCTCTCTCTCTTCCTCGACTACACTTAACCTCCCTCTAACACCAACAGCTCTGAGACACGTACATACATACAGACGGAACCCGAAGATACCCATGGCTGAATCCTAATCGCTGCCCGTCCCGAAACTTCGTTACTTGTTCGCCTGGGTCCCTTTATTCGTTCCATCATCCATATTAATTCCACCTTTTTTTGTGCTCGCCGCGCAAAGAAGTGTGTGCTTCGTCGGTCAGTCGGATCTTAAGATTACCTTACAGACCGCGCAACCTCCCTCCCGGCCGCCGAGTCACCCGTAATCGTACGGATACAGCACTGCGCATTGCGTACTGCGCATCGCTCGTCCGGCCATTACATCGCATCGCATCCACTACCACCACACGATAATCTTAAAGCCGGAGAGATCCACGAATCCAACGAACGACCCTTCGGTCTCTCACTCACCCCGATTCGTAACGTCCCCCCCTACCGAGCATTCAGAGGAATTGCGCTAGTCCCAGGGCCGAAGCTGTCGATTCCGAAACCCTCGAATCCCCGAATCCCTTCCCGCGCGATCGCATCTCTGCCCATTCCTCGCATCCTCGTCTCGACGGGCTAGAGGCGGCCTTGTAGGCTTGTCCTGCTCATCCAAGACCACTCTTGGTCGCGCACGGCGCAAGTGGGTGTCTCTCAGTAATTTGGTTGCATGGTTGCTGGCTTGGCACAACGTCGAGCAAAGCGTCGAGCAAAGCTGCAAAGATGGGCCGTAATCGAGGTTCGTGCTCCCACATTCCCTTCTTCCAGCTCTTGTCGCATAGTCTTCCCAAGTTCCCATATCCTTAGCCTTCTTAGCGCAACTTGCTGCAGTTGGCACACCCCCCCTTCTTCCCAAGTTTCCCAGCCCAGCCCAGTCCTTGCAGGCTTGCACCGGACCATCATGCGTAGGAGGCTTTTTTGGTTGCGCGCTGGCGCGTGTTGCTGGCGTGCATCCCAATCCTAATATGCCCAATATCCCTTTTACTGCGCAATGCTGTTGTTTGGCGGCATTTACATCAAATACCCTTGCCCGGCCTTGTTTTCTGTCCACAGCTGGTCCTGGATGGCTTTGCATCACCAGAATCCTGAACCATCGTCCTCGCCATTTAACACTTTACTTCTACCTCTGTCTTCCCTGCCGCTACCCGTCCGCCCCAGTGTCGCCCTGCTCGGCCATCCTCACCATCCGTCGTCCTTCTCGCTCGTCCGCCGGGGACCCCCCTTCTTCCCCTTGCGCTCCTCCCTTCGCAATCCCCCTCACATCCGCTCACCCCCGGCCAGTTGGTGGTCCTGGCCAATTAGTCGGGTACCAGGGCGATATTGTTACTTTTTCATGACCCAGTGGCTTTGATATTTTTTTAATTGCCTGTATTTGGTATCACTGTGAGGTGTAGCTGTGTGGATTCGGAAGGAGACGCAGAGAGAAGAGAGACGCGCGCGCAACCATGCTGACCAAATCCGCTTCCATGGGCACCACAGTCCTCTCATTCATGTCCCAATTTTCTGCCACTTCGAGGGACGGCAGCAAGACAAACCAGCCAACTCCCAATTCGTCACCTCCCCCCGACGCGGCGACACCTTTTCCTCCATACAACCTCAAGTCACACCCGACTTCAAATCCACCAACAACACAACATCAACGTCAACAATCCCAATCCCAAAAAACAGAACCCTTTCCAGAACCGCCCGCCAGTTTCGGCCAGCGCCCCGCAACCCCTACTTCGCCCGCGCGTCCACCATCCGAATATGCGTCATCGCCCGCCAACGGAACTGCCAACAGCTCGCCCGTAAATAGCCCCAGATCCGTCACTGGCCGCCAACGCAGCTCCTCCCGCCCACTTTCAATGGTAATGCCATACCAGCCGCCCCTCATGGATATCAACGAAGATACCATTCCCGAGCTTCAGCCCATCTTCACTTTCCTGAATAGCCATGCGAACAAGCTGTACCAGGAGGGCTACTTCCTAAAGTTGGACGACCAAAACACACGTGAGTTTTATTTCATTTTTCCTAGTGCTTTTTATTTTACCTTTGCGCCTGCAGCTACCTTAGCTGGCGGTGGTGACGCGCATAACACTCGGACCCGATCACTGACTAAATTTACAGAGGGCAAGCCCAATCCCGACCGCACCTGGACTGAGTGCTTCGCTCAGCTCGTCGGAACCGTATTGTCACTATGGGACGCAGCAGAGCTCGATGCCGCTGGCGAGGACGGCGAGATCCTCCCCAAATTCATCAACTTGACTGACGCTTCCATCAAAATGGTATGTCGAGCCCCGATTGCCGTGCCCCAGCCAGATTTGGCAGCATTGGCAGGTACGACGGTGCGGGGGATCGATCGAGTGCTAATTTACCATGCCCTTGGCGTATAGATCGAATCCCTACCAACACGATCGAATGACGAACAGCCGCTGCAGAATATCCTCAGCGTCTCGACTGCCGGCAGGAACCGTTATCTGCTGCACTTCAACTCGCACCATTCATTGATCCAATGGACTGCTGGCATCAGGCTCGCTATGTACGAGCACTCGACCCTGCAGGAGGCGTACACCGGTGCCTTGATCGCCGGCAAGGGCAAGTCCCTCAACAACATCAACCTCATCATGGATAGACAAAAGTTCAAGACCGAGGAATGGGTGCGCGTGCGGTTCGGCGCCGGAGTCCCCTGGAGGCGGTGCTGGTGTGTCATTTCTCCCCCCGACGAGAAGGAGTATGCAAAGGCCCAGAAGGAGATGCGCAAAAAGTCGCCTTACGACCGTTCCACGCCGATTCTCAAGGGAGACATCAAGTTCTACGACACCAAGAAGGATGGCAAGAAGCAGAAGAAGGCTCGCCCCATTGCCACCATTACCGATGCCTACTCTTCCTACGCCATCTACCCGCAGGCCAAGTCGCTGATTGATGCATCAACGCTCCTTAAGATTGAGGGAAACATCACCATCCACTCTGACCCGCCGTCGTCCACCGAGGGTTTCGTCTTCATCATGCCCGAAACTCACCCTGCCGTCAGCGGCTTCGAGATGCTGCTGCGCTTCCTCTTCCCCACCTGGGATACCTTCTGCCTCTACGGCCGCCCCGGCAGACTCGTGGCCAGTGTCCTCGACCCGAGATCACTCATGTTTGCCATGCCAAAGCACCGAAGATACGGTTACCTCGAGATTCTTGACGTTACTGGATTGATCTTGGAAGAAGGCAGCTCAAGCTGGTCGGAACGTGATTGGAGAAAGAAGCTCAAGGAGCTCACTGGTAAGCGAATGAATGCCATGGATGAGTCCCAAGCCACCCGTCAAAGAAGCGGAAGCAAGAAGAGCAACCGTCTCAGCTTCGGCAATGGCACCTCCAGCCCTGTGCCGGCCAAGCCTAGAGTCGGCTTTGCATCTGATGCCATTTCAAACCGGTCTTCTCGATCCATGTCACTGGGCACACCCAACCGCTCAGAGAGTACACCTGTCACGACTTCTCGTGCGCCTCCTGCATTGGCTGGTATCATGAACAAAGCAAACCATGCACGCAACTCTTCGGATCCTCATCTGCTTGGTCACACACCCCAGCGCCCTGAGGACCGTGGCTACGACAGCTCGTACAGCAACTCCTACAACAACTCACCGGCACGTTCGCCAGCCAGAGGTCCCTCACCAGCCCGTGGCCCGCCCCCGGCGAGAGGAATTCTTCGCTCAGGAACCCAGAGCTCTGAAGAAGACACAGCCCGGAGCACACCGGTGCGAGAGATTGAGGGAACTGTGCGCCAGATGGAGTCGCCAGAGCCTGTTGCTGCTCCCCCTGCATTCAACTACGGTCCTAACTCCAAGCCTGCGGGCAAACCTTACCACTCTCCAGATCTTCGCAGGGCTACTACTCGATTGTCCAACACTACCCTTTCCCAGTTGACGAAGGCAGGCGGATTCGTGATTCCCCCCGATAGCCCATCTGATGCGTCGTCTGAGCGGAGGAGTGGGGAGGATGCTGCGCCATCTGGTCCTTTGGTACATCCTCAAGCTTATCCCGACCACCATGTAGGAGGCACTGCTAACGATACAATGTCTCGTGAAGCTCTGACCCCTAACCAAACCCCTCCTCCCTCCGGTGGTCTCCCGCCCCCTATTCCGCCCATGAACCAGAAGCGTTCCCGATCGCCCCTTGCCCAGCAGACGTTCGGCCCCCCCAGCCCTCACCCTCAGGGTCCCTTGCCTCCCAATCCTCAAAGTCGAGGCCTTCAAGATGCGAGACCCCCTCCCCCTCCTGAACATTTGGAAGGCCTTGAGCAGATGAGAAGCCCAGTCGAAGGACATCCCCCTCAGATCCGTCCTCAGCCGTCATTCAGCAACTTTTCGCGACCCGATGGCACACGAACTCCCCCCTTGGGTGGACCAGGCCGAGTGCCTACTCCGGAAATGCGAAACCGCGGCATGAACCCTCAGGCGATGGGGCCGCCGCCACCCCCGCATGGTAGAGACCCTCGGGCTCAGGGCCGCGGTGTCCCGCTCCCCGGAATCGATACGAACCCCGCCTTCCAGCGCAAACCACTGCCGGCTCGATCGGACAGCTTGAGAAGCCCTCAGCAACAGACACCCATCTCAGCCTCCAGCGGTGGCAGTTGGGGCAACAACATTATCGATCAGGCGGGATTCCAGCAAATCCAACCCCGCGATCCTAGACAGCGGACACCGGTACCTGAGCAGCAGATCAACAGAGCTCAGACACAGAGGAGCGATGCCAGCTACTACGATGACGCATCGTCAACAGCGAGCCCAGACTACGCTAGCCGCAAGTCCAGCGAGACACAGCGCTCTCAAAAGTCTTTCGAGCGGCCCAGAGCAGGTGTGTTGAAGACCGTGGGCGGCGCCGACTCTGACAATGGAGAGTTCGCCATTCCTGATGTCAACTTTGGGCCTACCGTCAACTACGGCGCCAATCAGCCCGCGAGAAACAAGACACCTACGCCCATGACCTATCAAGCCACGCCCGGCCCTCAGCGACCATTCTCCCCGGTCGCCATAAAGTCTCCCACTGGCAATGACCCCAGCCATAACCGTCAAGAGTCTGAGGACACGGTCAGGAAGGTCGCTTGGCAACCTGGTGCCGCCGCTGTTCCCAGCGGTCCAGGCATGAGCGCGGAGCAGTTTGTCCAGCAGCGCGCTGCCCAACCGGCTGCTCCCATGTACGCCCACAATAGGACGCCCTCTGGCAACATCCTTACTATGCGATCGATGACCCCGACTCCCGCCATGACCCGAAGCGGTTCTCAAGAGATGCTCGCCCGTCACTCTCGCAGCAGCTCGGCAGATCTTCTGCAGCGTCCCGGCTCTCGCGGCGCCAACGCCGTTCTTGACATGACTAGCAGTGGTGAGGTATCATCTCACCTGTCGGCGCGCGAACAGGAGCACGTCGCTCGCATGACGGGCTCACCGCTCATTACGATGGCCGGCAACCGCAATGCGAACCAGCAGCAGCAGGGAGCCGGCTTGGTCGGCGCGATCCACGCCCGTGAGCAGGAGAGACAGCGGGCCAAGCAGGGTATGAACACGCAGGCGGTGCAGCAAGCCATCAACCAGCGCCAGCAGCAACAAGCCATGGTCTACCAGCAGCAGCTTCAACGTCAGCAGCAACAGCAGGTTTACCAACAGCAACAAATGTATGCCCAGCAGCAGCAGCCCATGTCTCCTGGGGGCATGATCCCTCAGGGCATGTACACTCAGAGCAACATGTCTGTTGGCCAAATGAGCCAAATGGGTCCAATGAGCCCAATGGGTCAGATGAGTCAGATGGGTCAGATGGGCCAAATGGGTCAGCCGAGGGGACAGCCCAACGGATACGCAACCGGGCCTGCGCAGAACTTCGGCTACGCTCAGGGCAGCAGCTACGGCCCCGCGAGTAACTACGGCGGCGGCGCGGCCAGCACTTACGGAGGTGCTGTCAGCAACTTTGGCGGCCAAGGAGGCGGATACAGCCAGGGAGGTTCTTATGCCAACCCGATGGCCATGCGCCAGGGTCGCCAATCACCCGGACCTCAGATGATGGATCCCCGATTCATGCAGCAACAACAGCAGCAACAGGGCCAGTACTCCCCGGGCCCTCGTCAGGGTGGACGTGGACAAGCCTATCCGGCGACATACCAGGGACAGGCTTTTTAGAAGACTTGAGAGGTTGAATGAGATGAAGGAGATGCAGATGGAGAGAGGAGAGAGAAGAAGTTTGGTTTTTATTGACTGAGTAGATACCAGCAGACGGGGCAATGTGCCCTTGTCTTGGAAGAAGTGTAACATCATCTGGAACGGCCACATGGAAGGCGTTTGAAGAGACGTAACTACAACCATAGGAAAAGCTGGTTGTAGGTTTTGGTCCTAGACAGGACAAGCATTTGGGATTTTCTTTTGTTGAGTAGAGGCTGGGTAATAGCATGGCCGACGGTTGGCATTGATGACTAGCAGAGACGGCCGAACATAAATGACGAGAAAGAATTAGCATAACAAGACGAGATTTTCTACGATTTTCCTGGTGTTGCCTGGTTCTTCATTTCGAGGTGACAGTACATGGTTGCCGTCACTAGCAAGGTAAGGTATTCGTATGCTTCTGTGAATCGTCACAAATTCCCAGTCCTGAGTTGGAGCCTGCGCACGAGCGAAAATCAGTCCTGGATCGGCGAGGCAAGTTCCTCCCTTGTTAGGCAGACATGGGAAGTCGGTGAAGACGTTTCTCACACAGGAGTTCAGTAATGAATTCTACACCAGGAGAGTGTTGCGAGTGCATAGGAGGTGGCCATTTAGAAATTAGGCATTTATGATGGTGGCTGGTCTGGGGCAGAGCGAGCTGCGGCCACCGGCAACTCAATTCGAACTGCCCGAGCTTGTGTATATACCTATCTGTACCCGCCCTGACTACCTACTTTAGTTTATCGCCACTTCGACTACGGAGTAAGGTGATTGCCCAGGTTTCTAAATGGCCCGGAGCTCTTCAGCCGTCACGTCGCCGCGTTCTGGCTTAGGTTCTCCTGACTGTCACGTCTTTTGGCGCGTCTTGGTGGCAGCTACCGTGTAAGTCAGAGTACCGGTGTAGGTACCCACGGTACCTCACCAGTATACTTTTTAGTGGAGACTACAAGGTTCATGTACCCAAGGTTTCTAAGCACCGACTGGCTAACAGCGGCTACGGGTGCTCTTGCTGCCTCGTGGCCACTGATTACACAGGACCTGACGGGACGGGACCAAGACCCCTCAACGCCCCCGGGCGGCGGGAGGACCACCCCCAGCCAGTGGCTCGTCGCATCTTTCCATAATCAGAGACATTTTTTTTTTGGTGTTCCCGAGGGTCGAGTCCACGCCTCACGCTCACGCGCATGCCCGACCACGCCTCTCGGGTCCAAGAAGTCTTGCATCATCTGACTTGCAACGCGCTGTCTGGAAAGCACCACGCGCTGCCTAAATTTGGCACTTTGAATTGTTATTGTCCTTTCTTTTCCACTTGTTTTCCTAATACCGGCTTCCGGACTTGATTGCTTAACCAGTCACTCTGATCATTAATAGCCCCCCCCCCCCCCGCCTCTACGTGTACCTGTTTGGGCTGGTCATGACGTCCTCGCAACCTTGATTTATAAAGATACGACGTTGCCGGGTGACCGGGGATCGACTTTGCATACAACAACCCCTCCACCTCGCCCATCGCATTATCGATTACAGCGCAATAAGGCAAAAGGCAAGGTACCCCAACATCTGTTTTTGGGGGTTGCCTCCTCCGAATTTCTAAACTTTCTGGCGAACGACGCGCATACCCACGACGAACATATACCCAACCACCACCACTACTACTACCACCATCCCCCCTACATCGAACGTCGAGAAAAACGAGGCGCCCTTGCGAACCACCGAGTCCACGCTTTTCCCCTTGAAGCCTACGGCGCAAATAGTACAGACTTGCTTGACATCCTTCAACATCGACACCATTCTATAATCCCAACGTCGATTACCGTTCCATTCGCCCACATTCAGTAAATGCATCGCCAGCTTCTCCTTTTTGGCTGCGAAACTATCATTCCCGGCCGCGCATCTCGACCGACGCCCCTCCTCCAGCGCCGGCCGTCCGTCAACCCCAGCCTGCGGTCGACGACGGCAGCCTAGACAAGCTTGACCAGCTTCTATCCTATCCGGTGGTCCCAATGGAGGGCGATGGGTCGCAGCCCACCCAAGGTATGCCATGCCTTTTTATTCCGTCCCATCTTGAGCTCCAAGCAAGTTGTCGCCGTAGACCCAGTAGACCAGGACGCTGACCTTTGGCCCCCCTCTTCGCCACCTAGCTACCCAAAATGTTCTCGATCCGCGCCGCATAGGCAAGCAGAACTCGGGCTTCTCCGACGAGGACATATCCGACATTGTCTGCCTCCTCTACCCTCACACCAAATCTGCCCGAGGCGAAGTAGAACGCATAGCAAGGGATCGCTCGCCTCATGTTGTCGGCAGGGCGGAAGCGGATGCCGTCGAGCCAGACTACGAAAGGGAAGATACGGCCGACCAATTCCAGCTGACGCCGCCCAGCGTCGAACATGCAATCATATTGAGGTTGTCGGCCGAGACGAAGGATCCCCTTCGCGGTTTCCTGTTTGGCAGAAATGGGGCTCGGTGCGATATTTGCTTTCTCAAGGACCCTATGAAACGCCTGAGCAACGTTCACTTTCGCATATATGTTAATGAGTATGGTGTGGTCATGCTCGAGGATAAATCAACCAACGGGACCTTTGTCGACCAAGTGCTGCTGCGCTCGAAGCCTAAGAGCCCTAACGAGAAGTGCGACATGAAGCGGGTGCTCAGTCACGGTTCTAAGATCAAGGTGCTGATGCATAACGAGCAGCACGACCTCGAGTTCATGGTCAGGATGCCGAAGCGAGTGGGTGATTATGAACGGGCGTACAACATAAAACTCCAGCGATACTTTGCTAGAATGGAAGGTTTGCGCGCGTCGGACGTAAACGAGACATTGGTGCCGGGCCCCGGTGGGCATGTCGACTTGTTTTCTGCTCCTAGGAGACCGCAGACGGCCACTACGCGGCGGATAGCGCTGCCGTCCGGAACCACACAAGATAATGTCGACCGGTTTCCGAGAGACTGGGACGGGTCCGGTAGGTACAACCGTGTCAGCCAGATCGGCAAGGGAGCCTTTGCGGTCGTGTACAAGGTCACGTCCAAGTTCGACGGTGTCCCATACGCCGCCAAAGAACTAGAGAAGAGGCGGTTCATCAAAAACGGTGTTCTGGACCAAAAGGTGGAAAATGAGATGAGAATCATGCAGAAGGTTCAGCACGTAAGTTCTCTAATGCGCCCCCTTTTCTTACATTGAACCCCTCTAACTCCAAATAGCCGAATATTGTACGGTACATTGAGCACCTCGATTGGGACAATCGGCTCTTTATCATCATCATGGAGTACGTCGGAGGTGGTGACTTGGGGAAGCTTATCAGCGGCCGAGGCTGTCTGAATGAGATCAACGTCAAGCAAATGGCTGCCCAGCTGCTGAGTGCTTTGGCGCATCTGCACGAAAATCACATTACGCATCGAGACGTCAAGCCTGACAACATCCTCATCTCGTCGCTTGACCCTTTCGAGGTGAAGCTGACCGACTTTGGCCTGTCCAAGATGGTCGATAACGAACAAACCTTCCTTCGAACATTTTGTGGAACGCTGTTGTATTGTGCGCCCGAAGTATACTCGGAGTATGCCGAGTACGACGACGACGGCCGCCGACACCCTCGTAATAGAGCTAAGCGCGCGGCGGTTGGACAGCGGTACGACCACGCCGTTGATGTTTGGTCGCTCGGTGGCGTACTCTTCTATGCGTTGACAGGCCGCCCCCCGTACCCAGTTAACAACGGTGTCAGCTACTCGGAGTTGCTGCATACCATCATGACGGTGCCCCTTAACACGGTCCCTTTGGTGCGACAAAACGTTTCTAGGCAAGGCATTGAGTTCCTGTGCTACATGCTGGAGAAACGGCCAGAATGCCGAGCGACTGTCCGCGACCTTCAGTCACATCCCTGGTTAGGACCGTACAGGCTAAAATCTGTGACGAACTACGACCAGTCTTTTGACGAAATCACCGACGAGGATGAAGAGCTGCAGGTCAATGCGTCCCAACTCAGTTTGGAAGAAGGGCAGTCAAGGTATCTGCCTGATAGAGAACTACCGTTGGAGGACGAGGTGGACGACGATATTGTCAACGACTTTCTCGAGGAAGACTCAGAAAAGGAGAACGGCACATTCGGCCCTCGCGGACAGGGTGCTGGTCCAAGATTGTTTGGAGAGGTGAACATGTCCGCGGTGGGAAGCAAGGGAGCGATACCGGCAGATCGACTAAACCTGCCAGTGGCCGACTCGGGCGTTCTCGGCAACGAGAGCGTAGAGACGGAAATACTGGATAGCTGCGACTCTGGCGACGTTTCGACAATTATCGGCAAAAAGTCACCCAGCAGCGGCGGAGTCCGATTATCCATCTCGTCAGCCAATGGCCAGTCCGCGGATCAACTTCGAAGTCTGGTTGAAAACGTTGCGTCTCAAAGCCTGGGGGCGACCGATTTCGGTAGCGATATCCAGATGAAGTCCGCGGACGTTAGTCAAGTTAACGGCTCATTCTTCACCGCCAGCAAACGGAAGCCGCCATCGTTCGATACAAGCGACGAGTTTGAACCACGGCCGCGCGAAAAGCCAATCTTCAAGCGCCTGAAATCGGAGGGCAACCTCGACGCGTTAGCGGAGAAACAGATGGAAGAGTACAGCCTGCTCGCGTCAGTACCGCAGATTAAGAGGTTGGAGTCTGGACGCCAAATAGACGGACCATTCAACAAGATGAACTTTTGGAAGAACAATGTCGAAACATGGCATCTCCGCTACCCCGAGATGACCCAACTACAGTACGAAACGTTCAAAAAGGCAGCTCAAAGCCGAGGAGAGGAGTTTGGTCCGGGAAAGACTCCATTATGGGAGTTGGCTTTCAAGTACTTTCCGCCAAACAATGGTGTCTCGGCCATGCACGCCGAAGAACAGTCTACAATCGACGACACGAATCGAGGTTTACTAAAGCGAGACGACAGGAAGTTGGTGGAGGGTGCAGAATGGGATATCCCTGCGACAGCACCTCCAGAAGAAGAAGAAGAGGAAGATTCGCTACCAGACACCCTTCCTCCAGACACACAGAAGATAATAGTGCCTGTTTCTGACGACGGACCGAAACGTGCCGTCGCTGTCTTGGAGTCAGCCCCTGGGTCAGTGATCTCTGACATTTCAGTTCCCATGACCAATTCACTGCTGTCATGGGGACGTGGACCGACCAATACGATGATATACGAGCAGAAGACGGAGATTCGGGTGCCTAAGTACGCTCTTAAAATTCTGTTATGGAAAGACGGCCACGATCCCTCCAGAGACGTCACCAAGCATCCCTGGGATAAGAGTCCCGACGGCAAAGGATTCGCCTTTTATCTGTCCACAAAGGCGACAAACGGCGTCCTGCTCAATGGCGTTCTGCTCATGTCCCACGACTGCAAGAACCCAGCCGGCCCATCTAAGAACTGGGTCCAGCTCTATGATGGTGATGAGATTGTTGTCTGGGGGACCGCCGCCGACACGACGAGCCAGACCAAGGTTACTTTCCGCTGCTTCTACGGCGACTCTGCCCGCCGCCGACCCGACGATGTGCCGCCCAAGCTCGTGCCCCCGTCAACTGCGCGTAGAGTGGACGAGGTCTGCGGTCGGTACGAGAGGAAGCTCAAGACGTCGGCGGAGAAGAATGCCAAGCTTGCCGAGGTTGACAGGGAGTTTGCGGAGCGCAAGCAGAATATTGAGAGGGAGCGCGAGCGCAGCCGCGCTTTTGAGGAGAAAAGACTCGAGGCGCATCGTTATGTCGCGCTGAGGAACCAGGTTTCGAGACGGGGGAGTCCCGCGAGCGCGCCGGCTGCTACTGTGCTTAGGGGTCAGACGCCTGGGGGCGGCGGTGTACCATCGCCGTTGGGAGAGCAGGCGAGCAGCAGTCCGAAGAATTAGGAGTCTCTCGAGAACAAAGAGAATTCTGGTGATCTAGGTTGTGGTGCCCGGCAGATGCCGGCAGACTTGATGTACGACATGGGCGAGAACGACGTCGACATCAAGTTTGAGTCATCGCAAGATTTCAGTCAGGGGGATGAGGATGAAGAGATATGATATAGTGAGGGTCCTGGATAGCGTTATTTGTTATAGGCGCCTCTTCCTATCTCTGTTGGAGGTTTACAAACCAGCGCTTGTTTCTATATATGCTCAACGGCAAATTCCCCGCACCGTTACTAGTCGTCTTTCTCAGAGTTCGGATTCTCGCGGCGGAGGCTACACGGAGCTTTGTGTGTCGGTTGGCATGAAGAAAAGAAAAAGCGATAAAGGGATAGCGGGTTAGAGTAGATGAAGTATGAAGAAAACAAAAACCTCATGAAGAAATTCAATACAACTTGCATTATCGAGACCTATACTACCGGGTTGGTTCCCTTGGGATCTCGTGCTATGGATTAAATGTGATTGCCGAAAGTTGAGCTGTGGATCAATATATAGATTTGGTCGTTGAAAGTGTTGAGTTCCCACAGGTGGCCCCCTTGATACGAACATCTTTTTGAATTCCTCGACGTTGCCAGCAAGGCAGAGGTTTAGTTTTCATTTTGCCCTCACCGGTGTGATCTCAAGCAGGCGCCAATACGACTGACGAGACCAAGATCTGGAATCTTTATACGAGAATCAAGGACCGTTCACAGTACACATACAATGCCGCTTTGTAAAAGGGTAGAAGAAGAAAAAAAAAAGCCTTTGATCATTTGAAAAACACCTTCCGGGTTCATGCTTACATGTCTAGTATACAGCTTGGGTATAGCAATATTACAAACCTCACCACTTCTTCGTCCGGGCCTTGCGGCGAAAATGGGGCTGGGCTTTTGTCTTTTTTCAAGCCCTTGCTCCAATACGCCCCCATCCCCAAGGATCGTGGTCTTGACCCCAAAGGGGTGTATGCGACTTTAACCGCGGTTGAAGAGGCGGCCGACCATGCCGGTCGCGATGCTTCCTGCCAGACCGCCAGAGTACAGGGCACTTCCGGCCATGTTGGACGCGTGGCTGAACTTGTCGCATCTCGAAAAGGCCATGGCGTTCATGATGGTTAGGACCAAGGCGATGACTGTAAGACACGCCAAGAGTTAGCAACGGTTTTTGCTTCAAGATAACGATGGGAACTCTTCTTCAACAGGAAACCAGATCTCGTCATCGCAACGAAAGCTAAAGAGAGAAAAAAAGAACACCTTTACCCCCCCATCATCCCAAGGGAGGACGGAGATCAAGGCAGAACAACATTGGGCGGAAGGAAAAGGGGCAAACTCACCAACGAGCGGCAGCCACAGGAACTGCAACCTCACGAGCGCGAAGACGGCGAGCAGGATCCAGAGGACGGGCTGGACGTAGAGCGCGAGCCAGAAGAAGCGGCTGTCGGTCGGGTTGATCGTCTTGGTGCCGGGCTCGCTGCTCTCAAAGACCCACTGCGAGTCGCCCGTCTGCACGTCCACCTCGTTCCACCACCGCAGTCCCACGAGTCGGCGGCCGGCAATGTTCTTGAGGTAGTAAAAGTCGGCGGCGAGGAGGAGGATGGTGATGATGAAGATCATGATCCTGAGGGAAGGGAAGTTTGGTCAGCAAACGGACGTGGGTGATGAGTGTTTGTTGCGACGAGCGCCGTGGGTGTGGGGCACGTGAGTATCTTGGCCCAAGACATGTTTTGATGGATGAAGACAACGGTTCGACAAGGTCGAGGTGGTTTGCGGGATTGGTTCCGTTTCGAGGTTCGAGAAGGGGAGGGGGGGAGCTTTGCGACGACGTACATGCTTCTGATGATCCACAGGCCGAGGAAGTACACGAGTACACTTGCTGTTCACACAAGAGCATGTCAGTCAAGGTTCCAGTAAAGATCAAGGCAGTAAAGAGGAATCCAGGAGCTTGATTGGTGACTGACATATCCGAAATGCAAGAAAGGTCAAGAGGGTGATGGGATGCGAGCTCAACCGCCAGCTCAGGGAGCCCGGCGCATCTTGCTGCTGTTGGGATTCCATCTCGGGTGTGTCGACTAAGACGATCGTTCGTTTCGATGGGGGGGGGCCGTCACACTAGGTAGGTATCGTATCTTTCAAACTTCAATTGCTGAACTTCGGTTTTTCGGTCAAAAATGGGAGATGATGTCGACGCAATCAGGGGTTTGATTTAGTCTTCGTCGTCGTGCGCATGTCGTGGTTCTGATGACAGTCGAGGGGGACGAGAGGGATGCACTGTTCGAAAAAAGGGCCAGAAACTCATTACGGTACAGCTGTCGTAATGCGCGGGCCGCAGGGCAGGCGTGGATTCCAGCTTGGCTGTCCTCCCAAGCGCGTTAACTGGCCCAGACCCGTTGAAGCTACGGTAAGCTGTTCGGCGGGTGGAGGCTGAATTATTCCGCCAGGGGGCGGTTGGTACATGGGACCCACCTCATTCTTAGCGCTCCCGGTGTCCAGGGGTCCCTTGGCGGTATGGTCCGGCAGAAACGACAGGTCCCGATCAGTGCTCGCATTACATCATCAGACGCACCCCAGCTTCACTGCCTGTTGCGGGCAGCATCCAAGTAGCCGACTTGAGCTAGCCGTTCCGAACTCGAGTTACCGAGTGTCGGTCCTTAAAATAACATCGACTTGCTGGTGCCGGAGGGTCAAGAGCTGCGTCTCATCGTGTCTAGACTTGCCATTCACCTCAATCAACATCATAAGCGACATTCATTGCTTCAACCAAATTTTTAATCAATTCAAGAGTGATAGGCTACGGCTTACACAATCCCAAGGCGTAGCATTGCATCCGACGATCTATCCATCATGGCGGCAAGGTCCTCTTCAATTGTCCGCCGGGCGTTGCTTTATGGTGACTACAGCGATTCTGACAACCCATAATTCAACTGACGAGTCTAGTGCCCTCATCATCGGAAAAGATGCTGACCAAGTCGCTGGGCCTCAAGTCCGACAACGTGACATATGATCTTGAGGACTCTGTGACTCCCTCATTGAAGTCAGAGGCTCGAGGGCAGCTCCGGTCTTTCCTCTCCAAGCATAAGTCGCGGCCGTCTTCTATAGCCGAATTGGCGGTTCGAATCAACGCAGTGGAGACCAAGTTTGCTCTGGACGACTTGACATCTCTAGGCTCGCTCCCAAACATCGATGCTGTCGTTGTTCCCAAGGTCAACTCCGCTGCCGATTTGACTTACGTTACCGATGTTTTGCGTCATGTAGCCCCCGAACGACACACGGCGACATCACAAAATCCTATCAAAATCATTGCCTTGATCGAGTCTGCACGTTCAGTTATGAACCTTTCAGAAATCTGCAAAGCCTCGCCGTACCTTAGCGGTCTCATCTTTGCGGCCGAAGACTTTGCCTTGGATTTGTCGTTGACTAGAACGCCATCCCTCACCGAATTCCTCTACGCACGCTCCGCCATTGTAACTGCTGCCAAGGCCGCCGGCTTACCTAGTGCGATCGACCTTGTCTGCACCTCCTACAAGGGAGAAGAAGGCCTCAAGCGACTGGAAGAGGAGTCTACCGGAGGAAAGTCCATGGGTTTCAATGGAAAGCAGTGTATACATCCAAACCAGGTGGAACTTGTCCAGAAACTGTTTGCCCCTGGCGAAAAGGAGGTCGAGTGGGCAGTGCGTGTTGCAATCGCAGACGAAAAAGCTAGCAACGCGGGCCGTGGAGCCTGGACGTTGGACGGTATGATGATTGACGCACCGGTGACCGGAAAGGCAAAAGCGATAATTGCGAAAGCAGAAAGATGTGATATAGACGTGGCAAGCCTCCGAACGAAATGGAAGGACCAGCAGCCTGAGTAGACCACGTCGCTAATGAAAGTAATTTGGCCGCCAAAAGGCGAGCATTTCCTCCTTTTCGTCTTTATCGTACTTTTCGTCCTCCGGCTGTTTTGTTTGCTGTTGTGCCCAGTATTGGTTACTTTGATCGGGTCGCTCGCCATAATATCTGATCTCAGATGGTTCCTCTTCCATTCGGTCGAAAGCGTCCTCGGGATGCCGCCGACCGCGTTCTGCGAGGGGTTGGTTGATCGAAACACCCTGCGATATCAGGGATTGAGCCTCTCTGAACGTGTCTGAAGGCGCTCCGAGTCGATCATCATGCTGCCAAATGCGAGCCTCGTCGGAGGGGTTGTCCACGTATCCTGAGCTCTCAGGTCCCAGTACCTCTTGTTCGACGCGGGCAATGAAATCAATTAGGCTTTCCGACCGTTGAAACTGAGACGGATTGAACCTGGTCATAGAACCAGGACCATTTGGTCGGGGGCGAGAAAAATGATGAGGCTTTCTTGGTTGATTGACCCGAGATGTCGTCCGTGAAAACACCTGTGGCGGCCAGAGGGTTTCTCCCCTGTGGTCAATCTCATAGGTCAGATGATCATAGGAGTTGTTGTCAAGTAGTTCTTCTTCGGGTAAGGTGGAGTGGTTAGGTTCTTCCCTTCCAGACAGAGCAGCTGGGGCTCTTATATGTTGCCAGCAAGGTACTGGAGGCATGGCAGACAGTTCGGGCGCCAGAAATTGCTCATCAGACTGGTTAACAGTTGCTTCACGCCCGAGCTCGACGTCACCCTGAACACACACGTCACTTCTTTCAGCTACCGGCATAGTTGCTTTAGCAATATTTGGTGTGATCGTCTGTGCTGCCTGGATATTATTCTCTGGTATTGCTTGCGTTTTCGCAGAGAGGTCGATGGATGGCGGTACCAAATACGCTTGCATAGCCGTGGATGCTCGTGTCGTAGGAGCAGCAGCCCTACGACAGGACTCTCCGTTGGAGTCCTTGTGTATCTCTCCGCCAGACGGCTCGTTCAGCGCTTGTTCTGTAGTTGAGCCCACCAAGGCCTCCGCCCTGGCATCGGCCGTAGTCTCCAGCACAGAAGAATCGCGGACGGCTGACAAAATCCTGGATTGCTCCAAAAAGCTAGGCGACAGTGGCGATTCGTCTGTAGTCATGACTCCCTTGTCTAAATACCGAATAATCATCGGCTGTTCCCGGGAAGCTTCGAAGTTCTTGGACTCTCCATCAGGATGCACCTCTTGTTTGCGTCGACGCAAATCATGCGACGAGACACGAGCTTTTCTTTTTGTCTCAGCACCACCGAATATACCAGTCTCTCGAAGCGCCTCTCTAATCGGCTCAGGGGTGCTACTGTGGTGTCGGTCGAAAGAGTTGCCTGGTAAGGATGTTCGATGATTGCCACTGGTGGCCCAAGTGACATAAGTCGTAGCTCTACTGCTTGACCGAACATGTCGAACTGGCGCCACGTAGGTCTTGTCGTGGATGTGGTAGCGTTGGTCGCCTCTCAAAGAATCTGACCCCGTAATGCTTCTAGTTGACAAACGGTCGTCGCACGCCGGAAGGTTCTCAGGCAGTCGGTCCTCCAATTTCTGATCTTCGTAGCCATCACGAGGTCGCCCTCGGCCGGCGATTGGGTGTCCTGTTGTAGGCGTCTCCTTGCGACGAAGAAACGTTGATATCTCCACCAGCTCGATCCCTCGTCGTTGTCTAGCCTTGGCTTCTAAGCGTTGCTGTCGTTGCCACATGCACTCGCGTGATGGAGGCTGCTCGACCGAAATCATGGAGTTGTAGGCCAGGTCTCCAACTACAACAGTTAGTTGCGCATTCAGAACGTCTAGGTAAATAAACTAACCAGGCTTTGGCGAAGATATCTGCCCATTTTGAAAGAGGCCTGGCGTCAGGCACGGCTGGAGCTACAAATTCGTTAACAAAGATTTACTCGGATATCCAATGCTTACTCACCGTGAGCCTGTCGTTCAGAACGGCTTCAGGCTGGAAGTTGTTCATGACATCTCGGCCCGATAAAATTGGCTTCTTCGGCACGTCTTCCGACCGCCTGGTAGTCTCCTCAGGGGCCCTGCGTCGCTTTTCCTTCTGCTTCTTCCGAGAATCGTAACGGTCTTCTCTTGTTTTGTGTCTCGTTCGCTTCTCAAACCTGGGTGGGGAACTATCTACTGATATGGGAAAATCTGTGACTCCTGTCACGGGGGAGCGATGGATGGGCCCATGGCTAATTACCGCTATAGATGGCCTGGCTTTCTTCGTCACCGGCTCGGGGATGATGGAGCTGTCTCGTGATGGGGCGCGCTTATGACCACCTTGGACAGCATTCTGGAGGGAGATACCGTGCGGCCTCCATTCTGGAGTCTGAGCATTGCTCTTGTCCTGATTTGAATGTAGTCGCTTTGCGGACTCTCTAGTATCGACGCCTCGACGACTGACATTGGCAAGCCAGTCTTCCACAATGCCATTGCCACTTCTGGCGGTCTCGAGTAGACTGCCGTCCGAAGCCTGGTTCACCCTTCTCGACCTAGAACGGCTCATCCGCTCTTCTTCCAGATATGGATGCCTTGTTGCGATTGGTCTATCGCTAGAGCGGCCGTGCTGGCGATGATGCAGGTCCAGTTGATGATCCTTGGCCGCACGACTGCCCATCGTGCTCTGTTTCCGCGCAGGTTTGGGGCTCACATAGACTAGCGGTCCAAAGAACTTCAAAAGAGCAAACTATGGCGGGAACATGTAGTCTGGACATTTCCAGCCTTGAAGCTTGAGCCCGATGCCGAACATGTCTCTAGAAAGCACATTCTTGGGAGAACGGCAATAGCGATGCACACGGTATGAGAAATACCAACACCCCGTACCCTGAGGATGGCATTTCTCTCCCAGTTCCGAATTCACTTGGTCCTTTCTCCGTTTCTTTTGCAAGGCACAAGAAAGAGGTTCCTCGCTCACGTAAGGCAGGTTATAGGCAATGTGGAGCTCGCTTCTGACACAGAAAGAGGTCGACTGATGTTCCCACAAGGGAAGGAACGGTTTACCTGATATTAGGCGCTAAGATTGCTGTGCAGACCAGACAGGGCAAGCACGAAACTTTAGGCTCTAGCCCACAGGCCGAGGTCCTTCCATCTTGATCTGACGTGCGGCAATACCTTCCATTTCCTAAGTACCATTACTTGTCTGAAAGTGGGCCGGATTCAACCTCACTCGAAATCTGCAGACTGTCGGTTCTAGTCTCCAAGCTTCCAATGCAATATCATTTTTGGCGCACCTAGAGACCATTGTTTTCCGCCGAGCCAATCGACCTGATGCCACTTAGCATGCGAGTTTTTCAAACCTAGACCTGTTGTTATCAGCTCTTATTTGAATCGAGTCTTGGCTAATAGGCGCAGTCCCACTCAGGCCACAGTTGTTAAGCAGCTTCTGGCCTCTGCACAAATGCCTTCCAGAGCTTTCCAAGCTTTCCCATCTCGGGCATTTGCTCCCACGACTGCGAGGGAGATTCACCGCCTACCTTGAAACCGACTTGAACTATGTCCTTCGGGTATACCATGAGAGGCCAACCTCGAGCGCGAAACCCGTAGCGCCTAAGGTGCCGGCGTGTAAGACGGGCGAGCTGAAGAGAAGGAGAACGCCTGCACATGACGCTGGAATAACTCCTAGAAACCCGCAACATGTTCATACGGATATGGACACACAAACCGTGGCTCAATCCAGGCTCTGATTTGGCCAAACCGTGGTTCGACGCACCCACGGCGGCAGGTGGGACAACTTGGCACAACTCATTTCGCGAAGTCCCGCGTGAAGGGCATCGTCGAGCAGCATGACACCATGACCATTCCGCCTTGTTTCTTGGGTCAAGCGACTCCCATCATCGGCTGGCTGGCGCACTTGATATGCAGGCGACGCGAACCTCAAGTTGCGGCTGTCTCAGAATGCCAAGACATGGCCCTGTACAGACGGAACATGTCCTGTATCGAATACCTGGCCGAGTTCTATTGATAGCACCACCTTGGCGATGGGGGCAGCCGTACCGCTCTCGACCCGTCCTGACAGATGCTTGACAGCTGGACATGCAGGCTCCTGTGCCCGTGGCCGCGAAATATGCCCAAACGAATCTCGCACGTTTTTCACGCCTGGTCTACCAACAAATCCGCTTCATATCGATGCGAGTAGTGCGGCAAGAAGCTGTGCCTGCATTCATCACATGACTTTGAAAAGATGCGGAGCGTCTGCCAGAGTTTACCGGAGCTATAACATTGTCCCCGGGCTCGATGTCGCCAATCCTCCGTCCTCTTTGAGAGTTTCTGGGCGACAATGCCTAATCGTCGGGGAATCGGGTAACCAAGAAATCGCGTGTAGCCAGGTGCAAGTAGCTTTGGAGATCAGCTCAAGAGACAATTCGCAGGGTCGTATCGTCCGTGACGACGCACGTGGCTACAAGAGCTCCCCCCGGACAGGTCATTGCGCAGCGGTATCTCAGGCTCTCTACGGAGTACATGTGTCGATAACGACGCTGGCCCTAACAAGCTCTTTGCTTTTGCAACCAAAAAACAGGATGTGGACCTCGAAGAAGGCGCAGCAAGTTTCACCGTCGTCCGGTCAAGACCTTTTAATTATAGACGGTCCCTGTCAGTTTCGAATGTCACTGGGATCCCCAGAGAACAACCCCGTGCTCCTTCAACCGCCAGCCCTGCCGCGAGCGTACGACTATACGATATGCGTCGATTACCTACCTATATCCAACTTGCGAAAGCCAAAATCTCATCGTGGGAGCACCAACCAAGCGGTGTGAAAATCGAAACGGTGCCGGAGCATGGTGCCATCCCCAAACCTTGGTACTCCCAGCTGGATCGCGGACATGTGCATTAGGTTTCCTGCTGGTGGCATTCCGGAGGCCAAGTTGCCCCTCCATCTCTCGACTTGAAGGCCCCCGTAATCGCGGGCCCATGCGACATATGACGGCGGCTATATTTCCATGGGTACGTAGTTTAAAGGTTCCGCCACTTTAGACCCTACTGATTGGAGTTCTCTAGCCGTTGACACGTCGTTGCGTCACATCATCAAGTCGATATCAAAACTCTTCCAGGACGGCGTTGCTCAATTGTTGACGGTTAAACTAAGTTGAAAGTCTGAGTTGCAAGGACGGCGACTGATAAGACTGAGCCCGACCTTGCCAATGTGTATTGCTACTGGTCGTTATTGCGCTGGCGGCTGGGGAGCGGCTCAGGATTGTCAAGTCATTTGATGTCGCGTCGCACGAAACGGGCAATTGTCGGGCGAATAGGTACTAAACGTCCCGAATGCCTCGAGGTTGAACGTCGAGGAGAGTTGAGGGGTTGTTTGTGCGCCGTGCGTGATTTGGGGGAGGGGCAGTCGTGGCCAAACCAAGTTGACGATACGACAGAGGTGACGGCCGTCGACGTCTCCACTGGATCGACCAGCTCCACTAGCAAGGAGAACTTGGACCACAAGATGCATCCACAAGGAGAGGTTGACTTCACAACTTCAGCAAATTCACCCACATCGCAAAGGCTGCTCATGGGCCTCTGGCTGGTCAGTGCCTCGCGGGGTGTGGAGCCTCAAGGGGACGACGGCATTGAGCGTTTTGCGCGCCAAAAAGAGGTTGCTTACCGACTTCTTGTTAGCTGCTGGCCCTGGAGCTCTCCCAAGACGGACTGCTTCGCGTGTCGCCTCGCATGAGTAGTTAATGCCGGCAAAGGAACTCTCGCCTTAGAAAGCTGCTTGGTCACATCTTTGCGCATGAGAAAGAAGCATCTAGGCCAAGGGCACGGCGGAACGGCAAGCCGAGGTTGACGAGGGTAGCGTGACGAGAGCAAATGGCTGGATCCCTGGAGCGCATTGGACGACAAGCCAGGGACGGACTACAGACCGACACCACCCATGGACAAGTTTGACGACTGAGAAGACGATCGAAGTCATCCAGGCTTTCTCCGGGACGCCTGCGTGGGATAAAGGCCGCACTCGCAGTCGCCAGCAGCATGGCACGAACATGTCAGCAAACAGATGGTCGATTGCGCTAAGACGTAGCAAGGGCAGCGGCGACGGCACGGGTACGGCGAATGTCGCAATATGCTGGCCGGGCGAGATCAAACGGATAGGGACGCACATTCGAGCATCAGTCAGAATTGGCCGCCTCCCGGAGCCCGTCACGCCGCACATCTGGAATGCAAGCCGAGTCGAGAACCGGTTCTGCAGGCTCTGCAGCGAGGTGCAACACTAGGAGACTCCACTTTCAGGAGAAGGTGGACGCTGGAGAATGATGTTGCAGCTCCAAGATGTTCATCTTGCTTCAAACTGGGCATGGTCGAAGGAGGCTGTGCAAAGTGTGGGGTCGAATAGGAATGTCACTCTTGGTCCAGTGCGTCCGCAAGTGACCAGGCCAAGCCTGTCGTCTCGCGCAGGTGTTTCCAGCACGACAATGGCGGACACAGATGCCAATCTGTTTCTTTCTGCTGTCAGGATGCCACCCTGTCGACTGTCCTCCCTCTTCTTTCTCGACCAACTTCCAGAAATCCAACCTGACTGCCGACGGAGTATACCTGATGTCTCTTACGGCGCCACTCATCGGCGTTGCCAGCTTCGGCTCGACCATCGTCTATCTAGCGGCTCCCCAAAGACTAGCAACGCCGGCGTCTGTGCGGATGCGAATTCCTCGACTGGCTGCATGGAGGGGCAGCTAGATCGTACATCATGGGCTGATTTCCCATGGCCGAACTTTTCCCCCTCGCCTGCGATCCGGTAGTAAGCCTTTTTCGCCTGCTCACACCCTGCAATAGCTGGGTTCATGGGGTTTAAGAAGCTTTCCGTGGTCCTGGTCTCTGCATCTCATCCCACCATACTTGCAGGCGCTTGGTTAGTCAGGTCGACCGCAAGTGTGAGCACATTGGGCACAATGATGAGCGGTATCGAAGGACGGGCTGCAGTGGAGTTGCTCGACACTTGGGCACTTGGCACCGGAGTGTGTATTGAGCGACAAGCCGTTGGCTCCTGGTGATGGTGATATTGCTGACGGGGCATGAGCCCCGGACGAGAGCTCACAGAATGGACAGAATGCCTCAGAAGAGCAGCTGCCTGGAGGTCGAGTGCGTAAGTGCGTGCGTCTCGTCTTGCGTTGTCAGAGTTGAAGTGCTACGGAACGCGACAACGTCCACGAGGCCAGGCCGCGACAGCAGGACCCCGCGGCGCCAACGACAGTATCAGTATCGAAACCAAAAAGCTGTGATATGGCGGTTTCTCAAATGAACATCCACTCGAGGACGGTTTGACGGGCGGCATGCATACGAGGGGGCAATCGCATGTCACTTGGCTGGATTGGACTGATTCAGAATGACTGGATGCGAATGGCAGCGCCGCGTCTGGGTTGTATGTCTCGCGGCAAGAGAAAAGACGGTCATGGATGACAGAAGTATCGCGGGGATGTACATGTGAGCTTTTCGTCTGTTTGATGCTTGTTTGGGAGGGGAAGCTAACCCTGCTACCACACTTATGCTCTGGTCGAAACATTGATGGGCGTTGGCCCTTTGGGCCTTTTCCCTTCCACAACCCCCCCTTGCGCAGAAGAGCCGAATTTGGGATGTGGGCGGTCCCCTCTTAGGGAACCCCCTCCCCTTGACACCACACTAAGATGCTCATGGATGGATTTTCATGGGTCCCTCTTCCCGGGCAGATCTCCCAGATGTCTTGGCCCTTGCCTCGTGTGCGGCGTTCCAGCAGCAACAGCGACAGCAGCAGCGGCGGCAATGATCAAGCGGGCCTGTAAGAAAGACGCATGTACCTCTCAGGGTGAGGCAAGGTACCGTACGTGAGTACCTACATGCCCTCTTCACCGCAGGCAAGTCAGTTTTCCATATTGTCATGCTCACATCGCATGTATCGAAGATACCACTGGTCTTGGCCTGCCAGGCCTGCCAGGCCTTCCTTCTTCGTTTTCGCCGCCGCCGCTGCTGGAGTCGTTGCAGCGGACCCTGTGTCCATCGCATATAAGATGAGGAACAGGGACGCGCCTGAGAATCGGGATGGAGGGGGGACAAACCGAAGACCGCGGGAAAAGGAACGAGAGAACGACAAAGAAAAGCGCGATTATTCGAATCCGACAGTGACCTGCGCCTGTCCCTGCTTCCGAAGCTCTTTTTTTTTTTTTTTTTTTCGTTCCCCATTCCCCTTGCCTACTGCTACCTTATCGTCAGGGATCTAGTACTTGGTCTGGCTTATTGAGGAGAAGGAAAAGATTCCTACCGGCCTTTGTCCCGCATTGTGATTTTTCATTCACCTACTCTGAGAATATTACTACGTCTTTGTTCCACTTTCTCGACCTTTCTCTCAACGTATTTTCGACTCCATCACAGGAATTCGACTCGAGATATTAGGTGCCGAGAACCAATCAAAAACAGGTATGTTTCCGCTATCCAACGCGTCTTTTACCTCTCTCTGTGTCTCTCTTTTCCTCTCTATCGGTCTTTTCCAAGCATACGAATGCGGTTCGTTTTTTTTTTCCTACAAAAAACGAAAAAACAACTGTTTCCGTTGTACTTTTTTTCTTCTTTCTTTTCTACGTTATTCTTTGCCCGTTCCTGTCGCCTCAGGCCGAGACCAACCAACCCTGCCGTTTACCATTGTACCTGGTCATAATCATTAGCGAGGAAAGGTACCTTGCATGCCGTCATTCAAGATGTCTTGTTGCCCGTCGGTCAATTGAATTGAAGCCCCCCTCCTCCTCCACTTGCCCCGACTCGTTGGACCCCTCCACGTTCCCGCCACGAGCTGTTGTCCATCTCGCATCGTGCCCGCACGGCGCCTTCCAGTCCCAATCCGAGCAAGAACAGCCGGCGGCGGCGACAAGCACGGAAGACAACGGACAAGTGCCTGGCTGGGACCAGCGACGGCAAGCCGCAAATGGGGCCATTGGGAATAAGGTACCTACCTCGCAAGCAAATTGTTGCACCTCAGGAAGCAAGAGCAAGAGGCAACACCTGCTGCTGATGCCCCTCACCTTCCCTCGTCCCCCCGTTCACCCCCCGTTCCCCGTTCCGCTCCTATTTGCTGTGTGTGTAAGGTACGAAGTACGGAGTCGGGTAACGGAGTACCTACCTTGCCTACCTTTCCTTCCTTACCTTACCTTGCCTTACGGCAGCCATTCCTGTCCAGTCAACTCGCCTTCCACTCCCACTCCCACACTCATACACACCAAACCTTACCTGCCTTGCCTTGGGCCCTTTTTGCACTGCCTCAACGCCCTTTCCCTCCATCCATTCAGAAATTTCCCGCTAAGCAGCATTTCCTTTCTGTCCCCTCAAGGTGGCCTTTCTCACTCTTCTCCTTCTCACCCCCTCCTTCCTTTTTTCGATCCATCAAAGCCCAGTCTCAATCCTGACGTCTGTCATCACAATCACCACACTCCTACCAACACCAACACCAACACCGCCCACCTAATTCCAACCACCAGGTCCGTATCTCGCTTCCCTCAATCCCTCACTCTCCTCGAAAAAAAATATTGCAACACATCAATACACACCTCGGCCTCTTCCAACGGTCAACAGATTCACTCTCTTTTTTTTTCTCTCCTCTCATCCTGTGGCGACGACTGCAAACTTCTTTGTTTGGCACAGCCCACAACCCCATCTACTCTCCATCTCGCACTGCCATCCTCCGGCCTGGAAATTGTACGTTTGCTTTGTCGCCCATGTCGGGCCACTTTGCGCGCTATCGTCAAGTGACAAAGGCCATCACTGGACACTGGCTGCACAGGTGGATGCGAAGTCTTCCAATGTTGACTCGCATGCTCAACCGAGAAGTGCCCAAAAGAGCGCTTTCGTCCCTTGACTTTCTTCCCTCGCCATCAAGAACCCCGCTTGGCGCCACACAGAAACCACTTGCATTTATGCATTGCAGCCTCCCTCAGACCTTTTCGTTAAACAGATCCTAACTCGCAAGACAAATAGATAATTCAGCAATCTCTTTGCAAGAAGCAAGACACATTACTCTACCATCATCATGTCCAAGCTCTTTATTGGGTGCGTTCCCCCCTCCTTTGCGCCGGCGCATTGTCCACGTCGACAGTGTCAAACAAACTTTTGCTGACAAGTTTTCCAACAGCGGCCTTGCATGGCACACTGAGGAAGGCACCCTCAGACAAAAGTTTGAGGAGTTCGGTGCCGTTGAGGAAGCTGTAAGTACTGATTGCCCGGTCCGAAGAAACTTTCTTGAGAATGGCGTCGCCATAGACCATGGAGAGACACTTTGTCCCAACATTCCAGTAAAAACGAAAAGAGAGAGAGGGCGTGTGGTTTTGTGTGTGTGAGAGAGAGATCTGACCGTTATTTTTTTCCTGCTTGAAGGTCGTTGTGAAGGACCGCGACACTGGCCGCAGCCGTGGATTCGGCTTCGTCCGCTACACTCAGGATAGTGACGCTCAGAAGGCCATTGCTGCCATGAACAACGTCGAGTACGCTGCCTTTGCGAATCTGCTTTCCATTGCTTGCTTGTCCCGGCGCAATGATCGTGGGAACCCTTCAGCTGACTCACACACCAACTTGCTAGGTTTGACGGACGCACCATTCGCGTTGATAAGGCTTCTGACAACGGTCCCCGCGGTGGCGGTGGCTACCGCGGCGGCTTCGGCGGCGGTGGTGGACGTGGCGGCTACGGCGCCCCCCCTGTGCCTTACGGAGGCGCTCCCGGTGGATACGGTGTTCCCAACATGGGCTACCAGCAGCAGCAGCCTGCCTACGGCCGCGGCTACCCCCCTCAGCAGCCCTACGGCGGTGCTCCTCCCCAGGGTGAGTTGACGATGTCGCGTCTGTTGCTGATACGTCTTGCTAATACCTGGTAGATGGCTACGCGCCCCAGGCTCCCTACGGATACGCCGACCCGTCTCAGCAGCCCCAGGGCGGCCGAGGCTATTAGTGCTCGCTAGATTTCGGAGATTCGTTGCCCGCTAGTTGTCGGTTTTCGCAACTCGGGAACATGCGGCCAAGACATGTTGCCGACGCTCAACTGCTCCGAGTCTGACAGACGTTCGTGTGCGCGCCCGTTGGTTCGATCGAGCTTTGGTGATATTCTTCGCTGCAACACAATACCCGGTTCTTCTGTTGCACTGGATCTCTGGAAAATAAAACCCCAACCCGCGGTCAAAAGGGTTGGTAACGGCCTAGTCTTCTCAAATGGAATGGTTTTCTGCTTCTGTCCTTGATCTTCACCTTTGTTGCCCCCAAAATGGTTGCTGCCACCAAAGTTTTGGTGTATTTTCCGCATGCGGTGATGGTTCCTTTTCCGGTGATCCTTGTGGAGTATGGGGAGGGGCGGCGATGTGGGTTTGTATTTGGGAATGACGCAGAGTGTTGTCGGATTCATCGTGGACGCCAACGGATTTGTGGTCTAACGCTACATGTCTGCCTGACTGTGTCTCTCTTGATTGACTCTCTATGTGTTGAATGTTCTGAAACAAGAATGTTGGTTGACATGGGCTCCAAGGCGTTGTTGCACCACGGGCAAAGGGGAGAGGTGAAAAAAAGGGGTGGTGGGTGGGCAGAGGCTTGGTTTTCAAGAAGAAAAAAAGAAGAGGCGAAAGAATGTGCAGAAAAACTCTTCAGTCTGTCTTTTCAGTCTCCTCCTGTTCCTTGACGCTGTTTTCTTGCTTGAAAGTACTGCCGACGGCTGACAACGGTGGTTGCGTAGCATCGTGTGATGTTTCCTCGGCGGAAATGATGGCCCGTACTCTGTTGGAGAGGTCGGTGATGTGGACGTCACCGCTCTCCGGGCTCAGTCCGTCAAGAGCTTCTTCGAGGCCAAGAAGGTAGTCGATGTTTAGCCCACTCGGGCCGCGGCTCTTCCGGATGTGGGCGGCGAGAGCCTGAGGATCCTGTGGCCCGACAAATTGGTCATTGTCCGGGGTGCCAATGTACACAAGTGTGCGGATTGGCTCGGAGCCATCAGCTGGATAGAAAGGGGCGTAGTGGATCGTGTATCCGTTGATCTCGCGAATGTCAAGATAGTCCTTGACTTCGGCGACCTTGTCTGCCTTGATACGGTAGGCGACACCCCAGACACGTTCAGGTGCCGAGTCGTGGTGGTCGGTCAGCTGCTCCCAGAACGAGCGCTCGATGAGCGTGACAACACGGCCAGGAGCTTCGGGTGTGCCTCTGTGGTCTTGACTGGTGAAGGGGTCAGGACATCTTGAAGTGAGACCAGATGGCAGGTGTTATAAAGCCTTTGGGGGTCATATGGTTACCTTGCCTGCGTAAGGTGTTAGTGAGACTAGTGGAGACAAGGGGAAGGCAGGACGTGAAGTGGAAATAAGCATTGGTGGCAGCGGGCACTAGGGACGCAAGGTGGCCTTGTGTTCCCACGGGGCAGGATGAGACGGCACGCCCGGGAGAGGTAAGGGAGAGACGAACCTGCCAGAAGCGACGGACGTATCCTGTCACCCAACCAGGGATTCTTCTATCTGTGGGGGTGGACGACATAGATCAGCCGACGGCTCGGATGGCGGCAAGGGGCAGGAGGAGAAGAAGGATGAGGAGGTTGAGGAGGACAGAAGGGGGGGTGTGGTGTGGACGAGGTGAGGCTAACCGAAGTGCGGCGGAGGCTTCCATATCAGACTCCTGGAAGACGGGGTTTGTAACGTTAGCACCGACGTGTGTGAGGCTTGTCTACGGCAGGCAGGGATGCGTGCGCCATGCGGGAGGGCGGGAGGAGCTGGAGGACAATAGCAGCCCAGTCCAGTCCAGCCCAGTAGGGAGAGCGGCAGGGATCGAGGGTGATCTCGAAGGGTCGAAAACGTACCCATAACCGTACAGCCAGAACTCGCCGCTGCCGTTGGTGGAGAGGTCGGTGTCGGCCATGCCGGCTGTCGTAGATTTTGAAGTCTGCCTGAGATGATGTACAACGCGAAGAAGACTAAGAGACGGGATATGAGAAATGACAGTCCAGTTGTTGCTGTCCACCGTGGATTCGAGGTGAATACCTACACTTGGGAAGAGTGTTACAACTGGTGTTCACGATGCCAAAGCCTGGAGGAATTTCGAGCAAATCAGTCCCACTCCGGTGTAACTCGCTTCGGACCCTGCACACACACAAAACATAAAAGAGAAGCAGCAGAGGCAGCTCGGCGATCCAGCTTGGATCGATCTCTCAGGGCACTTGACCAGGCGCGTGAGGGCCGAGGGTTACGAAAGCCATCGGTGACGCCCCAGAGCGGCAAACCGCAAGGGCCGAGGCGGGAGTTGTGTGAGGGGACCGCGTGAAGCCGCGCGTACACATGTTGGAGATGGGTAGACAGACAAGCAGACAGGCAAACAAACAGAACAGAACACGACTCGAAAGGTCAGATTTGAGAGGGGTAATGAAGAGAGGTGGACGAGGAAGATGATGAGGAAAGAGGTGGAGGAGAAGCAAGAGGAAGTGGAAGAGGAAGTGTTCTAGAAGGGGAGGGGACTGGAGGGTCTAAAACGGGCCAGGCGGAAAAGTCAAAGTGGCGGGCCTATGTAAGGTATAGTAGGGTAAAGTGAATCGGGGCGTGGTCTTGAAGAGAAGGAGATGACGGTACATACGATTCTGGAATCAGAAGGCGGGGAAGAAATGGGAGACTGGAGAGGGAGACGGACGTGTTCCAAGTGATCGAGGAAGAACGGGCAGGTCGAGTTGACGGCCGCGAATCTGCAAAAAAGCTGGAAAGCATACGCAATCCCGCTTGCCGGCGTCCCGTGCTGGAGGCTCGGCGTTCTGGGGAGGGGCATTGGTGCCGGGGCTGTGGTGGGGCAGGCAGGGCAGACTCGCAGACTCAATGGAAGGGAAGGGAAGGGGGGAAAGGGAAGGATGTTAGGGTGGTACGGGCTGACTGTGGACGGTCACGCATCCACGATGATTCGAAGACGAAGAGAGGGCCTCAAAGCACTCACTACCTTACCAGTTACCTAGAGATGAGGCGCATGGCAGTTGTCCACATGCAAGATCCATCAGGTCCAACTACCTTACCTTATCTTAGACACTAATGAGTGAGGTGATTACTGGTGCGATGCCAAGGTCAGAAGAGGGACGGACACCTGCCAACTGGCCAGATCATCTCACCTCAGGTGCTGGCGAGTGAACGTGCCATGGTGAAATAAGCTTAAATGGGGATACACCTCAACCACCAGCTCAATCTCAGATGGTTGTCATGCCGCCCGGCCCGATGGTGTAGAGGACTTTCCCGTTACCTCAAGTGTGTGGGAGTGTGTGTGGTGTGTGGGAGAGCCCGGAGTTGTAAGGAATAAGTGTCATTCAGATAGGTAAGTATGGAGTACTCGCAATTACGTGTATACGTACCCCTCTAACGCATGGTCCAACGTTCATTCCTGGTCCTGAATCCTGTCAAAACTTACTCAATACGGCAAGTATCCGGAAGGTACGGAGTATACCGTATCCCACACCTCTCAGGCTCTATTCCGAAGCAGCACTTGTCTGATGATCAAGCTGAAGCCTTGGGGATGCGCAGTATGGTCGGTGAGCGATTGCAATGATTGGGGAGAAGAAGAAAAAAAAAAGAAAGAAAAATGACGGAGGCTCCAGGCTGAAATTTAAAGTGTGCAGGAGTAAGCAGGACCCCTTTCTATGGCTCCCGTCGCGATCTGTATCTGGATCGTATCACGTACCCGGTCCCGAGACGAAGAAAAGACCCCTTGGGGCCATGTAGTGGATACAGGGAACAAAACTAGGTACCTACTCCGTAGTGCACCACGCATATCACCCACACAAGGACAGAGGCAGGTAAGCTAAGTCAAACTACCTTAGCAATAACGGTACTGAAGATACGAATTATCCGTACGCTAAGCGCGTATGTCGCCGAGCTGTCCCGCGCTAGAGCCCTCGTGGGTGTTTTCTTCTGACGGGATTTGCGCGGACCTGCCCGTATCTTTCTCTGAGGTCTAAAACATTCAGTGTTCAATGTTGTCTGTGATTGCAACGGGTATTCTTTCCCATCCTGTCTGCCTTTCTCAATCAATAGCTCGCATTCCCCCCTTAGCCCCCGGCGCGGCGTTGGCTTAGTAAATCCACCCGATAGCCACACAACCAGGAACACCAGGCGAACGTGGCGGTGCCACGAAACCGAGCTGGGCACTGACTTGACTGACAATGACTCTGATGATCTTGACTACTGATGAACTGACTGAATGGCAAATTGCTGAAAGAAGTCGAGAGATGACGAAAGAGGACAGAATAATACGTACAGAAATATGGAACCAGTATCGGGAAAGAGGCAGACAGCCCGGGCGTATCCGTACCTTCCCCGGTGCCTGGTATCCGTAAGGTAAGGTAGGTAGGTACCTTACTGCGTGCTCCGTACGACGTACTCCGTCCGTACAGAAAAGTAAGAGGGTAGGAGCAAAAACAGGCATCAGGATCCAAAAGCGAGCAAAGAAATCACTTAGAGCTTGTTCTTGTTCTGTTTTTAGCCCGTATCCCCAGAAATGCAATTTCGCACACATCCACTCAAGAGGCTGACTTTGCAAACCATCGCCTGTTCATCCCGTCTCCCGCACTCCTGTTGGCCTATGGTGTCCTTTTTCTGTCCATTCGCAATCTCTCAAGCGCACCGCGAAGCCGTAAACCGCCACAACGCTTGCGCATTGTACCCAATTCTGATCAATTTGTTTCGTGACGTGACCCAGGCCCCGACTCATACACACACCGAGCCTTCGGCTTCTTCCAACACCTCCTGTCATCAATAATACACGTACCTTCCCTGCACATCACCGCTCGTGCCATCCCGCGCACCCCCCAAAAAAGAAGCTGTCTTGTCCGGTCTTCCGTTCGCCGAGAGCTCCCACCTCTTCGCTTTTTGTTCAGTTTTGTTTTACAAAGCCAGATAACAGCCTACCTACCCCCTCTTCGTCATCTCCGCGACCTGTCATTTATTGCCTATCTGAATTCCTTCCCCTCCTTCACCTAACCGAAGACCAGAGGCAGAAAGAAAGCCTTACCTTCTATACCACAGTCATCACCACCACCATAAGTCAACCTACGACCGCAACTACTACCTTGGACATCAGCAACCACCCATACTCAGCCCAAGCCTCACTGCACATTCGGCGTGCGGCTGAAACCAATCTTTACATTCTCTTCACTGAGCTCGAGGCCCGATTGGCACTTTGTCCTCCTTCGCCGCAGCCTAACCCACCGGCCACCCAGCCCTACCTCTTGACTAGCGTGCCGACTGCCGCCTGACGTTGAGTCGCGGTTCCGCTCCCCTGCTTGCTTCCAGGTTCCATAACCCATCATTCTCTCTTGGCTTTTACATCCAGCTCCTGCGGCTCCCCTCTGCTCTCTCTGCCCACAGTAATCCCCCCCACCTCGCCAGCTTCATATACCCCAGGAGCCTCAATCCAGTCTCGCCTCCAAAGACCCTTCTCTTTCTTCTCTTGAACTTTTGCTTGCTCCGAATCCGCACCAATTTCCGCAATGGCGTACAACAGACCCTACAACCCCGATGAACTTCCAAGGTACGTTGCACAACACACCATTCATCTAGCCCATTGTTCATGGTCTAAATACCCAATCTCCTTCTTTACCCCGCCATGCTAACCCCCTCCTAGGTTCGCGGAACCCGAACAGGTACGTTTGCGCCCTCGGCCTCCGGTCACCTGACGACGTTTCTACTCCATTCATCCCATCGGCACCCGTCACCCCCCTTGGATCGCGCATCTTGCAGATAAACTAATATTTCCATCATAGAAGGGCGGCGCTGCCCCGGCACCTTCTCAGCAGCCTTCCCAGCAGCATCCTCAGCAACACTCTCAGCCTCGCTACGAAAACAAGCTTCCAGCCGTCCCTCGCGACGAGTACCACCGTCCCGATCCGCGGAACGACCATCGCCGACCCAGCCCCAACATGTACGGCGTCAGCTCTCCTCCTCCGACGGGCAACCCTCGCCCGAACGCCCAGCCCCGGCCACCCCCAAACTCCCGGCCGCCTCCTTCTCCCGCTCCTGATATGAGCGCAGACGGCGCAGATCCGACACTGCTGCCCCTTTTCCGAGCGGTCGATAAGGATGGTGAGTGATGCTGCCGACGCCCTTTTGCAACGACCGCCAACTAATGACTATCTACAGGCACTGGCCAGCTGTCCGAGCGGGAGCTGTCAACTGCCCTCGTCAACGGTGACTGGACTGCTTTCGACCCTCAGACAGTTCGCATGATGATCCGCATGTTCGATTCCGACCGCAGTGGCACTATTGGCTTCGCCGAATTTTGCGGCCTCTGGTCCTTCCTTGCGTCGTGGCGCACTCTGTTTGACCGATTCGACGCCGACCGATCTGGAAACATTTCCCTCGGCGAGTTCACCAACGCTCTCGTCGCTTTCCGTTATCGTCTCAGCCCTGGTTTCGTTGAGCTTCTCTTCCGGACGTACGACAAGCGTGGAGAAGGCGTCATGTCCTTTGATCTCTTCGTGCAGGCTTGCATTTCTCTGAAGCGCATGACGGACGTGTTCAAGAAGTACGATGACGACAGAGACGGCTACATCACCCTCAGCTTCGAGGACTTCCTGACGGAGATTCTCAAGCAGCTCAAGTAGGTCTGGCAAAAAGAGAGGTCTAGGCGTGGATTGCAAGACCCAGGGACTGGAATGGCCCGAGTACACTTTTGGGCCACGTCGCATGGAGTAGCTTTCCACACGGTCAGGCAGGCAATGTTGGACTGCAAAGGAGACGTTGTCTCCATGATTTCAAGCAGAGAGAAAAGAAGAAGACGCGTTGTTCAGGTGGGAATATTAGATACCCCGGGTGAATGGGTGCAGGTAATGGAGAGGTATATCGTCTGGATTTGGCACTCTACTCGCAAGGGGTGGAACTCAGGATTGAATGCATGATATGGGAATCATCTAAGGTGGAAATCATGACAGTACCTCAAGCAAGATATCGGGCATTGCATTGAAGTTTTGATGAGCATCATACTCCACCACCCTTTGTCCCACGTGCAGATTCGCTCCTCCATGGCCATCGGCAACCCTTCTAGAAGAAGCCTCCTTGGTGGCTGAGCGGATGAATAGTAGTATCGGGCTTGATCGTTGTCGAAGAGTTGTACGTGTTCGCTATTGTACGAGGTCAGTCGTACTTGAGTCGCCAGTCCGTCTCTCGTCTAGATTTGATATCTATCATATTTGCTGGTATCTCAACATGTCAGGAACACCAGAACTTGGAGTTTTACCTAAGAAGCCGAATGCTTCTAGAGGCCTTGTTTTTCTTCTTCTCAAACTGCCCGGGACAAAGACTATTCAGGACTCCGCGCCCGACAAAGAAAGAACAATTGGCCTTGTTTTGGACAACTAACTACAGCACCTCTTTCAGGTAATTATCAGGGCGAACTACATCTGCGTTCCTTCATCTTTTTTGGTATGCGAACTGCTTCCAGCAACCCTTTTTGCGCTTGACTTGCTTTAGCTTAAGATCAAACGGGTTCTTGGAAGCCGAGACGGAGAAAGGATCATGTGCTAGATAGAAGCTACTTCGGCGTGAATAATTTTTACCCCATTTAGAAGACGGACCAAATCAACACTGCTAATTACAAACCCCAATCATATTACTTACTGATGAATTCTTTTTTGGAACTCCGGTGTTCTCTTTCAGAAGGATTAAACACGAGGTGAAAGGGCAGCGATCAGAGGTAGAGCCGGTAGCGGTCACTCAACCTCAGTGGCGCAGAGCTGCGATGAGGCATGTATATACACTCATACGCCCCGAGACCAAACGTTCTTTACTTCCTGTTTTCGTCAGACTTTCACGCCTAGTCATCTCCGCATCCATCAACGTCCATCTCCAGTCTTGTTGAGGACGCTATGTGAAGAGCAGTGAGTTCACGCAGTAGTTTGTGTGCCGAACCCATGCGAGTACGACCGACATATAGATTTTGAGGACTCATCTTGGCAATCCATCAGCTAGTGGACGTTCTTCTCCAACTATAGCTGTTAATTGGGGGGGGGGGCAGGTCTTTGCTTAAGCGGTCGTGGATTATTGCATTCTCAATCCTCGGTGCCAATTCTATGGCCGTGTCACATGCAACATGCGTCTCTTTTAGAGTGCAATAGCTGATAGATAGTAGTGACTAACATCATCAGCTATACATTGTTGAAGAAAGAGCGTCCTCTAATCAGCAGTCGAAAAGGTTCAAGTCTTACTGGAGCAAGTTTCGTTAGCTAGGTATGTTATAAACTATTCCCCCTCTGACAGCGGCAGCGTTTCTTGGAGGGATCAAACTCGCTATGCAGGGTTGCAAGAGATTCCCGTCCTTTGGGTAGCTGGTAAAGGTTTTCCTGTGCAGTCTGTAGCACACGCATCCCTCTTTGTATTCTACTTTGATTGTAACCAGTAAACCTGTATGAATCTTTTTTTTTTTTTTTATCTTGGTATTTTATATTTATAGAAATAAGGCCCAGACGTTATAACATGCTCATGTCTCTCTACTGGTGCTACTTCAAGAGACAGCAAGATCAGGGCACTGGTTCATGGGTTACAGCTGTTATTATGCGCAGTTTGTATAAGGAAATGTGTGTTCCCTTTCTCACATGATAGATTCGCAGCAGGCCTGCATCTGCATGCTGAGAGAAAAGGGTTGCACTAGGCAGGCTCTTCCGAGGGAGGGAGACGGTTTGTCTTATTGTGAGGTAAGCCACCCAAATTTGTTAGTCTCTTCGTTGATATTTTCGTCCTGGCATACGTAGTGGCCCACGTAGTCTACAGGAAAGTTGTAAGAATTTCACACAAAATTTTGTAGCATGGTCACTCGTTGAGATGGATCAAATACACAAAAATACCGTCACCATTATGACAAGAGGGATCATATGAAGTAGCCACATGTATTACTCATATTGATCCTGTGTCTCTCAGCTGGCTATCAGTCTCCCCTCCCCAAACCCAGAGGCTTTCTTTAGCCCAGCACCAAAAGGAGACACCTCGCCGTCCTGGGCGAGAATGCCCCCCAAAGGTCTAACCCGAAATCCCGCTGGACCCAGAATCCTCCTTTGATTATCCGACTACTCCTATTTATATCTGATTAATAAGTTGTTCATTATATACCTGTGATGGTATCTCCTTTCCAAAGAAAGGATGGGTATATCTCCTTTTTCGTGTCCCGCTTCGCTGCCTCACATAACAAATGAAAGAAAGTATCCGTAGGCCAAACACAAAGAGATCCGGGTTTGACCCGGGAGAGGATATACAAAACCTGCAACTCCGCCCCGGTCTCCGCAAACCGGGGTCACGTCTTTTCCATCAACGGGGCCCATATTTAGCCGTGGTATCAACCGGCGGCAAGCCCCGTCCCCTCGCCCGCCCCTTTAACCCCTTTCCGTTCCCAAGCAGACTCTCGGACAACGACGACGAAGACAAAGGCGGAGGGGAGGAGAGAACTCTCGCGCCGGGCTCGACGTTCCAGACACCTTCCCTCGTCATGGCGACCTCCTCGCCCACGCCGAGGACGAGAACATCGGTGCTCTTGCACCCCTTGGCCTTGTCCCTCTTGTCCTGGTCGCTAGCCCTCTCGCGATCCAACCTGTCGCCGCGCTTTCTTTCCCCCGAAGAAGAAGAAGAATGATGGGTGACCTGCTTCTGGGTATACTTCTTCGTCCGCAGCATCTTCGTCACCAACCCCCTGACATCCTTATCCCCGTCGTGCGTGCTAACCCACGCCCTGGCTCCAAGCGCCGCCGCGGTCTCCTGGCCCGCCGGCATGCCCGCCGAGATATTACCGCCGAGCCACCAGGGATTCGACACGGTGTCGAAGCAGTGCAGCAGCGCCGTCAGCGGCAGCGCGGCCTCGGCTTTGAGATGCGTGTGGGCGTACTTCTCCAGGCAGCGGTACGAGATGCCGTGCGGCGAAAAGATGACCGAGACGGCTCGTCGGTCGCGGGTGTCCGGGGTGATGGACGCGGCGGACCGGACGGAGCGTAAGGACCGGCTGCTGGGCGGTGTCTCGGGCGGCGTCGGCAGGCTGAGGTAGGCGGACGAGTTCTTTGTCTTTTGGTGGTGGTGGTGGTGAGATCCAGATCCCAACCGGAGGGACGAGGCGCTGGCCGCGGTCCGTAGCGAGACTGGTGTTCTCGGGGGCGTCATGAGGTGCGGGAACCGCGGCCACGTCGGCGGCGGGCGGTACGTGATGCCGATGGCGGCGTGCAAGCCCTTAAAGTCCTTCCGTTGCGGGATGAAAGCGACTGTGACCTCGCCCGGCTCGCCGCCCGGGAAGAATGGAGGCACCTTCACTCGGATAACTGTCTGCTTCCCCGTGGCCTGCGGATCCTCCCACCGCGGAATCGCAAAGACCTTATCCTTGTCGAAGTACTTCCAGCTCCGAATCACCTTGGCCGCCGCTGGCTCCGCCAATATCAGCGTCCTCGTGCCGCTGGCCGGGAGCTGGCGGAGCGTTGCCTCATTACAGTGGTCGCTCTTGTGCTGGCTAATGATGACGAGGTCGGGCTCCGGGAGATGCTGTAGGGAGCATACGCATGGGCACTCCTTGTGTGTTGCGGTTGACAGGATCGAGTGAAATATGGTGGAAGGCCCCGTGATCCACGGATCCATCAAAATTCTAAACGGCCTTGGAGCAATGCCAGGAAGTGACTCGGGCACAATGGGCTCAAAGGTGAGGAGGAAGGAAGCATCCGCATTGAGCTGCTTCACAGTCAACGCCATAGCTCGGAAAAGGTATATAAGAAAGAACAAAAACAAGAACGAATGACACTGCAACTCGGCCAGTTGAATATGAGGGTATTGCTACTGAGCAATGGTCTGCCAGAGGAAAATTGAACGCAAAAAAAGAAAACAAAGCAGAGAGGTCAATTAGATATGGTCCATGACGGCGGGCACGTCTGAGGGAGGGCGCGTCGGGACGCAACTCTGGGGATGCGTAGCCGTGAATGATCGGACGTGGAGAAGGGCCTTTAGGGAAACGCGAGGCGATTTCAGGAAACTTTCCCTTGGCCAGATTAGAAACATGGCCCTTGTAACGCCAATTCGCCAGTCCGCCAACGCAAGCACGGCAAAGCTGGCGAGAGGGTCAGAGCAATTGCGGTCGGATCTTGGACAGATCAATAGGCTAAGGGCAAGTTAACGCGAGGTGCTCAGACTTCCGGGGGCCCGGCCGAGGAGGATACGACGACCGCTTATGTGTGAACGGCCCGGCTACGGGCTGCGTGGAGAGGTCGCCAAGTTCGGTCAAGGTCGGAGGCTGAAACTCTGGAGGCTGTGCCATTTTGTTTTTGGTCTAGAAACTTGAGGGTGCGTCCCTTGCAGACAATTTCTTCGCTCCGGTCCAGTTCAGGTGAAGCGTCTTTAGGATCTACCCACCATCCCGTTTCCTTGACCGATGCCACTGGTCAAAAAGCCATCACCACTCGTCGGAGGCTCGAAGCAGTGGAAGCAGACGAGTTTCTATAGAGCTTCTTGGCAGCAAAGGTCCATCTGGAAGGTCTGTGCGCTACGCCTCGAGGGGGCTGATCAACGAGCACTTGTGACAAGTTTGTTTGGGATCTAGAAGATGGTGGGCTTTGATTGGACGAGGTCGAATTCGGACGACGCAGGGCAAAGGAGATCCGGGATGGTTTTCAAGTCGAATCGAGTTGCCAAATGTTAAGATGGCAGCGGACCGCCGACTCGGGTGCAAAGACAATGGAGATGCTTCCACTGAGGCCTCATGCAGTGCAGGATTGACAGCCGGCTGTTGCGGCTGGAGCAGTTCCGGCTACCCCTTAGGAGGTGGGAGGCAAGGGATGACTGACCCATCGTCGTCCAGACCGCGGAAACAAGAATTTCTAGCGGTGAGTTAGAAATTTCTACACTGACTATAGCTTGAAGCGAAAGACGTCAGTAGGTTGCCATTCTGCCCTAGAAGTGGATGCAGTCTGTAGAAGTCATGGGCTGGTTCTGGTTTTGGCAGAGGGGGCTCCGGAAGCAGGAAAATCGACCGTTTTCAAGAAGCCGAGTCAGGTACGGTTCACAAAGCGTGGTGAGCAGTGGGCCCATGGTTCATCTGTCGTCCACATGATGGAGTCTATAGGTCATACTACACCTGGGGACAGCAGACCTCGTTCGGATTCTGACACTGTCGGGGATATCCTGTCCCTTGAGAACGAGACGCCGTGAGTCAAATAGGAGGTCGGAGGTGTGGGAAGACAGGTTCAAACTGTGTCTCGTGTACATCGGGACGCTGACGAGGCACAGTAATTCGATGGAAAGCTTGCTGGGTTCCGTTGACTTGCAATCGAATGTCGTCACCCCTAAAGAAGCTTGGCTTGAAGGACAGTAACAATGTTGCGGCTTCGAGGTTACGACAGCCGTCGTGTACATAGTCGGTGTCTCCGACTAGACGTACTGTTGATTGACCGCCATGTCTCGGAAGACAGGGAGCGAGGCGGCAGATCAGGAGGCTGATGGACGGTTGGGTGAGGATACCGTGCTAGTGGTAAGGAAAGGGAATCGAAGGAAAAAAATTGGAAGAGAAAAAATTCCAGCATGCATGTGACAAGCACCAAAGGAGTGCTTCTCGAAGTTGTCTCGGGGGGTTCCTCACTTCTCACTAGGTTGCTACCAGTCACCCGCTAGAGAATTATGAGTCTGTAGCATGACAGAAGGCAAGCTTGAGTGGCTGCTGCTGCGGTCCTGCGGGCCATTTCCGCCGACTTCAAATCTCGGACCCGTGCGAGCTCGCCGTATCCTAAGACTAGCGTATGTTCATAATAACCCGAACTGAACGTGTAGTTTGGGCGAGCAAGTCTCTTGACGGGAATGATCCCTAAGCAAGTTACCCTACTCGCAAGCAATCGAAGCACTCCGTACTTGTGGGAGTGTCCGCGGTCCTATAGTTGGAATGACTCTCTCCATTCTGACCCTAGCCTTCGTGAATGCTTCCAGAGGTTGGCGCTCAGAAATTCGCGAACGGCCACAGTCACTCAAGAAGCAGCACCAGCTCGACCGGACAGGGGGAGATGAAGCTCCAGGTGGTAAGGTATCCTGTAGGTTTTGCTGGTTCTGGTAAAGTCGCGTGGGATTGCTTTGGAGGAGCTTTATCGTCAAAGCTGTCAGCCCTCGCTTGTGGTTGGTTGGCGGTCTCTTATCAGCGATTGAGCTCGCGTCCAGGGCCTTATCCCCCGCACCCTCCATGCCTCCCTTTTCCTCTCTCTCTCTCTCTCCGGTACCAGCTAGGAGGAGCTGAGCAGGACGGGCGGTGACTGTCACCGAATTGCCAACAGGCCGCTGGGTGCGGTATCAGCTCGTAATTAGGCCCGTTCGTGACTGACTTTTGCGGCGGCAGAGGGGGGCAGAAAGGCGGGGTTAATTCACCGCTTTCTTCATTTCTTTTCACCAGCGCCAAGCTCGATCTCGTTGCTCTCGGTGACAGTAGTTGGTCCTCTTTGGGGCCATTTCGGCAGTCATGAAACCATTCGAACTGCGGCTAATGAGTGCCTCCTAACCCAGCCTGACCAGGTAGCTCCTACTAGGGTAGGTGCTTGAGCGATGCAGCCGCCAGCGGCATAGGGGGAGGCGTTCGTGTAACGTTCCGTGGGCCATCACGAGATGGTGGCCCCGATTTAGTCCGATTTGAGGGTCTCGACTTGCTGTGTAGGTATGGATACTTGAAGAGCAAAAAAAAAAAATGCCGTCTGCATGGCACCCGTGCCTTGCGTGAAGCGTCAATCGATGAAATGACTCTGTAACCGAGTCCACGGATGAGTCGAGATTCATGTCTGTCAAACTCAGGGGCCAATCATTGCTTCTTCCCTGAAGAAAATTATTGAAGACAAAGACCAGAAGAAAGCACGACCCAGGCCAAGCAGTGTGATGTCACTTTAGTGCCTCGAGGGAGTATGGCTGAATCAATACCCGCTTTAGCTGCAAGTGCTGTCTACGGTTCCGAAGCGCCAGCCGCCCAGTCGGTCAGGGTCCAGGGGGGGTGTAAGTTGTAAGTGGCAAAAGAGAAGATTGTGGTAGGGGAAAATATGGTCGCGAGTTGGGATGTTTGAGGAAAAGGTACAACTGGCTGCGAGCTTGTCAGTCATTGCTCAGAGCTGCTCGAGAGAGAGGGCTGACTAGCCACGAGCGATTGTTTTCCGTACGGATAACCAAGGTATACTGTTTGACAGCCTGCCATTGGTAATCCGGTCTGACTTATTCAAGTAAGCTGATACATGGCCCCAGAGCAGGTAAAAAGGCCGAGAGAGATGGTAGCGCAAAGGCGGCATCTGAACAAGGCTTTTTGGCCTCTGGCCGAGGAGCTCTCTCAGGTATTCTTTGAGCAGGCGCCACCTCGGTGAAAAGCCGTGGTTTCGGGATGCAGCTGGCAGCTTGTGCTTATTTCCAAAGAGGTTGGTTTGGCGAGGGAAGACGAAAGTGGATCAAGTCAGCCTGCAGGCGTAATTTTTTTTCCTTCTGATCTCAACATCGGATTCTGGTGTCGGCCGGCCGGAAGGCTTTGGGAGTTGAAATTTTCTCGCCTTTGGTTGAACTTTTTTTTTTTTTCGTTGCTGGATAGAATCTGCCGATTGTTGATAGGTCGAGGTGAAGAGGATGCAAGGCGAAGAACAAGAGGGTCCTCGCGCCGAATGTGGGGACCTTCCCTGGCAATTCCAATACGTACCCCCCCTTGTCTGCGCAACAGCTTTGCTCATCGCGGCATGGGGCGGAAGGAGAAAAAAAAAGAGCAAAAACATAGGTCCCTACCTAGGTACCTGCTCGTACCTGCTCGATGAAGAAGTATTCGTACGTATTTCTGACCTTATCCGTTATGACTTTCTACCATGTCTGCAGGATCAAAATTCACTTTCTCTCGCTTGACATTCAGATCCCCGGAAGCTTCGTTGCATCTACACTAGGCATGAAAGGACAAGGTAGCTGTGGATTATAGGCAGGTTGACGTGCTGAAGAGCTCCCTGAGCCCTGCTCATTCCTTGTGTAATACATACCTACCCAGCAGCAATGGAGCTGCATCGCAGAAGACGACAAAGGAACAGTGTTACTTACAGAGTAAGAGAGAGGAGGGGAAAATTGATCGTTGCAGATATCCACATCCGTCTTGACCTTCACCGTACCGATTACACACCAGGCGTGCTGCATGTTTCCGTACTCCCTACAGATTCTTTGTCTTCTTCCCTTTCTCATTCTTCCCAAGCTCTGTCCTAATCCCCACCCCATCCAACCCGCCTTCCCTCTCCGCTTGTGGAGCAGACGATTCGCGCCAACGTCCACGGGTCGGGGGTAAGGTCTCCACCGATGCGTGCTTTGGAGGCGCTGCAGACGCTACAGATACCACGGACTTGCTGCAGCTCCAGGGTTCACCTTTGCAAGAAAATACTTCCAACTTGTCAAGGCAAGGCAAGGGCCCTGCATGTACGGAGTAGTGTACGGAGCAGTGTATTATGTGGGCGGTGTCTTGGTGCTTCGGGCTGCCTGATGCCGACCCGACGAGGCAGAAGCAACCTCATCCTCGCTCATCTTTCTGTTTTTCCTCCGTGTCTCTCATTCCTTCCTGCCACTGCTGGCCCTCCGCTGGCCCGTGTCCCCGTTCCCAATGCCCAACGGCAGCCCCGATCATGCTTCTCCTTGTAGAAGGACCGTTCATCGCTTTTATTCCGGAGATTTGGTCTGGGCCTGCTCATCTGGCCACGGCAATGCAATCGCAAAGCGGTAAAATTAGCTCTTGAACTGATCAAACGAAGCAAGGAACCAAAAAGTGATACTGTTCATGTTTATGCGCAAAGAGTAGCTATGCTGGGCTGCGTTGTGCACAGTACCTTAGGTATTCGCCGTGCCAAAAAGCACGACGGGAAAGAGCTCAGAATAGGTAGGTATGGATAGTCAAAAGAAAGCCTCGCTTCGCTTAGAGGGTACACGCGCAATGCTATCCGCACTTGCGGGTACAGCGTATCTCTCAAGTCTGTGATTGCCCAGGAAGCTACGAAGACAGAGTGACAGAGTTAGGTATCCGTACACTACAGTGCTCCATACACCATCTGGGGCCCCTACCCGTTAGCTGGGATGTCAACGTGACGACCAGCGGGGATCCAAGCAGCGGGCAGACGTTGACCGAGGTCAGGACCACGTCCGACCAGTAAGCGGAGGCGAGAATGAACCAGGGGTCCAGCTCCGCTATGCTGCGGGAGGAGGAGGAGGAGCACCTAAGGTAGGTAGGAGAAGTGAGATGGGCGAATGCAAGCTACCACCACGCCGCAGCAAGGCAAGGCAAGACGCAAGACATGCGAGCAAACAAGAAGCCTTCCGCCTTGACCTCGGAGCTTGAACCCGTGAAGCATCCGGTTGGCATATGAGTACTCGAGGATAAAGTGAGGTAGGTACCGGTATCCATAAGGAAGGCATGATTGTGCTTCCAAGTTCGGATCATGGAGCGACAACGGGAGTTGGCAACGGTTGAAGGGTGGGGCGAGCAAGGCGAAGAACTCAGAATGGTCAAGCTTGGGGCCAGTGGTGAGTTGGTGACAGACTTTGCAAGTTACCTTACTTCCATGGTGCCAGCCCTGAGAGCCGTGGGTAAGAAGGTACGACCGGGAAGGGAAAGGGAAAGGAAAGAGGCAGGCACAGGCAAGCTTGCTCAACTCTCAAGAGCTCCCCTGTGATGCGGCAAGGGCCTCTTTCCACTGTCAACCACTCGCAAGCTCCGAAAAGAAAGAGCAAAGCAAAGCAGCCCACTTCCTGCCCTGCTCCCACCCCACCCCCCTCCTTCTCTCCTTCCCCTTGCTGTTGCTCTCGCTCTTGCTCTTGCTGTTGCTCTTGCTGTTGCTCCTCTTGCCCCTCCCCGCTACCTGCTCCTGCTCCTGCTCCTGTTCCTGCTCGTCCACCACAGGCTGTCAATTGCTTCCCTGTCACACCCCCTCCTTCTCAATTCCTCAACCTCATCCTCCTCGTCCTCGTCTTTCCTCCGCCATGCAAGTCCTCCACCCGATTGTCTCGACTTGAATCTTGCCTGGTTCTACATCCACGCCCCCTGCCTCTTGTCCTCCTTTCCCCTTCTTCTTTCATCCCCCTCTTCCCTCAGACCCTGGGGTTAACCAAGCCAATCCAATCCACCAGACACACTCGATCCCCCATCGAGTCATTGATCTCTTCCACCAACGCCAACCAATTGTCGGCTCTTGACATCGTCGGCGGGTCGACTTGCCGACCTTTTCCCCTACCTTACAGTACGTATAGGTACGTCTTGTTCCTTCCCCTGTGCTTTTCGACTGGAATGCTCTCCATACATCCCACTGCTGACCCCCCGAGCTTTCGGGTTACCCTCCTGTCATTGGAAGATGACGCCGTCGCCCGGTGGTACCTTGGATGAGCACCAAGCTGGTGTCGTTATACAGTACCTTAGTTCTACCGAATCTTTCAAGCACCCAAACCCAAGCAATAGCGGAAGCGGCAGCGGTAGCAACAGCAAAAGCAGGAGCAGAGACTCGCAGTCCCATGGGCGTCAACTGGTTATGGCTGCCGCCATTCTCGGACAAGTCAGGCACCTCGTGGTGCAATCTTTTTCATCTAACAAAGAGAAGAGGCGGAATGACTGACTCGAGAAGAAACATCTTGTTACTCGTCTCTCGGAGCAATACGTTTAGCCCATCGGACATGTTTCCAGGTTCAACAGCCCAGCCCAATGAGCCCAGTGTCATGGAAAGCTCGGCCTCGGCGACCAGCCGTGTGTCACTTGCCATGCAACGAGCTGGCAAAGCCGACTAGATCCTTCTGAAGCTGGCGGTGATGAAGCTTCAAAGCCTCTGCTTGGCAGATCACTTACACCATCTCGCGTCACCGTACCGACCGCCGCCGCCGCCGCCCCTCACAACAGTGTTCTTCTAGCAGCGGCAGATGGTAAGAAATGTTGATTACTTGTAGCTGACAGTCTGGCGACTGGTGACATTGACGCCGTCTGCCACGGGCCCAACCTTGAGGTGGACTTAGGTTCACCTAACCATGCGACGAATACCAAGTCTTACCTCACAGCTTGTCAGCTGTTCACCACTGTCGCTCCCCAAACCGACTACTTCCTTGCTCCTTGTACCTTTCGGCCACACCCTCGCTCGTCCGTCTCCTTATTCGCGGCTGATAATATCCCTTTTCATCTGCATCATTCATCACATCTGCTTCAGGTGTGCTGTATCCGTAGAAGCAAGCCCAGAAGCAGCATAGGCTCAGGCACAGAAAAGGTACGAGCGCGCAACTCAATTATCATGGCAACACTTTTGACGTGCGAAGCAAGCAAGGTAGGCAGGTAGCTGAAAGCCTTTCCTACAACATTGGTAGCCGTAGATCGGATTGGAGCCGTATTCGTCGGCGGCTTTTGGATCTTGTCTTGCTTTCGTCGATTCAGCCATTGCTTACCTACCTTACCTAGGTACTCTCTAATGTCCAAGACTAAGGTAAGGCAGAGTAAGTACATGAACGAGTGAGAGAAAAACAGGCAAGGTTTTACCAGACTCCAAACCAAGCTCCCTCCTTGCTCACACACCTTGCTATCATCCGTCCGTTCTTCTTTTGCCTAGCCGTGTAAGTAGGGACTCATTTGGCTACAGATCATGCTGCGTAATACCTGACCTTATGTGACTGGGCTGCGACCATGATGTACCTGGGTGAGCAAGGTAAGGCAAGGCAAGGCAAGGTAGCTTGTCCTGACCTGACCTGACCTGACCTGGACCTGCCCTGGGTACCTTCCATGAGATACCCACCAGACCGAGCCACACCCCTACCTAGCCCGTCCAGTACCTCTCTTTTCCCCATTACCGCTACTTACTGCTTTCGGTCAACTTCCCTTCTGCCCCCCAAAATCAGGTTCCTTCTCTTCCTCTTCCTCCCCGTCCTTTCCTCCCCCTCCATTACACCTTGTTCTTCGAAACACTCTTTGTAACACGCCTCAAGACGAGAGCTTCCAGAGCTCCAGACTCTTGCTCACCAAATATCGCAGCCTTTTGTCGAACCGTCAAATGCTCAAGCTCCAACATATTCAGTCGCCTTCAATTGACCTCGCTTCGCGATACGCTACGACAGTAACAGCACTTATCGCTCCTCACCCCGCTCAGTATCGATACCAGCCCTCAAGCGCATGGTGGGGTCAAGATGCCGCCCAGATCTTCTCTCACGTCTTCTTTTTCAATCACCGACTCCAACAATGAGGTCGTCTGTCCTCTGCGGAATCAGGATGGATCTAGCTGTAGGAAAAGATGCATCGGTGTAAGTCTCATCGTGCTGCCTGCATTGCCGCATTGCTCTCTCACGACGCCCTCTTCGCCACCAGCAGACCAACACTGCCCCCGTCTGCGCTGCTGCACCTCTCTACTTGGACCCAGTGCACAGAGAGAGCTTTGATTACTACAGCGAAAAATCCACTCGACGAAGGGAAAATTGAGAGCGCTACTCTGACACTTGATGAATTCATTAGGAAAAACGATATCGTTCCATGCAAGAACACATTCGCCGCGCTCACCCATAACACTACATTTCGAAGCTCCCAGCGACCGAGGAAAGCTTTATGCTCATGATCAATACTCCTCCGTCCGAACGTCCAATGCAGCAAAGCGCAACTTCTGTTCCCCAGGGTTCGTCCCTCTCAATCCAGGGCTATCCCCAAAAGATTGACCATCTTCAAGGCTTCAATCACGACCACCACATGTATGATAACAGTAATCCGGGCACGCCTCGAACCATGGACGACCACGCCGTTGGTTCCATGCTCCCCGCTGCCAGTGCTGCTGCGGCGCTGGCTCAGCTCCACGGTCACAAAGTCGAACCCGAATGGGAGGAAATGGTGAGTTGGGACATCCTCCTCCGAGTGACTTACAAACTCAAACGACGACTGCTAATCAAATGTGCACTACTAGGGTTGGCACTCAGACACGGAGGGACGCCGCATTCCAAGGACATCAATTGAGCTGCCTCCGCTGCACTTGACGAATAACGACATTACTAGCGAGCCATTTCCAGCTATGAACTCGAGTCGGCCACGGGATATTCTGCCGTCAATTCTGGCGAATTCGCCCCCCGGTCGCTCTTCAACATTACCCCCAATCCAACGGCCTGCTGTAGGCCCTGCCCGACCAAGGAAGCAGTCCGTCACCAAGAGAGGTCGAGAGGCGCACCACAAGAAGCAGAAGTCTCGCGGCTCGGCAGCAGACTGGCTTCGGCGGATCCAAAACGACGAACGGCTTAGACCAGGTAACAATGACCGTAAGGCGTTATCGGCTGAACCTTCTGCAGACTATGGGAAGAGATGGGAAGATCTCATCGATGCCGCCGATCAAGCTGCATCCGCTGCCGGCGACATCGATGAGGATAGGACTCCAGTAAGAAGCTTTCGTGCGCTCGCATCTTTGCATTCTCTGACCTTTATCCAGATGCCTCAATCACCAGTTTCTATTCACAGGGCTTCTTTGCCGCCATTCCAGCACCATGGATTCCCATCAGCGACAGCTGGAGGGAACTATCAAGCTTCGCCATTGCAGCAGGCCTTGACCCCGCCATCCTACAGCCAGGACACAATTGACCCATTCCCGTCGGTTGAAAGCGGTGAAAGCGGGGAGAACTTCCACATCGAGTCGCGAGGCCTATCGGATTCATCACCAAGTTATTCTTCTCAGAATACCCAGATCTACTGCGCAGCCTGTCAGAGCGTTTCACTTCTCAAGGACTCATACGCCTGCACGGAATGCATCTGCGGTCTGTGCCAGGCGTGTGTCGACGTTCTCATGGCAGAGCAGGGGGCTCGCCGCAAATGCCCCCGTTGCGCAACAATCGGCGGCCGGTTCAAGCCGTTCCAGCTTGACATCCGGTGATTATTATGTCTTGTCAACGACCATCATGCATACGTTACGCACAAAAATTCGAGCTCTAAGGCCCACAAATTGCATTTGAAATCACACGGCGTCTTGGATGGGGCCAATGCGCATATACAGCATCAAAGCTTGGCATAGGATTCACCGCATCGATAATACCCCCGGCGTTGCAACTTCGCGAGAGCTTAGACAGAGAGCTTTTCACGAGCCGGTTTCTCCACATTCTTTACATTATTATAGGGACTAGTGACTCGTGACAGTCTTGGATAGGTGTGGTTCTCTCTTTTTTCTTGATGCTACAGGCAGAGTATGGGATATCAAAACGATTACAGGATTAAGGGTCGGCTTGCACGTCGTTATGATATTGCTTTTTCTTTTGCTTATTGATAATTCGTTCTGGTTGGGTACAGGCAAACTGTTTTTAGGAGTACTCAATTGGTTTATAGATGCCAATCATGAAATTCAAATCAATCTTTAGCTATAACAATGAACTTTTTGATCATGGGTATCATTCGAAACTCGTCTCTATCAATAATGTATACAAGAAGCAAAAATGGATGGGCTCATCATCTTCTCGAGTCCTTCTCCTTTTCTTTCTTCAAGAGCAAATCGCGCATGGCGGCTCTAGCGTTGCGGCTACCGCCCAGCTTCGGACCCTTGAGGACTTCTTCATCGGCCTTGCGAGCCCCGGCGCGGGCCGCCGGCGCTGCCGTCTTCTTCTTTTGTTGGCGCTGAACCATGGCGTCCATGAACTCGCGCCGGAACTCCTCGGCGATGCGGTCGTCTGCGTCGCCGTCGCCTTCGTTTTGGGGTTCCTGTGGTTTTGGTACATCGTAGACGTCGACTAAGTAAGGGTTTCCAGGTTAGCATATGCTTGTTGGCCCAATTGACAGAGACGGGGGCGAAACTCACGTCTGTTCTCGCGCAGAATCTCCTCGACGAGCTGGTCGCGTTTGATGTCGTCGCTGGTGCGCCGGTTCCTGGGCCGCCAGGGTTTACCGTCCCTGCCGAGGCGGGGTTTCTTGGCTCGCCGGCCGCCGGTATCGTCGTCGACGGCTGCGCCCAGGAGGCGGCGGGCTGCCTTTTCCGTCATGGCTTGGTTCCGGGCGCGGACCTCGTCGCCGAGGTCGACTTCCATGAGTTTCCCCTGCATGATGGGGTGGTTTTTGGGGTCTGGGAGTTCGGCTGGTCCGGCGGAGGGTGCTGTTGTTGACGGATTGGTTACGGCGGCGGCGGCTTGGTGTTGGGAGGCGGTTGATGGTTCGGATGGTGGTGGTGGGTTGCGGTTAGAGAGGTGCGATTCTATATATTCCATCCTTGCTTGATCAGCCTCTGGCGTCGGGATGGGGAGGAAGGGTGAGAAGTGGAAGTTTCCCGGGGGTGGAAGGGGTTATACATACATGTGTTTGTTGACGATTGTAGTCGCTGCTGCGCCAGTCTGCGGCGCGAAGCGCTTTGCGATGAGGGGGTCGTCGTCTGGAGCTTGTGCTGGGACGGGAACCAATGCGCGCGATGATGATGACGACAATAGGCTCATGGGGTCTGTATCGTCTCCTCCGGCGCCGGCGAAGGTGGTTGTGCCTCGCGCGGAGAAGCCTACGCCGTTGAGTCGCTTGCGGGCGCGGTGACGGAGGGCTGAGGGGACGTGTGATTCGGGGCCATCGTCGGCGGTGGTTTCCGTGGCTGGTGCCGGTGCCGCGGTATTTTCTGCTGTCGAGTTTGATTTCGAGGCTGCGGTGGTGTCGTCATCGTCGGCGGCGGGCGATGCGGCGCGTTGGCGGAGGCCTGCTTTGCGCTTCTTGTTTGCGCGGAAGAGGATCGGGGCCGGAGCCGCGTCTGCGGTCGGGGTTTCGCCGGCGGGTGATGACATGATGGGGTTGATGTGAGCGCCGGGGCGCGCTAATACTGGTTGTCTATGCGCAGGATTCAAAATTTGGCGGGTTGTCTTGGGTGAGGCGTTTTTTGTACGTTGATTTCGAGGATGTGAAGACAGGTGGATGTGTATGTTGTAAATCGGAAGGTGGACAGAAAGCGCAAATTCGCCTGGGGCGATTGAGGCCGCACCAGGAAACTCCACCTTGCAGGATGCCGAGGATTAGCCTATCGATAATGGACTGGACCAAGGGGGGTCAGGCATGTAAGTGCAACCCGCTGGCATGGATGTCATCGGTGTGACGGTGTCAGCGACCCCCACCAGGTTGGTTCCCGCTTTTTGTCTTTACCCACGGCAAGCATGTTGCAAGAAGCTCGAGGGGGAGCTCCGAGCTACTTTTAACCTCTGCGCATCTTCACTCCCTGAAGCCTTGCAACTTCATCTACAGTCGTTTAAAATCGGACGCGAAGTCAACATGGCGAAGAGAGTATGCAATTTTCCTACAGACAGGATTTTAGACATACTGACGAGAAATTAGATATACTTTCTAGCCCATGGCGGTCAAGTACAAGGTACGTTGTCTTCCAACCCTGAGCCCCTCCCTCACCCTCCACATGAGCTCCGAGCTTTTATCTGGATAAGAAGGGAGGGGTGTGAGCTTGTGATAAGTGACTTTCTTATATCGGGACACACTGACGTCACAAATCCAGGTGTCGGATTCCGGTACGTGATGGAACTTTTGACAACACGGTTTTTCAATTTTGTTTGGACCAGTTGGGTGTCAATTGAATTGACGATGTCAACTTTTGTAAGAGCATGATATTGACGAAGCGATGCGGTTGAAAGGTACTTTACGCAAAAGAGAGCCACAGAGTATGGTCTCACGGGATGGTGTCGCAACACTGATAACAACAAGGTGAGTTTCGAGTACTTTTTTGTTTTCTCAATAATCTCCAGGGGTCACTGTTCGACATGGGATTTGACAAGGAATTGCAAATCTGAGAAACCTGGCTGCTGACCTAATTGGTACCTAGGTTGAGGGAGAGGCGCAAGGTGACGAGGATGCACTGAAGAAGCTGCTTAAGGACATTGACGAGGGACCGAGATCCGCCAGAGTTGTGAAGCTTGACCAGGAGGAGAGAGAACTTGTTCAGGACGAAAAGGACTTTGCGGTACGACGATGAGTTATCGCTTGAGTGACTTCTCTTCGATGAACAAGGTTGGTAAGAAGACTAGGATTGAGAGGGGTGGGTGATGAAAAGGGGCAGGCCATTGGCACGTTACCTTTATTATCACCTTAGAGCCTATGGATGTGTCTCAACAACTTTCTTTGCCAGGAGGGGACCTGGCTTGCCTAGTAACACGATAAGCATATCTCGATGACAGTTGACCCAATCGAGTATGCAATATACTCACGGCGAATGTGTGACTCGAGCAACTTGTTCAGCTTCTCGATTAGATAGAACAGAGACGTACAGGTATGCTACAAGCCAAGCCCACGTTCCCCCCCTCTCTGCTTGCTCTAGGATCAAGACCATTAGAACACGCGAAGGCAGAGCGCCCCATTATTAAGTGCCATAATCATGTTAGCTATAATGCGAGAAGGAATAAGCCGACCGTGAGTCTACAGGTCAGCGTTCTTTACCTCTCGGAGAATGACTTTCCTTCTGGGCCATGACCTTGCGGAACACCAGTCGTCGCGTTGCCGCCCCCTGGAAGACTGCAAAGATGATAGGATGACAGAGCTGATACAAAAAGGGTACAAGATGCGAGATGGTTCAAGGTACTACAACTTCAGGTCAAGGTTCAGGCTGTTGTGCTTTGATCTCTTCAGCAGCTTGGCGTTCGTGTCACCCTGACCTCTGGTCGTGTTCCCTTCTAGGAAGTCCTTCATCAGGGCCTCGCCCCTTGCGGTCAGTATCAGTGAGCCCCCAAGTGCGTTGACTACACCAGTCCGTCGGCGCCTTTGCTCCTCCAGCACTGCCTCGCGGGTATTACCGCTAAGTTTTACGGAATACATGCTAGACACTGGAAAAAGACGGGCGTCTCATGGACTTATGGGCTCCTCTCTCAACGAAGCCAGCTTGACGCGAGCCCGGGGTATGCGCCGCGAGATTGCTTCCAGCACTGGTTTCTTGTCTGTGGGAGGACTAGTTGCTGACGCCCGCATACAAATCGCAATCACGCTACCACCGCGCGTCAACTCAAACATAATCTTAAGCGACGAACATACTTTATCAGTTCAGTCTTGTTTGCCCCAGGGTTTACTATAAAAAGGCCTCAAGATTCGACATGACCTGTCCTGGTAAACACAACGATAACTGGCAATACTGACTTCCGCCCAGGACAAGTGCGAGCTAAAAGAGACCTTAGCGGTGTACCTATCTATGATACCCACGGGGCTACTCGAACGTCATGAACATCACCATGCCACTTCAAACTATCTCGGTCCGTCAGCGTTGCTACTCCTCCTGCCCTACCTCCTGAGTATCATCACTAGGCTTTGCTGAATACATTACAGACACTGGGAAAGGGCCATGGTTCCTCGGAACAAGATCGGCCACATGGAATTTCCCGAGAGCGATTATCACGACCCCACTTCCTGGTCGAACCCGACCGGCTTGGACACGTCCAACCTTTTTACCTTCAAAAACGTCTACCGAGGTACTCATGGCTGCTCCTGATCTCATCGGTCAGGTTTGTGCCAAAATCTTTGGTTTTTATGGGAGCACGGAAGGTATTTGATATCTAGCGGGCCATGCTCAATTGATAACTTGAAACTGTTGAGCTGATTCCTCAAAGGTCTTACGATGAGCAAGTCCCAACGCAAGCCTGCTGATATTCCCTGCATTCGTTGTGGAGGGATGTAAAATCAACCCGCAATAAGAACCATCAATACCTTGGTGCTCACGTCAAGTATTTCATGTCTTGACACGTTTATCTTACATGGCTTTGCTCACTCTAGAATGACCATCGCCTTCTGCGACACTGTATACATGCCTCGTCGCTTTTTCTTAGTCGCCGGGTCTGAGAACTGCGTCGATGAACAAAAGTTCAGTCTCACTGGATTCAACCCCATCCGGGATACATAGATTCTATCCAAAACACCGCAACAAAAGATCGCTAAACGCCTCTACCTCGTCGCTTAATAACAGGCTTCCTCACAGCCCCATGCGTAACAATCTTCTTGCCCGCCGCCGCCGCCGCCGCCGCACCCCCACCAGTTCTCCTCCTCTCCAACCTCTCCTTCTCCGCCTCCACCCGGTCCGCCTCCCTCTTCTTATCCTCGGCCATCTTGGCCTCGATCTCCATCTTGCGGTTAAACTCCGTCTCGGTAATACGCTTGTCCCGGACAGAGTACCCCTTCTCCTTCACAGAGTAAAACACGCCGCCCAAATCGGCGAGCCAGTGCGGGTCCACGGCCGTGACGGTCGACACGTACACTTTCGACGTCAGGATGAGCTCGTGGTAGACGACGTAGTCGGGCGGGTGGCCCGCGTACAGCGCCGACGTCGGGTGCAGCTGGACGCCGAGGTTGGTCCGCAGATTGATATACTCCCCGGAACCCTTGTACTTGGCCGCCTGGTGGTAGTAGCCGCTGCAGATGCACTTGCGGATGACGTCCCAGTCCATGCCGCAGCTCAGCATCTCCATCTTTTGCATCTTCATGATGTCGAGCAGCTGGTCGCGGATCTCCTTTGCGCGGCGGAGCGATTTGGGGTGCAAGAAGTGCTTGATGCACCACCCGTCCGAGCAGCCGTTGGACCGCCACGCCGAGTACACTTGGAGGTACGTCAGGTGGTCCGACTCGTGGACCCAGAACTTTTCGCGCTGAGCGTCGGCCTCGTCCTGGCGCTCTTTTGGTCGGTAAAAGACGTTGGGGACGGAGAGCATGGACACGATGGTGATCATCTCCTCGCTGCAGCCGTATTCCTCGGCCGTGATTAGGAGCTTGGAGAGGGACGGGTCCATTGGGAACGCGCTCATCTTTCGACCGAGCGTCGTCAGCTCTCCCAGATTATCCAAGGCGCCCAAGGCCCACAGATCGAACATTGATGTCGTGATGGTATCCTGTGGTGGGGGATCCATGAAGTCGAAATCCAACAGATCCTTGACGCCCAGGGATTTAAGCATGAGTACCGTATTACTCAGGTTCGTACGCTGGATTTCGGGAATCGTCTGCATGTAGAGTTCCTCTTTGAACGCCTTCTCAGTGAACAGTCGAAAAGCCTTTCCAGGTCCTGTTCGACCGGCACGTCCTGATCGTTGCGACGCGTTTGCTTGGGAGATTGGCGTAATCTGAAGAGTGTCCATACCCATCTTTGGGTTGTACACCTTCATCTTGCTGTACCCAGCGTCCACCACGTACTTGATACCGTCGACCGTCAAACTCGTCTCGGCGATATTCGTCGCAACAATGCATTTGCGCACACCGGGCGCTGCGCGGTCGAAGATTTTTGCTTGCAAGTCTGCCGGCATCTGACTGTAAATGGGCAAGATGCTCAGCTTCGGGGGGTCGTTAAGAGCGTCAAGCCGTTTCTGGATCAGCTCGCAGGTGACCTCAATGTCTTCCTGTCCCGTCATGAAGACCAAGATGTCGCCCTGGTCCATGGACACGTGGATGGCCAGGACCTGCTGAACCGCCTGATCCACGTAGTCCTCGACCGGTGACCTATGGAACATGACATCGACGGGGAATGTTCGGCCTGGGATGATGAACTCCGGCGCTCCACCGTAAAAGTCGGAGAAGCGCTTCGCATTCATTGTCGCAGACGTGACAATGAGCTTCAGGTCTCGCCGCCGCTGAAGAATCTTCTTGAACAGACCCATGAGGATATCTGTGTTGAGAGCTCTCTCGTGGGCTTCGTCCATGATGACGCACGAGTACCTGTCGAGATCAGGCTCGTTGAGCGACTCGCGCAACAAGACACCATCCGTCATGTACTTGATGACAGTATCCTTGCTGGTGCAATCTTCGAAACGAATCGCGTAGCCCACCGTGCTGCCCAGCTTGACTTCCATCTCCTCAGAGACACGTTTGGCGACACTCATCGCGGCCACACGTCTCGGCTGCGTGCACCCGATCATGCCCGACTTTCCGAATCCGTCCTCGTAAAGGAACTGCGTCAGCTGCGTCGTCTTGCCGGATCCCGTCTCGCCCACCACGATGATAACCTGGTTCTCCCGGATGACACGCATCAAGTCCTCTCGAACGGCAAACGCAGGTAGGTACTGCCTCTGCTCGCGCAACGTCTTGCTCCGACTGAAATCACTGCTGCCCCCATCATCCTTCTTCATGTGGTCGCTGAATTTGTTGCTGTTCTCATTCGTCTCCTCCTTCTCTCCTTCCTTCTTCGCATCGTTCTCCGACGCCACAGGCAACGCGCTGTCGCCGTCGTCCTCCTTCACGCCCATCAAGTTTCCCAAAGCCGTTCCAGCCATACTCGTAGCCTCCTGCGCCTGCCGCTGCCGTTCCCGCTGCTGGCGTGACTCCTTCACCACCTTGCTTCCCTTCCGACTAAACACAGCCATGTCGCTCTGATAGTCGCGGACAGCCGGCACGGGTTCCAGCTGCTTTGTGAAGATGGTTCGTCCATCAAGAAACGGAGGCCGCAGATCGTGCACCAAGAGATGTACTCTTGTCGCCTCCTCGTCGTCGAAATCGGCACCCATGTCCCTCCTCTGCGCGACACCCGAAACGAGCATGCGATTCGTCTCCCACGCGTCGTTTTCCCTCTGCCTCTGCTCCTTGCGCGCGTCGAAGCGCCCCGTCATCTTCTCCGCCTTGACGGCCTCCTGCTTCTCGGCCTCCCATGACGAGTAGGAGGCGAACGGGTTGTGTGTATCGTCGCCGAAGGTGTGGCCGCCAAACTCGTCTCCCATGTACCAGTCGCGATCCAGCGCTTTCGAGTCTTCGTCGGTGGGTTCGGGAACGTCTCTTGCCGGCGTCTCGGCGGCGCGGGCGTCGCGCGGTGTCGAGCGGCCCGAGTCCTGGAATCGCCCTCCGTCTATCCTCCGGCGCTTGAAGCTGGGCCCTGATCCATCTCTGTTGTCGTACATTTTGCGATTCCTGTGATGGCGCAATTCGTCGCCTTGGCGTTTGCTGCTCTTGGCGTGATTGTTATCTTCGTTGACCCGTCGCCCGAGTAGAGTTTCCTTGGATGTGTGAGGCCCGGTGTGCGTATGTGATGGATTCAATTTCGAGTATCGGAAATGTAGTGAGGCATGCAGTTTAGAATTGCATGTAGACAGGCAACTCCAAGTAAACAAAGCTTGAGAAATGGGGCCGCACCTTGCCAGACGGTTTAAACGGGTCTGGCTCTCTTATGTGTATATCCATAACAGACGTCACTGATGGGTCCGATAATGCAATGAACGCGACTTGAACATGGCCTCGACTTAAGAAGTACCATACTACCCGCTGATGCTTTCTTTTTTGAGAAACGTTCAAATGATAGAATCTAAAAGAGACCTCGTGCCTGAATTGATTATCTGATAAATCGCTTTCAGTTGAAGCGTGCAAGAATTATCTTAGCCAGCTACCTTACGGAGTATATGCCCCAAAATCTTTGTGGTTTCTTATCGATAAAAGGGAGATAAGATAAACCCCACCACGATGGGAATTTTTTTTCTCACAGTCGCCCAGACTCAGTGGATTTTGGAGAATTCGCTTTGCGCATACCGACTTGACTTTCCCCAGTCGAAAAATCTCAAATATTTCTAAAGTTGTGCAATTACTCTGCCAACTTCGACAGTCAGCGTGCATTTGAAAGCGCGCGCAATATACCCGATCGCTAGTGACCTTCCGAGGACCATATTGTCTTCAAGATGTCCATGATCACAACATCAACCTGGGTGCCCCGAGGCTTTGCGGCACCCTTCCCCTCAAAATACACCTTTGACGAGTCCGAGTACGAGCGCATTGCCGAACTCGCCAAGCTGCAGCTGGATGACGCCGAAGAGGACCTGAGGGAGGCGCAGGACGAGGAAGAGGGCGCCGACAAGCCCGCCGACGACGATGCGACAACAGGCGCATCTGGCAAGAAGGCCGAACAGTTAGTCTTGACTTGAACTATCCGCTCGCTGAGCGGGGGACTGTAGGATATACGTGGTTCGCTAACCCTAGACCACCTTGTAGGGTCAATATCAACGACGACGATCTGAAGGAGTACGACCTCGAGCATTACGACGACACCGATGAAGAGGACGAGGAAAAGGTCGGCCAGGGCGAAGGTATGGCCATGTTTGGCAACATCAAATCGTTAGCCTACTACGAATCCAATAAGGACGACCCGTACATCACCCTGCCCGCCAATGGTGGACCGGACGACGACGATGAGGACCGCGAGGACCTGCAGATCCTAGCGACCGACAACCTCCTGCTCGCTGCCAAGGTCGAAGATGAGATGGCTCACCTCGAGGTCTACGTCTACGAGGACGCCGCTGACAACCTCTATGTCCACCACGACATCATGCTGCCTGCGATCCCCCTTTGCGTCGAGTGGCTCGACATTCCCGTTCAAAAGGCTGGCGTTGACAAGGACTCGACGGCCAACTTCGTCGCCATCGGCACCATGGACCCCGATATCGAGGTCTGGGATCTCGACACGGTAGACTCCCTGTACCCTAACGCCATCCTCGGTCAGGCCGGTGAGGGCTCAGAAGAGAAGAAGAAGCAAAAGAAGAAGAAGAAGGCCAAGAAGGCTAACGACGAGTACCACGTCGACGCCGTCCTCGCCCTTGCTGCGAATAGGAAACACAGGAACCTGCTGGCCTCCGCCTCTGCAGACAAGACGGTGAAGCTTTGGGATTTACACACAGCCAAGTGCGCCAAGTCATACACTTACCACACGGACAAGGTGTGCTCTCTCGCGTGGCACTCTGTCGAGTCCACCGTGTTGCTCAGTGGCAGCTACGACAGAACGGTCGTCGCCGCAGATATGAGAGCTCCCGAGGCCAAGGCTCCTAGATGGGGTGTCGAAAGCGACGTCGAGAACATTCGCTGGGACCCCCACGACCCCAACTACTTCTACGTCTCCACGGAGAACGGAATCATCCACTTCAACGATATTCGCAATGCGCCGTCAACCCCCGAGGCGACCAAGGCTGTGTGGACCTTGCAGGCACACGACGAGTCTGTCTCGTCCTTCGACATCAACCCCATCGTGCCCGGCTTCATGGCCACTGGCTCAACTGACAAGACGGTGAAGCTGTGGAACATCCAGGCTAGCGGTCCTTCCATGGTTGTCTCTCGCAACTTGGACGTCGGCAAGATCTTCTCGACGCAGTTTGCGCCCGATTCTGAGGTGGCTTTCAGACTCGCCGTTGCTGGCAGCCGCGGAACCATGCATGTGTGGGACACTAGCACCAACGCCGCCGTTCGACACGCGTTCGCTGAGCGTGTCCCGCAAAAGCCGGAGGGCGTCGAGGAAGACCGTCTTGTTGGCGTTCTTGACGACGACAGCAGCTCCAGCGAGGACGAAGGAGAAGAGGGCGAGCAGGATGGCGATTCGATGGACGAGGATGAGGACTAGGGTAGACGCTAATCAACATGGATGGTGGGCCTTTCACATGTGTTGTCAGATGTAGCCTGCTCGCTGTCTGGTCCAAGATCGCCAGGGGAATTTTCCCGCAGGCTTGGCCAGATGGATCGAAACCGCAGGCCCAACTAGTCTCCGGCGCCCGCCCAGAACTTAGAAAGCCGTAGGCCACATACATCACACTGATGATGACGACTCTGGGCTGGCGCCGTTGAAAACGGCGTAGGAATTGGACGGCCTGTATCAATCAGGTGGAGAACAGCCTTTCAGTGTAGAAGTTAGTCTCGAGTCGTCCGAAGTTAAATGCCGTCGTCTGAACAGCATCAAGCATGGACCACATTAGTTTCGTCGACACATATAGCCAAGCCCGTCAAACAATGGCCTCAAACCGGGAAAATAGTTGGTGAGGAGCACACCGTCAGAGACTGATATATGTGAAGAGGCTAAACGTGAGCGAGTGAAACCACGACTGCGTGGCCCCCAAAGGTTGTTCAGTGTTCACCACCATTGACTGTTGCGACGGGGTATCAGTGTCGTGATAGGGTGGGAGGCTCGCTAATTAAGCATGACCAAAGCGTGGAGGGGGGAGCGGCAACAGCCTGACATCTTCATGCGTAGACATGATGAAGGAGGTGGTGGATCGATATCAGATCTAGGATAAGAGCCGGGCCCGGATATTGCTCTAGGTCTATTCGCGAATGCAATCTTTGTTTTTGTTCTTCCGAGTATCAAGCTCGAGCAGGGCCATGCCCAAGTCAATCGTTCGAAGTATCCGTAGTGTAATGAAGAATATAACCAGCCAACGGTGCCATTCTGGCGATTTCGAAGTCGCTGAGGGATTTCTCTTGGCTTCTAGGCCGAGAGTCTTTGCCTCCCGCAAGCAGCCAGGCGAGAAAAAGGCAGTTCCTGATCGACTGGTTCCCACACCACCACAAGGCGATTCCCCTGGAAGATGCACAAGGGCAGCAGAGAGTTGTGTGGTTGCGGGGGCGGATGGGCGAGTGAAATCGCTGGGCCCAAGAGCGCAAGGAGCGCTGACTGGTGAAAGGCCATGAACGTCGACATGGATCCCTGTCCGGCTTGCGCAGGCACGCAAGGCACACGGCGCCACTGGGGTGGGATGGCGCAGGATGAAACAGTGAAACTTCAGGGGGGCCTGCCAACGGGCGAGGATGGCGGACGGAACACCCAACCAATGACGCCTCTGTCTCCGTCTGGTTGAGCTACCACTGGGGACGGCCGGGAACCACCGGCCACGAGACCTTTCTCGGCTGTTGGGCTATTTAGTTGACGCTGTCTTGATTCTTGGAGGCGTCGACTCCAGTCACTGGTCCAACAGACAAGAAACCCACAACTTTACGACAGCCCAGTCCAGCCCTTCTTTTTTCCTCCGTTCAAGGCGGATCATATCACACTGTTCAGACAAGGATGATGGTGACTTCCCGGAGAAACCTGGCAGGTTGACGATGCGCCGCGGCTCGCCCATCTTGAATCGCACAATCTTCTGCCAGGATGTGAACGGTGCCGCGTGCGAATCGCTCAAAGTTGGCGGGTCGGCGTCCGTCGGGGCCCACGAGCTGATCGAGGTGCCGGTGGATTGGCGATTGATCGTATTGATCAAGAGGTTCGGCCCCTCCTCGAAGACTCCCCTGGTGGTGGCGGTCGTGGTGAAAGACTTGGATAGGAGCCGTCCATCCGGATAGAGCAGTACAAATGCGTGTTGGCCACGTCAAACTTCTTGAAGATAGGCTGTTTTCTTTTGTGTGCCGACCAGGAGTTCGTTGCCTGTGCGCCACACAGAGGCAACATGGCAGAAAACTACATGGCGGTCGCAGGCCGACGCTTGTGTAGTTGGCGAGGTGCAGATACGTAAGTGGACGCAGCAGTCGCTGCATCGGACGTAGTGTTAGTATTGACGGCACCGGTCCGTCGACGTTGTGTGGATGTATGAAAATGCCCTAAGAGTGAAGGATCCAATGAGGCCGACAAAAGCGAGGGCAACAGTTCGGAAGAGGTGTCAAAGGAGAGCGAGTGACGCGCCGGACTGGTCTCGGCTGTGCTGGTCTGACGATGTTGGGCATTCTTTCCAGAAGGCAGATCATCGCAATCCGTGATTCCCCCTTTTGGTGGCGGCAGGATTGGGTCGACGGTCGACGGTTGTTTGAACGTTGGGCTGACGATTGGCATCGATCTATGTGCCATCCCGCCGTTCGAGTCGTGCCAGCCAAATGTTTCTTGGCGGTTGTCACGCAGCGAGCCCGGCAGACACATGGTTGCATCCTCTTCCTAATGGATGGAGGGTCGTGGGCCAAAGCCAGCACACACTCAAATTGAACAGTGGACAGCAGGCATGGATGATGGACTGAAAGGGGAGTGAGTGTGACGGAAGAGAGTGAGGTGGACGGCCAAAAAGTTGACCGTGGAATAATTGGTACGTATCCAAGGATACTCGGTGGAGAGTGGAGGAAAGGGAAAAAAGAGAAAGGGCCAGGGGTTCGTTGACAAACACAAGCTGTCATTGGTGCAGAGTCCATCTCTTTTGGGCCTTAGCGTTGGATAAGCGGGGGCATCTTAGGAGACACTGTGAGGAGCAAGGGAGCCTTTCCCTTTCAGTTCGCCAAGTCCCACCGTCGACAGGGGGGGCGCTGGTGAAGCGAAAAGGAAAGACGGCAGGCATGGTGGCATGGCGGCATGGCGCCAGTAATTCTTGCCCACCCGCAAGTGGCAGTCTCCAGTCGTTGGCTCCAGTCCCTGCGAGTAAAGACCGTCCAGAGCCAACCAGAATGGGCGATAGGGCAATCAAAGAGCGACATCCCCCAGGTCCCAAAGGGACCCGAGCCCCATTCATCCTTTTTTTCGGCCAGGAACCAGGCCCGGGTCAAGGTTGCAAGAGAGGGAAAGCGAGAGAGAGAGGGAGAGAGAGAAAGGAAGGAAAGAGAGGAGTACCGTGCCTATCTAGAACCGAGAAAGAGCTACTTCACCTTTGGTAGGTACGGAGTGAGGTACCTACCTGCCTGCCTTCCCATAGAGAAGATCGCACCTGCAATATTCAATTATTACTTCCACACGCCCGGCCCTGGTCTGCCATTTTACGCGCCCTCTCTTCTCTCTTTTCCTTCTCCTCAACCTATTCCATTCCCCATACTGGAAAAAGGATCCTGTCCCTTTCGCTTCTGCTCTAGCAAACACATCATCGCTCCCTTTGTGTTGTGTCTTGTTTCTATTCTCGCCTTTCCTCTAGACGTTCTCCCTCCCCGGAGTACTCGAAAACATTACACCTTTGTCGCGGGCTCGAACTTGTACGGCAGAAACCACCCACAACTCTCTACCTATCTCTTCAAATATCGCGCGACACGTTGAACGTTCCTTTTCGGCTAGCTACTACTGCACCGAACCGTCCGTCATTACACACGAACGAAACCACTCACAATCATTTCCAACCTCATCACACTGAGTCACCCAAAGACTCATCACAGCTCACACAGCAACAATATCAAGTCTCAACCGGATCGACGCCGACTCATCGTACTCCCAAAGTACCCCAGGACTGGACTCCTCACCTATTGTCTCGGACGAATAGCAACACAACGCAAATCTCGCGCAGGATAATCCACCACGGCCAGCCCGTCGTCTTAATCACTTGTCTCGCTTCTGGTCATCATCACCGTGGACAGACGGACACACAGACACACCATCAACCCAACAATCACTCCCTCGGCAGATCCTCTTAGTGACCGCCCCCATTCACCTTTTTTCGGCATCACTTCCCTGCTGCTCACTTGACTGCAACTGTCTTGCAGCACAAGATCCACCTCACACGCCAGTAAAGGTCACAGGTCCAATCACAAGTGCAGTCTCTAGCACTTTTTATCACCACCATCTGCCGCTCTTCACACTCCGTCACTGCACAACAGGCTCTTACTCCCGGATCAGGCGCTTGCGTTCCGCTACTTAACTCAAGCTCACTTTCACGACCAGCAAGGCCTTGCGTTTTGCCCACGTCTTCGCACTGCCAAATTCAGATTGAGCTTCTGCTTACAGTCATCAACATGTCGTCTCTCTCACGAGCCTTTACTACCCGTCGGGTCAAGCAGAGCATCGATCTCTCCGACGCCGCGCGGGGGAAGGAGCGCAGCAACACCATGCAGCGAAGCAAGACCACCAAGCACCCCGTCATCAGACACAAGATCTCTGCGCCTATGGAGCTTGTTCATACCACCAATATGCTCTCATATAACGCTCCCGATATTCGACCCCGGACCGGAACCGATGCCTCGAGCAACTCATCCAGGAAGTCTTCAGAGGAGGATTCGGAAAGCGCCAACTCCGCCGCGTCGTCTCCCCCGACCAGCCCCGACGTCGCGCCTCACGAGCTGTCCAAGGAGCCAAACCACCTGTCCTGCTACTTTGTTGCCCCTGGCCAGGCTATCAACTCTTCGATCCCCGAAGTTCCCGCCATTCCTTCCATTCCCAAGCGCGCACCTTCGCACACGAAGCAGGCGTCATACGACGCCGTTGCCCGCCAGCGCTCAGTTTCTCAGATGTCCAAGGCTTCGGACAAGACCGTCTCTTCCAAGGCCAGCATGACATTCTCCTCGCGGGCGTCATCGGGCTCCAGCTCTGCCTCTACCATGTCTCACAGCTCAGTCGCCCCCGCTCCCAAGACCCCTGTGCCGCCTATGCCCACGCCCGCATTCCAGCATCACCACCAGCCGAGACATGAGAAGCCTGCCGAGCCGCACCCCTTCGGCCGCGAGTTGGCCCAGGTTACGGAAATTGCAGAGGAGTTTGGCATCAAGGACGACCTCATGTACGAGGAGGAGCGCGCCCTCAAGGCGGAAGGTCTCTGCAAGTTCGCCGCAGAAGACTACCTCACGGAGGTCCAAAGCATCTTCGCCAGCTTCTTCCACGACAGCCACGCATCTCAACGTCCAATGGCTGCCGCCGCTTGGATCTGATGCGTTGATCACTTTTACCGCCTGCCGGGCATACCTTACTTGAGAACTCTTCTTTGTACATACTTGCAGGAAGCAAAAAAAAAAACAACCTGACTACGACCTCGGCCTTTTTCTTAGGAAGGGAGATGACGAAAACGAGACTTTTGGCTCAGACAATAGCCTCACTTGGAGCGGACACTTCGCGAGACGGAGGGAGATTGCTCTGTTTGGAACCTGACGCCCAACTACATATGGGATAATTGGCGTTTCTGTGTATATACCTTTGAATGACGTGTGGATATTCCCCGATAGTGCCTCATATAGAGGCATCTACCAATATTGCTATTGATAACTAGCTACATCATTTGTGCGGCATGTTTTCATGATTGAGCCTCAAGTGTAATGTGAAGGTTACTTGTTTTGATGAATGCCACGCGGTCCGTGGTGGTTGACCCAGAGTTCATCGCTGCATGACGCCACCCGTGCGCTGCAGCCTGTCCACGTTTATTTACTCACTGAAGGGGCCTTATTTCGCCTGATGATTTGTCTTCATTTCATCCGTGCCTTCATTTTATCGGATGAGATGAACAAGCAATAGCCTCAAATGCAAACCCACAGACTGGTCAAAAACGGTGTACGAACAGATGCCAACGGGTATGCAACGCACAGCCAAATCAATAGGCAATCCTCCGTACTCTTGAGCAAAACCCTTACGGTAAGGTAGGCAATAAAGTCTAGCGTAGTGCAGTACAATTTGGCGAGAGCGGGATGCAGGCAAGATGGGTTTAGCTCCACCGCCAGCCAGACCGAGCTATCGGAGACAGCGTCGCCGATGGAGGGGGGACGGTCGTGGCGGTCTATCCGCATTCTTCCCTTGGTGCCCGGACCGATGAACCTACGCCAACGCCAACGCCAACGCCTTTTTTTTTCCCCTCCTTCTGGTGTACCCTCTCTGCCTCTGTCCGTTTCTTTGTTGTGAAGTTTTTTTCTGTTTAGCACAAAGGATGGCAACAGGATATTTTCTCTTCCGGGACCATGGGACGCCCCATTTTCCTCGGGGATATCTACGATACCGGAGGAACGGCATGAGCGACCTATGGTATACGTAATTGCCTCTTGAAAGCAGGGCTGTGGCATACCCCCCCGTCAATGTGAATCTGATGATCATCTGAATGATGTCCGATGTGGAGGATCTGTGTCAAGTCCTTTTTGGTGGTTGTTCGGGGTTCCCGCCCCAAGACGGAAGGATCGTCGGCGCGTCGCCGGGTGGGTTTTGTAGGCTTGTGGGGGTGGCGGGAGTTTTCAAGGGATTCTCTCTTTCTCGCAAAGTTTTGTTGCATATTGTCTTGCATCTGGATCCGGCTTCATGGCCAAATGGAGGAGTTTTAGGCTGCATCATTTTGTCTCTCTTGAACTGTCGTTGATTGGAGGTGAGGAAAGGGAGAGTGATGGTAAGGGAGACGGCGGTGGTGTGCTGCGCGGAGGAATGGGTCCCGTTTGTGGACGGCGGGAGATGGGCCCCGGGTGGGGTGGGAGATGTCATTCAGTAAGGAAGTGTGCATCTCATGAGAGTGGCTGTCCGATTGACGACTGCGACGTTGATGCCATGTGACGGCCTGTCGGGTCTTGTGGTCTACGCGATGGCACTCTTGTTGGAAGCAGTGATTGGGTTGTGTTTCTTTATCGCCCAACCATCTTTACCATCACGACTGCTTGCTTCCATGTTTGTTGCTTGTCTAATCGCTTGGCTACGGAGACGTAGAGAAGTAATCAGGTGGACCACTCTCCAAGCTTTGCCAGAATCACGCAAGCACAGCATCGTCTCGGCAGAAGAAATCATGGAGAGACCTGTTCCAGGCGTAGCCATGACAACTTTTGACTACTCTATCCATACGAAGTACCCGATGCAGATACAACGATGTCGACCTCGCTTGCACTGAAGAAGGACGAGAAAAGAAAATCCCTAAAGCAAAGAGGACGTCATTGCCATTTCATCTATATGAGGAAGTGGAACCTTTCTTTTTTCACCATTTGGCTCTCTTCCCAAGCTTCCTCCCAAGTCCCCCAAGTAAATGGGATGCCAAGAATGGCATTTGCGATCCCCTGCTCTACCCTCTGTCATCCAATTGGGGGCCCTCTCGGGGACGGGACCCCGCCCCGTTCGTTTCGTTTGATCTTCCTCCAGGGTGCTTGCCCGCATGAATGATGCAGAACAGCAAGCGAAAGGAGGGGATCGGGAGGGGGCTTGCACGGTAAGGCACGGTAACCTGTCGTGCCTGTAAGGCGACTGGGGCCGTGTTCACTAGGTATTCCGTCCCCCGTTGATCGCCGTGAGGCTGCAGGCCGCAGCCCGCAGGCCGCGAAGGCGGGTGTTTGATCGGAGGTCAGGATGGCCCCGGAGATTTCGGGCTGTTCGAAACCTGTCTTGCGGGTACAGACGCGGCATGGAAATTCCTCCTATTGCTGGAAATGCCCCTATTCGCCGTCCCTCCTCTCTCCTTTTCTCGGGTCAGGATGGGGGTTTAAGGTCGAATGGCATTTTCTGTGCCGTTGATGAAATGGGATGCGGACGCGGCTCTTTTTTTTTGGTTAATGCACCGGGCGATCATCAAGTCTCCGACGCGTCGAGCTGCCGCAGGTTCGAAGATCTTGGTGTCACCCCTTGCTCGATCGGTTGCGAGTTAGCGAAATGCTCGACTCTGCATCTTGGGGATGTTCGGATCGGGTGGCATCGTTCTTCCCATTGGTGATGCCGGAGTACCTTCGCCAATGGTAGTCTACCACCGATTTGACTTTGGTGGTGAGGGAGGTTCGGGTTCTTTAGGAAATGCATGAGGTAAGATAGGCCCTGACTTCTCATTCAAAGGGAGAATGAAATAATGTCAGAAATATGAGCAAGCTTTCTCCATCAGTTCGTCACATCTCAACGCATGAAGTAAGTCAGCGACAAGCGGGCCACACCAGTTCCAAACAGAGCCATGTGAGCGGTGCCGATAGGCCGGTGCGTGGCCGGGATCTTCACCTTTCGCCAAGTCTCCTATGCGCGGTTCATCGAAGACTGCAGCACTGATCGGAGTTTGGACCCATGGTTTCGGGATGACCCCCCGAGGTACGGCGCCGAGCCCACCACAGACTCGGAAGCCTCGGAGCGGGAATCTCGGAACTCTGAACACCGTTGGCCCCTCCGCCCGTTGAGATATAAACGGCTGGCGGCCGTTCGGGAGACACGATGATGGAAAACCAAAACACCACGAGGTCACGTAGTGTAAGTCGACGAGCAGCCCTGCTGTGATGCCAAAAGTTTTGCCAGAGATGCTGGAACCGCCGATTTCACCTTCGGATTTTCTAGCCCGCATTCCTTTGACTAGCACTAGGGTAGATGATCGGAGGATATAATCCCTAGGTATCTTGATTTTTGCATCCGCCACACGCCAGGAGTAACCTATCTATCGAATTTCACACTAACGCCGTGTTGCCTTTGTGGCGAGTACCTCTACACTGCAGCCATTATACAATTAAAGCAGCCCAAAGGCTAAAGCCAATTATTGAACCAGCCGGTCAGTGGCCGGTGTCTCGATTTTGCCGTTCTACGAGGATCATGAGTTCTGTGCCTAGATTGATTGTATTGGCCCGGAAACAACTCACCGCTTCTGCTTCTTCTTCTCCGGAGATGCTTCCGAACTGCTTGCAAACGCTCCAACCTCGCGGAGGGTATGCGGTACACCCCCCTGCTGCCACGGCTCGCTTCCTCGATTTCTTTTCTTGGGTGAAGCACGGCTACTCGTTCCAGGGCTGCTGGATCGCGTCGACGGAGTATTCGGGGAGACGAACCCCAATTCGAGACCGTCAAGGGTGTCAAGAGCGGTAGCACTGCTCGACTTACCCTCTTGTTGCTCCAGCCAGGCGTTGATGTCTTGCTCATCCAGCACCTGTTCCTCCGTCGCGCTCGTCCAGTGCGAACTGGCGTCCGCAGGATCTCGATTGCCCTTATATAAGAGAGAATCAGAAAGAGACTTATCGTTTGGGAAGGACTCGAAGACATGGCAGAATGATTCGTAACTCTTCCTCTTCCGAACAACATCTGGGCAAGATGCCGCAGGCGAGGTCATCTATGTAATTGAGCGAGCCGAGCACGATGAGACTTTGAATAATGGCGTGTAAGACTTGATCCTGATTGAACTTCATGGAGCGAAGTTGACCTTGTACAATTGAGTATCAATGTCCACTGCAATGATCTTTCCATGGGCTTAGGCTGTAATTAACAAGAGAGCAATCGTTGCAGCTAAAGACGTGGTCCCTGAGCGGCCGCCCAAGGAGGGACTTCAGAGAAGCCGAATCTGGAAGCCTGGATGTGCCCCACGAGAGTTTTTGGCACCCTGGACAGTGTCAACCGAGATCCCGACAAAGTTCGCTCACGCCGTTGCGGGAGCTCTACAAGCTTATTTCTTTCCCAGAAGGATGAACAAGATGCTGTGAAGGATCCATGAGGATGTGCCAACGACCGACCCTCCGCAATCCACGAACCAGGTTTGAGTGTTGCCTTGATGGATAGCATTGATCCATAGATGGCCATAGATTGAGGATGGACTTGCGAGCCTGCGTAAGACGATAGATCCGGGATCGGCTTCGGGCGGGCAACCTGCAGCCTTATAACAGCCCTATACTCATGGTGTGCCCGATATGTCATCTACTGAATCCTCGACTTCTTTTCTGGGACGAGTGATGGAGGTCATGTAAGCGCGACTAGCGCCCTGGGAGGCTGTAGCGATACTGCCTCCCTGAGATCAAAGTATGTTGCCGATCGCAGGGCCATATATCTGCAGCAGCTGTAAGCAGCTTGACAGGGCCTGCCTCGATCAGATCAGTTTCGAGTGAGTAGCTTGAAGCCACTGTGTGGCAAATGAAAGGAGTTTAGATCCAGAACTAAGAAGCAACCAGGCAACGAAATTGAGACGTCCGTCGGGTCCAGTGCTGCATGCTCCGTTCTAGACGCCGGTGAGCACTCCGAGGTCGAAGGACGGCGTTCGAGTTGATCATCGCATGATCAGGTACACCCCATGAAAATTTGAAATCGCCGCTTGACGAGCATGTTTATCTTGGTATCTTCGAAACCGTTCGCTATCTGGGAGGAATAGGAGGTGTTTGGGTGTAAGAGCGCCATGGCCAACAGCTGGTGAGAACCGCGGGAACAGCGTTGAGTATCAACAAACCCGTCTTTGAGGTTTCTGAAGGCTCTCAATCAAAACATATTCCAGAAGCAGATGTCCATTTCTGGCCTCATCTTTCGATGGTGGCTAGTGACCATCCTGGTTTGATAGCTGCCTGTGCTGGGATGATTATCGTGCAGCCTAGAGTGGGCGAGCAGGATTGGTCGCGACGAACGAAAATGTCAAGGTCTCGAGATGCAAGCCAGCCATTGAGAGCATTTCCCTTCCCTTATGGATTCGCTTACGAGTGAGAACTGGGCTGGAATTGCTAGGCAAAATGGGACTTTGGTGTGGTGTTCTGATACGGACGTTGGAATAAGTTGCTCGGCAAGTGGTCAAGTATAAGCTACCTTAGAGTTGAAGACCGGGTGTGGTTGGTGGAGATGAGTGGACCGAATCCGATGGGACTGTTGTGGAGGTGCCAGCCACAGACATCCATCCAGGTGCCAGGTAAAAGCCACCACCAGCCACAGTTTGGTACCTAAGGGGTCGTGGATTTGGAAGCGACCCCTGTGGTAGCTATGATGAAGCTGTGCGCCTGGACTCGGCTTCGTTTCGTTTCGTTTCACCCACCACCAAAACCCGACTGTCTCGACAATGCCTCCCGTCCCCTTCCTCCTTTGACAAACTCAAAGGTGTTGAATGGACGGTCAATGGCACGAATAACGCTCTTTCGATTTCCTAACAAGCTTCGCCGGCGTGTGCGGAGGAACCGAATGGCCACCCTGCTGGCTCTCCTCGCCCTGGCCGTCCTCCTGGTCGTCCCCTTCTACATCATCTACAAACCACCTCCGTTTGTTATCAACTACTTTGCGCGAAAATGGCCCGACGTACTATGGCAGGTCAAGACGGACCAGAAGATTATCGGCCTCACGATTGATGACGCGCCATCACAACACACGGCCGATATCCTCAACGTCTTGAAGGAGAACGATGCACATGCGACCTTTTTCCTCATTGGATCTCAGATGAACGGTCGTGAAGAAGATACGGGAGCCATAATTCAGTCTGGCAGCGAGCTGGGAAATCACGGCATGCACGACGAAGCTTCGCGGTCTCTCCCTATAGATCAGTTGGAATCGGACATATTCGAGGTCAGGCGGAAGATCAAGATTGCATACGAGTACGAGGATAAGCCCCTTGTAGCTGGATATTTTCGCCCGGGCTCTGGATTTTTCAGCAACAAGATGCGGAGGCTGGTCGACAAACTGGGATACAGGATGGTTCTGGGGAGTGTTTACCCACACGATGCCCAGATCAGTTCTTGGCGGACGAATGCCAACCACATTTTGAGCATGGCACGGCCAGGGGCTATCATCATATGCCACGACAGAAGGAGCTGGACCGTTCCCATGCTACGGAAGGTACTTCCGGAGCTGAGGAAACGGGGGTATAGGATTCTTAACCTTACGGAGCTACTCAAAGAAGTCGACACAGACAAGTGAGAGACGTTTTGGGAGAGAGACAGCATCAATCATCCAAACCATGACGAAGAAACCCAGCTGCAACAACGCATATACGCAACCCATGTCTAGATCTAGACCGCCTCGGTGCTCGTGCACGCATTCACTCTTCAAATGAGGGGTATCAGCGGCTTCGGAGACTGTGTGATTCCGCAGGTTAGAGCTGGTCTCGACCGCAGCATGGAGCCGCCGGGGATGCGGAGCATCATGACCGCGCCATCGTTGCCCAGGCCAATGCGGTGTAATACCACGTTGCCCATAATAGCTTAAATATGACGAGGAGTCTCGCCTCGGGGCCACGGTATACAAAGGAATGGGTCGCTGCATGATCGAGCGTAACAGGCTCGCTGCTTTGTGGATTGATGAGGCATGGCCCCCCTTCAACATTCGCTTGTTTCAGTAAGGCGACACAACGATGTTCTGCGAGACCTGGGTGACACCACGTGAGACAGCAAGGGCTCGGAAGGAGTCGATTGGGCGATTCACGACCTCGTCGAAGGGGGTGGAGGCGCCATGTGTTGGCGCCGTTGTAGAGGCTGGCAGATCTTTGTACGATAGAGGTTGTCAATCTTATGCTATTAGCCGTCAGTGAGAGCGAAAACTGGTTCGCCACGACATCTCTCGCGGCCTTCTTGTCCTCGACAGATCCCCGTAAAGTTGTCCGAGTATCTCTAAATTCCCACTCACATGGTTTTATTGTTTTGCATTGTAAGCTAGCACGCTTTGCCAAAGTTTGTGACGATATTCATTGCTCAGATTTTGCCGAATGCCAGGCTATTCATAGATCATCTGACATTGTTCTAGGGTGTATGGTCGCTAAAGCCTGGAGACTCGCTACAATTGTCGCCTACGAATGATTTTGGCGTAGTCCCATGAACCTATATCATGATGGATTGCGTGTGTATTCTTTGTAGGGAAAGAGAATGCTAATGGTCGAAAGTGATAGTCTGGGAAGCAAGCAACGGTATAATGCGGTGTGGCGGCAGAGCATACGGCCTTGACAAGAGGACAATGATATTCAGCACTTGCATGACCTCAGGCGTCACCTTTCCATCGGACGCGAGAGAGTAGCAACACGATCTGTGCGCCAGTAGACCCAGGACCAAGATCACTTAGTCGTTTTCCCAAACTTCTGCAGGAAGGAGCAGTATCCCATTCTCAACGGCGCAAACCCCAAACAGCACAGGTTTGTCCATCAAACAACTTTACAAGATCTAGAATTTCTTGGCAATATCGGATCATTTACTTGACATAAATAGGGTAAAGCAATTTGAAAAAGTCCATCATAGGAAAAGGGGCCGAAAAGTCAAAAGCTCAAGTGCGCAGTTCGGGAATCGAACTGCGCACCCTACGAAATCCTCCATCTGAGAAGACTTCTCAGGATTTCATCACCAAGTTCTTTACTAACGGACCAGGGCGTTATACCGCTCGACCATGGGGATCGATTGGGCTTGGTTGACGAATGAAGCCCTAGACCTGGATATAAGGGGACTGGAGACCCTCACTCTCGAGAAACTCCCTGCCCTCCTCGTCGTATTCCATCTCATCTTATTCCACTCCATAACATGCTCGTCCCTTCCTCTTCTTCTCTGAACTAGCACCTGCCTTTCGGAACTCACTCTATCGGTAAGTATTAAGTCTCGTCTGTGAAGTTTTCGAGTAGACCTCTCTTCTCCCCTTCACTACCTCGATACCGGGCCCTCATTCTCGACAGTATTGCAAAAGAGGAAAGGAACGCACGCCAACCAGCATTTGCTATATTGCTTTGACATATATATATAAAGGTAATCGGAACTACGGCACAGTCGGGATGCACCCTGACCAGCTTATCTTCCCATTCTGTCCGGACGACTGCTGCCCCGGTCCCGCTGACACAAATAAAGCAAACTTCCCACCAACACACCTCGCCAACGTCCTGACAGACAAGCAAACTCCAATGGACAAGCAAACTTCATGCGCCCAGGCTGTCGTCAAGTCCCTCAAGGGAAAGACACTTCACGTACCGAATCTCTACGGCATCTTCAAAGGATGGCCTGTCAAGAAGACCAACCCTCACTACAAGCGCATCATCCCTATTGTTGAGGAAGCATTTGACCGGTGAGTTTAGGCAGACGATCTTATCAGCCAACATATTCCTGGAATAATCATCTCACAAATTCTCACAAAGGCTCATCAAATCGCCCCTTCTCCGTGAGAAATACCGGGAGGCCAACTACGCCAGATTCGTCAGCTTGTAAGCCCGATCCACTTACCCCCTGACTTCCGACAACAATAGTCTAATCCTTCGAGACAGGTATTACCCTCACCCAGATTGGGAACAGATTCAGACTCTGGCGCTCTACATCATCTGGCTCTTCTGCTGGGACGATGCGATTGACCAACAGGGCAGCGACGACCTGAGCAACGACCTGCTTCGCGCCAAGACTCGTCATGACAACACGATAGTAGTGCTGGAGCATGTTCTTGGTCTTGGTTTTGACGATGGCTCGTTGATTCAGTATGACCATGCCAATACTGAGCTGAAGGCAATCGGAGCACAGCTGCAGAAGGCGTACATACGTGGTAAGTCGTTGTGTCAATTGTGTACAACCAACAGCAGTTTCGCTAACTTAAAGCTAAAGAGCAGAGACAGACCTTCATGACCCAGATGAAGCGATATATCAACAACTGTCACGAGGAGCAGGCTATGCGACTCCAGGGCGACTTGCCCGACCTTCAGGCATACTCGGAGCTCCGTCATGGAACGGCCGCAGTGTGGACGCTTTGCGCGCTCATCGAGTCAGTACCATGTCAGACTTACTAATATGGAGGAACAAAGTCTAACATTTCTGTGACTTAGGTATGGCTTGGCAGAGAACATGCCGGAGCATATACGCTACATGAAAGAGGTCCAGACCATCTGGGAGGAGACCAGCAGAGGCATCTGGATGTACGTGGACATGAAGTGAACACGACAAGCGTCATATTCTGACATAGCAACAGAACAAACGACATACTTTCTCTCAAGAAAGAGATTGTAATTAACCAAAGATCCCTTTTACCGACTGAAGAACGAATGCTTACTAACATTCTCATGTAGCCCCAAGATGCCGCCAAGGCAGAGAGCGTCGTGAACGCCGTGCCCATTCTCATGGGCGAAGGCAAATCGCTACAACAGGCCGTCGGTGCTTTGCTCACGGAGCTCCAGGACTCTGTCGCCATCTTTGAGCTTGCCGCCTCTATACTCGAGGAAGCTGTCGGAGAGAAGAACCAGGAGATTATCAGAAAGTACTGTGATGCGTGCCGTTGCATGGTGACCGGATCAGTCCAGTTCACGTAGGTTCTTCCCAATACCCCTGGTGCAGCTCAAGACAAAAGTGACTAACTGTGTGAAACAAAAGGCTTGAGTCAACCAGATATAAGCTGGCAGGCTGCATGAACAAGGATGGATCCTTGGATATCCTGCTTTGATGAAAGAGATGGAGAAAGAACTCTGGATAATGGATAGAAGAAGTGGATCGAGCCTGATATGGGGCTGCTTTGAGATTGCTTCGAGATGTCGGGCCAGATACCATGCTTTGCTGATTTGCAGATCACGGTCCATAGCTCATGAGAACCCTATACTTGCTGTCGCCGGTGTTGAAGACATTGGCTTCTCTGGATTACGAGGTTTCTAGAATGCAATAGACCGCTTTAACTGCTGCACATCTTGATCTACAGGATTACTGTGGCAACTGGCAAGTTTCTGAGGAAGATCAAATTCCATGACGAGAGGTCCATCTTGTCCTACACACCACCCACCACCGAATTGACACTTGATCTTCAGATGCCATGCAAGAAGACTCTATAGAATACCAGCAGCTCACACTCTGTCCCCTTGACTTGTCGTGAAGGCGAGTGGACAGAGGTAAGTCATCAACAACTGTCAAATCAAGGAGTTGAGAACTTAAGCGCAATGAACATCCATCAAAGTCAGTAACTCACCCGACTCGGCCTTTATTATCCGCAATTATATACCAAAAAATGGACCGAAATATGAGTCTTTAGCCATCTCGTCTTAAAACAAGAACCATCTATCAAGATACCATCTAAGCGGCTTCTTCTCGACTTCTATCAGAATCAGACTAAAATCCCGAAACTCGCCTCCACAATCAACCCCCTTAAACCGTCTTCTTCTTCTCCTTCACCAACGCCTCGAACCCCTGAATCAAATCATCTCTCAAATCCTCCCACCCCTCCACGCCAACACTCACCCTCAACAACCTCTTACTGCACCCGCTATCGCTCATCGCCCGCCACTCGATAAGACTCTCGACACCACCCAGCGACGTAGCATGGTGGAACAGCCCCATCTTGCTCGGCAACCTCTTCGCATCCCCCTCGTCCTTCAACAACAACGCAAACACGGGGCCGAACCCGCCGGGCATCTGCTCCTTCAACCACCCGGCCTCCAGATCCGCCGTCTGCAAACTCGCGTGCTGCACCGTGTCGACGACACTGCCCACCAACCCCCCGGGGTTCCCGCGAATCTCCCCGTCAAGCCACGCAACGAGCTTCGTCGCGCTCTCAGACTGCCTCTTGACCCTCAGCTCCAACGTCCTCAGCGACCGAACGCCCAACCACCCCTCCATACTCCCCATCACGCTCCCGATAAAACATCTCTCCATCAACAGCTCCGGCATCCACTTGTCCGCGTGCTTGGGATTCAAACTCAGCGTCCCGCACAACATATCCGAATGGCCACCAAAGTACTTTGTCCCAGAATGCATCACAACATCCGCTCCCAAGGCAAACGGATCCTGCAGAGGCGGCGGCGCAAACGTAGCATCCACTGTCAAATACGCCCCCTTCCTGCTCGCGACCTCCCTAAAATACGCCAGGTTCCGCGCCTCGCCCGTCGGGTTCAGCGGCGTCTCGACGTGCAGCACGTCGCCGGCCTCCAGCTTCTCCAGCGAGGCATCGTCGAGCTCGAGCTGCTGCAGGCCGTTGAGCTTCGTGAGGACCTTGATGACGCCGTGGCAGCCGTGGTACCCGCCGCCGATGGCCACGCGCTTCGGGTTCAGGAAGACGAGCATGGCGTGGAAGGCGGAGAGGCCCGAGGAGTAGGTCAGGGTGGGACCGTGGAGCACGCTCGAGAGGATTGCCTCGAGGCGGGTTGTGTTGGGGCCCGAGTAGCGGGAGTAGATGTGGGAGTCGCCCGGGGCGGAGGGCTAGGTTTGGATGTTAGTGCAAGCCTTTTTTTCGCACTTTGACTTTTTTCCCGTCTTCCCATCTCATGACGGGGTCATTCTGATAGTTCCTCAACAGCGGCAAATTGTCTTAAAAGTTGATTCAAGTAACACCCTGAGAGCGCGGGCAAGACTTACATCGACATTCTCCCCTGAACGGAGCTCATCCGGGTTGCTGTGGTACTTGAACGTGGTCGACACGTGCATCGCCGGCGCGATGGCGCGGTGGCTGCTGATGCCATCATCAGCGTGGACGGAAAGCGTAGCAAGCGAGAGCTCTCTCTTGCCGGCAGCGGCCGTCGTCGGGCTTTCGGAGCCGGTCCCGGGGGCGGTCCGGGTCGCCATGTCACCATTCGTAGGGATATCTCCAGCCATTGTGTTGTTTGTCGTTAAAGATGCTAAGTCAAGAGGGGTACTTCAGCGTCTCTTGCTGGGAATAAAGAGTCCTGGAATAGGTGACGAGATATAACACAAGGTCTTGAACGACTGAAGGGGGAGTCGAGATGTAATGCACAGGGCGTGGAAGAAGCTCCAGATGTGTCATAAAATGAGAAAAATGAAGAGTCACCGACGACCAACCGGCGCGGAAGACGATCAAGGCGGGCGGCCCGGTGCCGGGAACCAGCCGTCTCTGTGACTCTGCCCCTCCATTGCGTGGAACCTTATCAAAAGGTGGGGTCGGAGACCAAACCCCGAAGCTGGGTCATGGTGCGATAAGTGCATGACGGATCAAAAAGTATTTGCTAAATCACGTCAAAAAGCATACTGACCATTGGGACAACGATGCCGGATGAGTCTCCGCCAGTCCATCCCTCCGAGGCTCGGACTGTTATCCCAGCTGTATAGTGAGTAGTCCTCTCTCATATCCCGAACTTACACTACCTCACAACTTTTAAGGTATGTCACGGGCAATATCACCGTACAGCAGGCCCTGGAGCCAAGACATGTCAACCAATATCATTATCATTAAGAGCTTATTTCCAAGACACTCAGACTCAGAACTCTGCTCGCCAGGGTGACTTGCAACCGCCCGAATATGCATAACGCGGCTCAACCCGACGAATGTGCAGGCTGGTTGGCCCAACTCTAACCATGTCATAGCGAATGCACCCCATATCTTGGGACATAACCTAACCAGTAACGCCAAATCCCAAGCCGGCAAGGGCTGCATCGACAGGACGTATATACAAAGTAAGAAGAAAAGATGCCCGGGAATACGATTAATGAATTTCGGTGGTCTCGACTGAGGCTGCCGACTTTGGGCGCTCGATGGTTCCTAGTTCTGAGCCTTGCCCGCTCTGGCCGCGCTTTCTTCCAGCGCCGTTCAGGAAGCGCGTGACGCCTGAGTTGGGCGAGTTGGCGCTCGGCTCCCTGTGGTCTGAGTCACCGAAGCGCGAGAACAGGCCGCGCATGCGGCTGGATTGGTGGTGCTGTTGTTGTTGATGCTTCTGGTCGTCCAGGCCGACATCTTCGAAGCCCTCATCAGCGGTAGGGAGTTCCCGGTGTCTGTCAAGCGCGGATCGAGGCAGGCGAGGGTAGCGGGCTGAGTCGAGACTCTGGCGCGCCGGGAAGTCGTTCTGGGGAATTGGGGACCGTGCTGTGATGTCCTGCAACGCAATTGCGGTCAGCGGTGGCGCCACAAATAGCGGCTTGAACTCGACGTACAAATGATCGCCTGTACGAATCGAAAGATTCTCGGGAAATAGAGAAATGCTCAATCTCGCCGCTGTTGCTGCGAGTGTCTGTCGAGTTGCGGCCAGAGCCGAGGTACTTGCTCGGCCACAGGCCTTTTTCTTCAGTTGGGGATGGCTACGCATGCGCGTTAGCAAATGTCTCGAGCATGGGTGAGACTGTTGGTTACGAGGGTGCATACCGGAAGATAGACGCCGCTGTCATTTACGACTGTGATTCAGAGAAAAGTAAGTCAATTGGTCTCATGTGTGCGCAATCACGTCTAATGAGAGGCGGAGGTGCATACCACTCATCTTGTATTCGCCATTGTCCTGGCTCTTGGAACTTCTGACGCTGAGGGAAGAAGAAGCCTTGGAGCCGACTGTGTCTTGCTTCTCAAATCCGGGATGCGACGGGTTCTCGCCATCGGATCGTGAGTTTTCGTCTGCATGGAGAGTGGCAGGGCCCGGACGACGGGCAAAAGGGTTGCGAATGGGCATGGCGGAGGATGGCGCGAAAGCGGCAAGGTCGGGATGGTAGCTGGTAAGGAGGAAATCTCGATTTGTCGCGATGGTGTCGATGTTGTAGACCAGGCCAATGTGCGAACTTGTGTTTGAAAGCTAGAGGGAAAAACTTGGTGCGTAATGTTTCGAGTTGTGTTTGCGTTTCGAGGTTGATGCTGGGACCGTTTGACAAAGAAATCGATCGGTGGACCCAAGAGGCGAAGGCGGGGAATAGGGTCGCGGGAAGGGATGGCGATGAACTATATGGCAATCTTGACCCGTCCTATTTCCCACTCGGGCAGATGTGTGTAGTGTACGGAGTACGGAGTGATAGCTAGTGGTGTCTGAGTTGGTCCAAGGGCCCAGTCTTAGTCTACATGTACAGTAAGACGGTGGCTTGGGATGGACAAGGCGGAACGGTATTGGTCTGTAGAGGTCCTACAGAGAGATGGATGCAGGAGATGATGGAGATCCAAGTGAGGCGCAGGGAGATGGAGACGAAGGCTGGGGAACGGGTTGGCGCTTGTTCAAAGTTGAGGACGTAATCGAGACGTGGTGCTGCGTATGGAGTATGGTCGGCAAGTGAGTAGAGAAAAAGTGAGTAGACAGTAAGGTAGAGATGGATGGGAGCTAGAACTGGCGGACAATATCATCGGGCGGGAATCTGCAGGTTTTGGGCCGTGGTTGTGCTTGCCTTCCCCTGGCAAGTGTGAGCGTCTCTGTCATGTCTTTTTTCTTCCCGCTCGTGCCTGCCCATCCGTACATTTTCTTTCCTTCCTTGCATCCGCCCATAAAGCACGGGAAAAGTAGGTGCGGATACGCGCTACTGCCACTCAGGGACTAGACGCAAGGGGGGGCACATCAGACTTGGAAGTGACGAATGACCCTCCTGCAGATGCATCCATTGGATCATGAGGTAACTTGGTATGGACCATACCACTGGGTAGGTAGGTAGGTAGGTACGTACGGAGTATGGCGAGGTAAAGAACCCCGGTGTCGCTGCCGGTACCGCTGTGAGAAACCGCGGTCCCGCCCGGACTCTTCGCCATCACTCTTCAGGGTCAAGTGGGAACTGAGAAAAGAGCTTTTCCATGGCATGGCAGGGAATAGGCACGTAGGGACGTTTGAAGGTGTCAAGTCCGAGAGCCCTAAACGGTAAAGGTGTGTAAGATGCTGCAGCGGTTCCCCATCATCGGCATGGGCAGATCATCGGCACTATCCCACGACTCAGCCAACATCTTTTGCAAACAATGCGCGGCCTCTGTCCATCAGTGGGGATATTGACAGCATGGACAGCCTGGCACTGGCACTGGCGAAACCGCGAAGCCTTCAATGACATCCCACGAGAATTGGGTTTGCGATGGCGGCACCTTACGCAGTAGGAGCTAGGCGAGACGGGGATTCGGGAAACCGGGAAACTTGGAACGAACCGTGAATACCATGCCACCAACGGCCCAGGGCTCTGGGGAAAGACATGATCAAACATTAGCTCACTCACTCAGTCACTCGCTCTCTCAGTGGCTGGAGTCATGAACCGGCCACACCGATCCTGTTGTTGCAAGCTTGGGAAGCTTCCCAAAGGCCAGGGACCTTGGTCGATGACATGTGTTTGTCCCATGTTTTTGTTCTTGCCATGCCTACGTGCCTGCTCTTTCTGGCCCAAGTAAGCTGAATGGTTCGTCGCTGCCGCCAGTGACATAAGGGTAAGGTGGGATGCGGGTCGGTACATGTGACGGTGCCTTGAGTGAAGCACCCCTCCATGTACCTCTTCAAATTTTGCCTTCTTATGTAATCACCCGACCAGCATGGTGCCCTCCCTTCTGGAAGCCCGCAGTGACGCTTGCCGTCATCCACCTTGTCCGGTCCAACCTTGCGTCCCGAATCCCCGCGACGGGGGCATGCCCTTTTCCAAATCCCAACCCTGATTATCCTGGCTTTCTTTCACCTTGGTTACAGCGGTTAAATTCGCCCACCATTCAGCGTCTACATTCGTTTCTATGCGCATACTGGCAGACCTGTGAAAGCTCTGCGCAGTCACAAGCGTCGCACCTTCGGCCCCCAAACGGACACCAATCGTCTCTTCTCCGTCTCGCCTCGACTGTCTGGCACAGTCCTGCTCGCCCGCCGCAAGGTGTTCATCCACAGTACGACGCTGGGCAAATCTGGACGTTCGGACGGCACACTTCGGATCTCTCGGCATCGGAGCGCAAAAAACTGCCTTTTGATCTCCGTGCCGTACTTCCTCTTTCTGTCGCCCTTCTGCGGACCTGCATCATGTCCGTCCAATTGTTCCTGATTGACCGCATCGGAACGTGAGTTGGCTGCGCCTATCCGCTCACTATATGACGCTCTACTCAACCCACCTTTCCCCTCAGCGGATCATCGACCTACCGGGCGGGGAACGGGAGTCGGTCATCGCCGTGGCCGGCGCGATACTCCACCCCCTTCCTGCATCAAAGCCGATGAATCATGAGGGTTCTGTTTGTTGGGAAAGGGATATCCGCACACGTGATTGAAGAACGCTCATAGAGCGTTGCGACTTCGACTCGCCCTCCCGATTCACGATCAATAGCTCTATGCGCCAGACTCACCACTCATATGAATGTCAGCCTGAGCGGCGTCAAAATCCGCGTCAAATCCGCGTCCTCAAGCTTTTTGAGCATCCAAAATTTTCGCTACAAGTCGGTTGTCTGGTTTCCGGTAACCCACGAGGTTGACAGCCTCTTTTAAACAACAAGATGCCTGTTGGTCTGGAACCAGGCTGCGACCTACTTCGACCTTTAGCTCAGTGACAGTTCCCTGCATGCGGGATTCTCTCACACCAAGACGCCTCCTCGTCGTAGGTTGTCTTGCACAAGTCTCGTTGAAAGTCGCCTTCCCGGACGCCCTCGCCGGCTATGGCTTGGCCGGCTTGACCCTTCCTCCTGTGAAGATGCGCCATCGGCCTGGCCAGTCAACCAGTGCCTGTACACCATGACCCGGGGCAAAAGAGACACGATTTGCAATTGTACAACGTGCAACGAGGAGCTTGAGGGCCGTTCACATCATGGTTGAGCATGGCGCCGGATTGGGTTATCGTGACTTCGGCTACCTAAAGTGGCTGCGGTCCGACAGGCAGCTGGGAATGTGGACGCCCAGATCCGATGGAGCGGGCACGCTACAGACAGACTGGCACCCACGCAACCACGCACCATCGAGATAGACTGTTGAAACCACAAGTCTAGGCGTCGGCGATGCCTGACACCGGCCCTGTCACGGTCCTATGTTGACTTCGACGGACTTTGGCTATGCTTTTCGTATGCTTCGGCGGTTGACCAGCTGATGCCATCTTAGTCCTTAGCTGGGCGAGAATGCCTTGCTGCCCTTGCTACTGTCGCTATCATCAGCTGATCGCTCTTCTATGCATCGAATAACCAGTCTACCGGAAGGGGACTGATTAACCACGCCTGCGTCGAGATATCTCTTTGTCTCGAGATGATCGCCAAAGTATCCACCGACCTTGACCTGGGTTCGGCTCGCAACGTCGGGCTTCTCGAGAGATCGCTTTCGCCATAGCCAACGCGCCTCTTCAGTCCTTTGTTCGTCGTGAAATCGATCTACAACCCTCGCCATCATCGGCGACATAGTCGTCATCGGCACAGGATCTGAGAGAGACCATCGTCGTCCGTGTCGCCTGATGGTTTTGTACGTCAATCCAAGCAAAAATGGCGCGCCTGCAGACAAAGAAGTGATCAACTCGCCGTCAAGGGGAACACAGCAAGCATTGGGTTGATCAGAGTGTTGTATGTTCAGCTAAAGTGGGGGCTCACTGCAAATATGCCGATGCCATCACGGAATGACCCTGTCAAAACCACGAATGTAGTAGGTATGGCTGGCTTGAACACGGAACACTGGTCAGATTATCGAGATTCGAGATTCGAGCTGCTGGCACGGACATGCTGGTCTTCAACAGGCGGCCTTGATCGGGATTCCATTGAAGCCTGAAGACCAAGATCCATGACAACCCCTACGCTTCTCAGATCTATCAATACCGGACCTGCTTTCACTGCGATCTGTCAAATGTGATGATGAGGCGATAATCACGTTGCTGGCAGCACGTACGGGAGTTGCCCGGAGAGGCTTTTCATCATCAAAGACCTCTGGTGCGATCTGCCAAAGGATGTGGTGGACGCTGAGACGCACGTAATCTCGATTGTCCGTGGGAAGGACGAAACAGACCCGCGCCTAACAGCCGCATTGACATCAAACGCCTGCTCAACCCACCTTTTGGGGTTCTCAGGCTCGGAAAATAAGAATTTCATCGCGGTACCTGACGGGACGACGTCTGTTCTCCCCAGCCTGCGCTTTTGAATCTCATGGCGTGGGCGCTAGGCCGACGCCATGCGTGCCCGTGTACCTAAGAAAAGAAGGACATGAAATGATCGACCCTTGAGCGTGCGTCCGAGCAACATCGGACGACTCGCAACGAGACGGTCAACGGCTGCTGTCATAAGGAGAGAGGAGTGCTCAAACGACTTAGTCGACCTCTCGCCGCTGGCGTAGCACTGGATGACACGGTTCCCGTGGCTCGCCAAGGCCAATGGTCGTTTTCAGGTCGAGCCTCGATGCCGCGGGGCCCCACTCACGATGCAATGCTATGTAAAGCACACACTTCGCCCGCACGCTGCAGGTCGCAGGACGAGAGAGATCAGCACGAATGTGGGATCTCCAGGGGCAGCGCGACCGAAGCGGCCATGGAAAACCCTTGAGACTATGCATCGCGTTGAGCCTGTCTGGTTCCTGCGTCCGTCTGGTTTCTCCGTCCGACTCGTCTCCCGCTCTGTCCACATCTGGCCTATGCCGAATTCGACCACTTAGATGGCGATATGACTAAACAATTAGAGTGCAGCAGCACAGCAAACGTCCACCGGCTTCTTAGGACTCCGCGGAAGCTTCGAGACCATGGGGAAAGGGCGGAATTCTACAAAACATCTTACTCGCCTCTCGGCTGCCTGTTCACGTCTATCGTGAATTGCACGGCACGCCGGATCATGTGACGACGGTCCAGGCTCGACAGCTCGAGAACGTGGACGAAAGTGGCTTGTCCGCAACCGAAAACATGGAGATAACATGCGGCAATGGGATTGAATATACTCAAGAAATCACTATAGATGAGAGGCAACGACTGGCCAAGGTCCCCCATCTCAGTCTGGAAATCAGGTGTGGCTTGCTCTTCCGCCCATCCTTCGGCGCCAAGTGGGCGAAACTAGATCAGCCCGCGCCGTACCTTGCATTCCGCAAACGGCCATCTGAGACCACTTCCGTCGTAGCAACATGTTGGTTCTGCCCGCTCATCCCCCCCACAACTCTCTTTCTTTTGTGGCGTTTCTACTTTCAGGGTACGCTTTCGCACTTTGATTCTGTAGACAGAGAGGGTTGAACATTCCAGTAACGCCCGGCCCAATTCCCAGGCATTTTGACATGGCGGCGGCACATAGCAATACGGTTGACTGAGAGGTGAAGTCGTCCCAAAGCGCCATTGAACCAAACGCAAACAGGTCTAGCAGCTTGTCTCGATCCGCGAGATGGGATCCTCGATGGGGTCGAGCAGGGATAACCCAGACCCATGCCCTGCAGCGGGCATGAGTACGAGACTACGACTATACGGTAGCGGTGCTCAGAAAACACAACGACCCAATTACTACCACACCCGACTTCCAAATCCCCTTTTGGGATGGACTTCTCGACCGGACGTGGTAGCACTCGCCCTTCACCCCAACGCACGTCCTCAGCCGGCGCTCTCGTCGAGAATACACCACGATGTCTCCTCCCATCTCCACTTGGACGATGGACACTGAGAGAGAGAGAGGCAACTCAGCCACTGACACACTCTGCCCGAGACGGATCCTGGCTTCGGTCACCCTTCAGTCTAGTCCTAGTCCAGCACTGCTCGAGAGTCCAGGCCGACCCCATCTAACGAGCTCGTCCATGGCGGACAGGTAGGTAATATGGCTGGTGAGAAAGGTGGATGTGTGTGTTGTGTTGTTTGCTGTTGGTATCCGTGTTCCCTGTTTCATACATAACCTGCCGGCTTCCGTCTGACCATTGAGAACCAAGATCACGCATCTCATCCAGGTTTTTTGTTTCCATCCTTCACCGCCCAGGACCCCTTGAAGTCCCCTTATATTCACCAGTGCCCCTCTGATACGAGGTCACCTTTTATTCTTATCCTGTGTAACTGATACTCGATAACGGTGGCATCTTGCCTTGTCTTGTACCTTACCTCGGTTCTTGACATCATCTCCGACCCTCAACTAGACGACTCAAACAACATCAACACTCTGTACCAATATTATCAGAGCGATCTATTCTCCTTACCCGATTAAGAAGCCACAGCGCCTCGCCCATTATCGAAATCACAGTCTCTGAGCTTGTTCTCGGTCTATCGCCACCGACAACGCTCTTCGCCGCATTCGAACAAGACATTGTGAACCAGTCCGATTGCAGCGGTTTAAGAACGTCACACCTTCGAGGCCAGAACCGACTTCGGTCGCAAGGGGGACCCTTACCTTCACGTATCCTTCCTCACTTCAAGAAGAGAGCTGTGCTCCATCTCTATTCACTTTGGTCGACATTTTCACATCTGATACCACGCACCTTCCTCACCTTCCTCCTCAGACCTTGAGCAACCCTCCCTCTCACCACCACCACCACCACACAACGCCATACACATCAACTTCATTCAACGCGAATCACAATGGGCAAGCGAGTATTTGTCGACTGGGAGTTGTGGCAGCAGATGACTTTTGTAAGTCTTCATATTAGTATATCCCAAGCTTCATGACTAACACACTTGCCCTATAGGTACTGGCTTGTGCCATCGGCGTCGTCTTCATTATAGGCTTCGTGAAGCTATGGTGGTCAAATCGATACATGGCCAAGCTCGAAATCATTGACGCGGAAAAGAGGGCACATGCCTCAGAGATGGAATCAACCGGCCTGCCGGCCCCACGAAAGCAAGACGAAATCCCCTTTGGCGTCCGCGCCATCCAGTCCGGCATCGAAGTCGACGGCATTTGGATCTCCCGCCCCAACACCCCTGCCACCGACTCCCCTCCCAATTCCGCCAAGGGCAAGGGCAAGTACGTCTCTATGGGTCCCATCTCACCCGCCTCAACAAACTCCTCAGACCCCTTTGGCTCTCCGCCTTCGTCTCGCGGCGGCAACGGTGTTGCGATGGCTCCTCAAACATATCGCCCCAAGTCATTCTCCCAGAACGCCACTGCGAGCCGTGCCGACGCGCTGAGCCAGCTTGAGGGCAACCCGAACCCGCCAACCGCACCCTCCTACGGTACTTACCAGCCTCGCGGAAACGTCGCCCATTCCGAGTCCTCGGATGAGGCCGGTAGCCCTGTCAGCCCTATCGATCGCGGCAACGCTGGCATCAGCAGCGAGAACTACAACGGCATCGACGTCCGAGTACCCATTCGAGCCTCACCCGTCGTCAACCGCCAGCTCACCAAGGTCCGCAACGTCACCGGCGGCCCTGCCCAGCAACCGACGACAGGCGGCGGTGTCCGCTCTTTCAGCGGCAGCTTGCAGCTGCCTAAGAACGGCAAGGGAACGTACTCTACCGTGCCGCAGGGCTCGCCCGGCGGGGACTTCACTGATCCCTTTGCTACACCTGTTACTACTCCTGGTGCCGACCAGGCGTTGCTTCCTTCCCAGCAGCAGCAGCAGGGAGCTCATCACGTCAAGTTTGCGAATGTTGAGTATATCACCACTCAGCGCTACGCCAGCGATGGTAGCAGCGGGAGCAGCGGCAGCAGTAGCAGCAATAACCACAACTAAGTCATTTTTTTTTTAGGCTTGGGTAGTGTGGGTGATTGACGGTACATCAGCATCGGATGGTAAAGCGAGTTTTTTGGCTTCCTTTTCTTTTTCTTTCGCGAATCTTCTCACAAACTTGGAGAGTAATATCGTAGCAACTGTATGAATAACAAAGGGCAATCTGTCGAATATGGACAGCGGGGGGGTGGATACTAGGTTCCGTGGCCTCTCTCAATCACCCAAGAGATGGTACACGAGGGGAAAGGCGTTTCAGGCATGTAAAAAAGATTCATCATCGGGAACACATTAGACGGTGAGCACCTCTTGCGCAGCAAGGTCTCTCGTCGACCTTCTCTCTCCAATATGAGAGATTGGGGCAGACTATCATTAAAAGGACAGCATTCCATCCATAGAACAAGCACAATCACAAGAAGAAAAATAATTAACAATAACACCTGACCAACTACCTGAAGTGAAGCAGTACGTATCGATTGAGAATGATGACCGGGACATCGATATGGTGCAATGCCATTACTTTAATAGCGCCGCTCGGCTCGCAACTCTGCGCTCCGGACTTCGGCGTCGCTCCGCGCACGTCGGCACCGGCGCCGGTTATGGCGACGCATAATGGACCCCGCTCGTTCGACCTCCTCCCCTCACACAAACCCCCATGGAAGCAATCCTCCTCACCCCCGTGCCCCCACATAATTGACATGACGTGCGTGATGAATGGAGAAGGGGAGGCGATCCGTATCGGCGGCCAAAGGAATAACCGCAATTAATCCCCCTCTTCTACGGATTGAGTTGTCTCCTTGCTTTCACACCTCTCTTCTCATTGTGAAGTCCGTTTTTGGGGAATATCGCGCAATTGCATCTTGGTTTTGGCGACTTGTGAATACAAGATCTCATTGACGGAACGGGCTCTCAGATCCAAGCTACTTGACACGGGCGTTTTGAGACATCTTCATCCGCAGCATAATCGCATCGCCATTTCACGCATACTTGTATAGAAAGACAGGTCATCGGCAACTCAAATCAACTCAACCTCGAAAGACCAGCATAACACCTCACGAATCCCCAACTTCAGCAAATCACGGACTCCAAAAGAGACAGAGTTAGAAAAAAAGAAGAAAACACAACCACCACCACCACCACCACCACAATGTCCCCAACATCCCTCCACCAAGGCGCCTCAAAAGGCTTCGCAGACGCAGCAACCTACGACGCCTACCGCCCCTCCTACCCCGCCGCCGCGACCCAAAAGTTCCTCGAGCACCTCCGCCTCGCCGACGTGCCGCACGCCAAGATCCTGGACCTGGCCGCAGGCACGGGGAAGATGACCGAGGTGCTGGCGGCGCGGCACGAGGGGTTCGAGGTCGTGGCCGTGGAGCCGCACGAGGGGATGAGGGCGGAGCTTGAGAAGAAGGGCCTGAGGGGCGTCGAGGTGAAGGATGGGTTCGCGGCGAGGTTGCCGCTTGGGGAGGAGTGGGGGGATGGTGCTGTTGTTGCGCAGGTGAGTTTTGATGTTTCTTTCTTGGAAGTTGATGGGGGGGTTGTTTTGTGGTGTAGAGATGAGTTTGGGATGGGCGGGCTTGCGTTGTGGGGAGACGATGGCTGACTTGTGTTCTACGCAGGCTTTTCACTGGTAAGACGATTCATTATCTGGATTCAGAATTGTGGACAGAAGCTCATGATAAAGTATAGGTTCGCGACGACAGAGTCACTAAAGGAGATTCATCGCGTCCTGAAGCCGACTGCCGTGCTTGGTTTCATCTGGAACATTGAAGATTGTAAGTCTTTCCTCTCAATCCCAATTACCGAAGGCACAAATTCGTGCCACTGAGGAAACAAAACGCATGCTAACCAAGACACATCAAGACAACAAGCCAAAGCACTGGAAAGCAAGCACACCCTGGGAACAGTCCCTCAACGAGCTCGTCTTCACCCTGGGAGGCGACGGCCAGCCGCGCTTCCGCGACTTCGTCTGGAAGGACGTCTTTGACAGCCAGCTCGACGCCAACCCGCTGCGCGCCGTCAAGGACGTCGTCCTCGAGGGCGGGCGCAAGATGCCCCTCTTCAGCGTACCCGTGGGCGAGGAAAAGGTGCCCTTCACCGTCTGGTTGACGCCCGAGGCGGTGTGGAACCGGCTGCGGACGCTGAGCCAGGTCGCGGTGCTCGAGGGGGCGCGGGCGGCGGCGTTCAAGGCCGAGTTTGATGCCATACTGGGCGGGGAGAGCGTGGAGAGGAATGAGAAGGGGGAGGTTGCGTTGCATGGGGTTACGTATTTTGCGTGGACTTCGAGGTTGTAGCCGTGGTGAGATGATCCGCATCAAATGTGAGGGGTGTTTTTTGCTGTTTTGATTAGACGAAGGTGAGAGGTTGCAGAAAACGTTCGGCCACATGGTAGAATTGAGGGTATATTTTCTTCTGCGTTGGTAGATTTGATAAAGGACGCCTTCCGAGCACTCTAGACTCGTTCATAGACCTCTTCGCTAGTGGACAGAGTCCAATCACCAATCCATTGTTGACATCTTCATCCGCGCCTCCTAAGAGTCTGCCGAGATGTACATGACTGCACTATCTGTCAGTTGGAATGACTTGGAAACGGGATGGAGTGAGAATTACCGTTGTTTCCTCTCACAAATGCGTCGCCGTATGACCGCCTCTTGGTGCCGTTGACGTACTCCTCCGTCTTCTCCAGCGCAATGTTCATGTAGCCATCGACAGACTGAAGTTCACCTATAGTGAACGCATACGGTCAGAAAACTCTCATCACATAAAGAATAGAGCCTGGCGTCATCTCATTCTTGGTAATGATGGCTGAGGCACTCACCCTTGTAGACGACGCCCGAGTTGAGCTTCACGGTGACGGGGTTGCCGATGATGTCGCTGAGGAAGCTGGAGGGGTCCTTGCCCTCGCCCTGGCTGATGTTTCCGTTCTCCATTGTCGTTGTCTGGATGTTGTGAGATGGATGTGAGTTATTGGAGAGGGCTTCGGGATGTAGGTTGTTCCGTGGCGGGTTTGACGTGACGGTGGGTGGTGGTTGAGGCTGCGGGACGTCAAACTGGTGATGATGTTGGCAGAATTGCTGGCAGCTGGCGACGATGGTGTCGACGGCTGCCCTCTGTTAGAGCATCGAAGGCCTGGGCACCTGGGGTACCTGGATCGCACATGGCGTTAGCTTTTCCCAGGGTCAGCTCGCACTGTAGGGCTACCCGAGCAGCGCACACTCCAAGCTGAGCAGCGTGCAAAGGCGAACTCCATCCCCCCTCCAGGTCCTCCCCTGGGGCCCAGGTAAGGTGTGGGGCCAGCCGAATCAATCTTTTTGCTCTCACCACGGAAACAACGGCCGCCCCCCCAAATCCCAACCCAAATATTTGGTGGTGGTGCGCGAGCCAGGACGCCTCGTTGTCCCCCTCTCCCCTTCTTCTGTCGCATTGTTCGTGATGTTTCTACCTGCCGCCTTCTCCTTTGGGCCCAGCCTCTGGCGCCTACTCTGCATGGCCTGACCTTTTCTCCGTTATAAAAAGTTCACTTACAAAAAACCACAACGGCCATATAAAGTCGGTACAGAAATCACATCATCCAAACTCCTGCGCCTTGGACCCTGCAAATTGCACCGGATCGCATAACGAATCCCGAGCCAAAATTTGTCCCGCCGCTCAGTGTGTTCAGAAGAAACGTCCACTTGTGAGCCATGGCAGACGCAGCGAAGCCCAAGAGGCGCCTCCCCTTCAAGCCTACCGCTTTGCGACAGAAGTCCGACCCGAAGCCCGCGACACAGAAGAACGACAACGAAGAAGAAGACGACGACGATGGACTCAGTCTGTTCAAGCGCTCCGCCGAGTTCTTCCCCGTCGCAGTTGCCGAACAGGAGCGACGTATGAAACGGAAGCAGGCGGAACAAGAGAAGAGCACACAAGCGCGCTCGCCAGAGCGCGAGACGGAGCCTGCGCCGAGAGCGAGCGAGGAGCCTGGCAAGACCGACGTTGAAGGGGAAATAAGGTACGCTCCCAGCACATATTTGCATTACCACCATGGCTGTCTTCTGACACCAATTTCCAACTGATAGGGAACCCGGCACGCCGCCATCCAAACGCTCGCGAACCAGCGATGAATCCCCGCAATCGAGAACAAAGCAGTCGCCTTACAAACGCCGTGAAGGCACAGAAACGCCCTCGAAGCGCTTGACCCGCGCCGCCGCCTCGCGGACGCCTCGGAAGCAGGAGGTGATACCCCACAAGCCCGTCATCGCGATCGAAGATAGCGACGAAGACCTCGATGACGCCGACGATGTGCCCAGCGACGATATCTACGAAGCGTCACCCGTCCGCAAGACGCAGCGCCGGCGACAGACTTCAGAACCCGAGGTATCGCCTCTCGTGATTGACTCAGACGACCCTTTTGTAGAAGGCATGGACGAAGAAAAAAAGTCCTCCACTGCAGCAGCGGCAGCGGAAGAAGAGGAAGATGACGAGTTTGAGGAATACGTCCGACGCGCCATGGAGCGTAAAAAGGCTCTCGAGCAGGACGAGAACCAGCTCGTCAATGTTTTCGTCACCTCTGACATACCAGGCACCAGAGACCGGCAATTCCGCTTCACGCTCGTCAAGCCGCTGAAGGTGATTCGTATGAAGTGGATTGAAGTCCAGCTGGAACGTATTGAGATCCCCCGTTCGGAAGTGGAAAGTGTATTCCTCACATGGCGTGGTCATGAGCTGTATGATACGACGACACTACATAGTCTCGACCTGGAGGCTACGTTCCGCAAGAACGGCGGTGGTGGTGACTCTGGAGGAGACTTGTCCGAGGGCTTCAAAGACGACGACTGGACAAATGTACATTTGCAGATGTGGACGCGCGAGTTGTGGGAAGAGCACGAGAAGCAAGAGGCGCGGAGGAGAAGACACGACCTCGGAGACTACTCTGACGACGAAGGTGGAGAGCAGGGCGATGGCGCGGATGCCGTCGAGCCAGAGGTGGAGCAGAAGATCAAGGTCCTCCTCAAGACCAAGACGGACGAGCCGCTCAAGACTTCAGTGAGGCCGTCGACCACCATCGGAACGCTTATGGAGCTGTTTCGGAAAATGCGTGGGTTGGCTGAGGACGCCCCCATCACGCTCATGTTTGACGGCGACGAGCTCGAAGAGGAGATGACGGTCGAGGAGGCTGATATTGGCGACATGGAGACAATTGAGGTCTACATAAGATGAGGCCTTCAGTTCACAAGTCGATTGAGGTCAGCTGAGTTGTCAGCACTAGCCTTCTTTGCACGTTGAAAACGAAAGTGTCACGGCTCGGAATGGCAGTGGCTCGAGTCTGGATATCTGGGGAAAAGGCGGCAAAGACGAGGCCCTTGAGGAGGGATGTAATTCAAGATACCCGGGGAGTTTTAGCGTTTTTTTTTCATGGGAGGTAGCGTTAGCATGGAAAGGTGAAAAAGCTTTTTGGCCCTCTTGATGTTGAGTTCGTTAGCCTGTGTTGAAACGGGACCGAGGAGCCCCTATTTTGATCCGCCCCCTTAATGGCAAACTGTGCCTCACTTACACCGCCAACTCATCGCTATCAAGCCATCGAGCACTGTCTATGAAGAATGAGACCGTCAGCCATGTCAGCCATGTCATTCTGTTGACTTGTCATTCCTCGTTAAAGCCAGGCCCTTCCTCCGTGTTTCCGACAGGCAAAAACATCCCGAACAACATCAAGAATATAACTCCAAAACCACCACACCAAAAACCTCAAATCATCAAAGATCTCTGCAACCCAATCCTCCTCACCCATCACTTTCCCCTCCGAATCCTTCACCTCCAACAGAAACCGAGGACATGCCCCAACCGTTCAATCGTGCTTCTCGCCGCAGCCGGGACACTTCTCCTTACTCTCGTCCTGCGGGAAACTCCACATCTGTCCGGCGCTGGCGTTCCTCGTCTGAGCCGCGAAATCACTCTTCTCGTCCCTGTTACCCGCCGCCGCGTCCTCCGGGTCCTCGTACTCGTCCTGTCGCGCCGTGATGCTAAAGTACCGACTGGCGTTGTACTTTTCGCCCAGCCGCTTCGCGACGTCGTTGGCCTCGTTGAGAGAGACGAGGCGCCGCTTGTCCGGGTTTTGTTCCTGCACGGCGCGGACGGCGCGCCACGTCTTTTGTTTGTCGGTGAGGCGGGCGGAGGAGTTGCCGTTGCTGTCCGCGTCCTTGGCCTCCTCGTCGTCATCTTTCTTGACGAAGGACTCGACGGGCCGGCTGACGATGGTCGAAGGGTCTTGGTTACTCTGGAACAGCGTAATCGGGCTCGGCGCGAGGAATTTCTCGCCGGTGACGTTCTCGCGCGCGATTTCGGCGGGCGTGCGGCCGACTGCGTTTTCGCGGTAGAGGAGCTTCGGTCTGTAACTCAGCAACGCCTTTGCAAGGACGGCGTCCTGGGCCATGACGACGGTGTGGAGGGGCGTGTCGCCGGCGCCGTTGAGCATCTCGAGCTCGGCGTTGCCGCCGCCCGAGGAGAATTCGATAAGGCGGGCGAGGACGGCGAGGATCTGGGCGTTGTCCGCGTAGTTCTTGCTCGCGACCGGGTTGTAGTGGTACGTCGTCCGGCGCGAGTTGCACACGGCCGTGATCCAGGCGTGGAGCGGCGTCGTGCCGTTGTTCTCGGACAGGTTGTTGCGCTGCTGGGCAAGGTGCGGGCGGAGTCCGCCGTCGACGAGGTCGAGGACGGGCCCGAGGCGGCAGGCGCGGGGCATCCCCTGCAGGGCGGCGTGGAGGATGTTGTCGCCGGCGTTGTTGCGGGCCATTTGGTTCGCGCCGGCGGCGATGAGGGTGCGGGCGAAATCGAGGCGGCCAAAGTGGAAGGCGAGCCAGAGGGGGGTGTCGCCGAGGGTGGACTTGTAGTCGAGGGAGGCCGGGCAGGCCTGGGCTAGGTATTTGATGACTTGGTTTGTGGCCTCTGTTGGGGGGCCCATGACGGCGCAGTGGATTACGAGTTCATCTGAATTTTCTGTGTTAGTGACATCGGGAAAGGGGTATGTGAAAAGGGGTGAGCTCACTCTGGATGCCTAGCCACTTGGAGATGGCTCGGTCGAAGCCGCCTGGTGCCTGGCTGAGATGCTTCAGTCTCGAGTCCTCACGGGCTGCCTTGGACTTGCCAAAGTCTACGTAGTGACGATGAGGTGCGTCGCCGAGGAACCACTCGACGGAATCAATGTTGCCGGCCATGGCGGCGTGGAGCAGAGGCGGCGTTCTGACGCCGGTGGAGCGGACCACCATGTTCCTCCCGGCCGTGGCCCAGTCCTTTCTGTTACGGGGGTTAGCAGGCTGATGATACGCGGGGGCAAAAGTGTGTTTGTGAATTCCTCCTTACCTCTTCCTGCCATAGACTGACAGACCCAGATAGTACTTAGACTTCCGCTTCATCTCTACGCCGCTCTTCTTCACCAAATCGTCGAGTGGAATGCCGGCGCCGGTGCGACTGATAATCTCCGCGAGAGCCGCCGTCTTGCCGTGCTTAACGGCCCACAGGAAGTCGCCCTCGGGGAACTCGAAACGACCAGTCCTGCCATCTTCCTCATCCTGAGCCACGCCAGCCCCGCTGACGAGCTTCTGGCTCGCAAAGTGGCTGGCCATATCCAGAAGAGTCTTGAGCCCCGCAAGGTCATCGTGCTGCAGGACGAATTGGAAGAGCGTCTGGCTCGAGTTCTTGCAGCTGCGCGCCTTGCCCTCCACAGGCTTGAAGGTGTGCGTCTTTTGACCCAAAAAGTCGAGCGGCTTGGTTGTGGATTTGACCTGCATCGATACCTGGCCAATATTCTCAATGGTGAACTTCTTGTCCACAATCTCCGAGATGATCTTCGGGTCGTCGTTGGACGCTGCGTCGCTCTCGTAGTCCTCGTCGTCTTCGTCTTCGGGACCGCCCGTGTCCAGCTTGTACCGCATTGCATCCCGATCTTCCGGTGCATACTGGGCCATGACGATCTCGAGGATCGCGTGAGCCACATCGTGGTGGCCGCGGAGGTAGGCTAGCGAGAAGGGGGTGTTGTCCTTGCTGTCATTCACTGCCATCTTGAGAGGAGGCTCCGCCTGATCCTTG